GGATTAGTAAATATTTGTCAAATACCTCAGTCAGATGGCAGTGAGTCGTGGTGCCGGCTGTAGAGGGACCAACACGCGGTCAGGGGGGTGGGGAAAACCAAAGAGGTTTGGGGAGCCCAGATTTTCAGAAAGCGTTGGTTCATTGTGAATAGGACGTGTGAGTAAGTCCGTCTTTTAAATTTTGTTTTAGCTTCTATCAACACCCAGTTTATTGTAGATATCTTTTTTAGTATGTTTTTAAATTTGTTACCATTGACGCTGTTACAGATGCCCCCTACACTGAGCTCTGCCTTTACTTGAAAGCCCGGCATAGAAGCCGTCTCCTCGCCATGGGCCTCACCACTGACCCAGAGGCAGCCCCTCTGAAGGCCAACCAAGGCTTTTCTGTGTCCACTCAGAGTCCAAGCAGCTGTCCAGGTTTAATTAATATTCTGCAGTTATCACTGGAGAGGAGCCAGTTTCCGAGACAGCTGTCTAAGCGAAGGGAAGATTTCTAACTCTCCAGCGGCAGCTGGGTCTGGTAGGCAAACTTCTCAGGTGATTTGAACTGTTCTTTTTCAAAGTTCACTCCACCTCGGGTTCCCACAGAGACTGTTCCATTGCCCGCTTTATCTCCCGGCATTCATGCTGCAGCAGACCCAAGGTTGGACTGTGTGAAGGTAGGGCTGCCGGTCTTCAAGCTGCGTCGATTCATTGCCGAGATGCTCCTACAAAGCAAGAAGAAACACACCACTGACTGTTACGGTTTAAAACATTGCAAATCATTTAGGCAGATCATCAAGTCATAAAAACGCGGATTTAAATGAGGGCTTACTTTTCATCCACTAGGAGTTTCAAATGGCAATTATCATTAATTCTTGGATTCCCTCAGTCCTGATAGGAAATCAAGGCAACCAGAAACTATCAATTTGTGAACAGACAGCTATTAAAAGTGCATTAATAATCTATAGTGGGTATAGCATATGCCTTTTAAAAAGATTTGCAGCTTGTTTCTCTGTGGTGAAGTCACAGGGCTTCTCCAGCCTAATTACAAAGCAATCAAACAGTTTAATTAATCTGGAAATCACTTTCTTAACAATAACTGCCTCTAAAATGAGGCACCCTGTGCAGTCCCATTAGGTAACGTAGCACTTTGATGTGCTGCTTGTTTATTAGCCTTGCGGGTTCCCCCTGGGGACCGTGCAGTTAATTACCCACCCAACGCCTGACCACTGCTCAGGCTCCCTTTACCAGGTCAGAAACGTCAGCAGCAGGGCCGACAGTCTGTAAAGTGTCCTCGCACGCCAGCATCCGAGAGTCAGCAAATCCCTGGGAGCAGCGGGATCTGAGTTATAAGCAAGTGTAGCACATATGGGCAGAGAATTAAGTGGCACCAGTTTTCATCTGACAGTCTCTCAGGTATTGCTCTGCAGATGTGGGGATGCATTCCAAGGGCAGTGCTGTGAGGAGTGAAGGTCACGTGTAGGACTTCGGTTTCAATCCATCTTGCTCTCTCGGGCTGCGGAAGCTCTGTGCTTGTCCACAGCGGTCTGGCCCTCATTTCAGAGTTAAGAACATGGAAGACGTGCTTTATAATTTGATCTGTTCTAAATCAGTGGTTGTTTTGGTCAGTGGACAACTAGTGTCCCTGAGTCGTCAAAGACTGAGTACATTATGTAGAAATCAAATTTTTATTTTAAATAAGAGCAAAAGATGTCAGAGATTGACTTCTGCCTATCTGTTTTGCTAATCTTGTCATTTCTCCCAAAGAAAAATTGAGGAACTTTTTGTAATAAATGACACAAAAATCTGCAGAATACTCATCTACCCTTTTCCGCTGTGACTGCCCCACCCCACTCCTCCCAAAATTCTCTGTCAGTGATAATTCTCATTATCCCCATCTACCCACACTGGAAACGTCGGCTACTTGTTGTCCATGATCTTTCTCATCACTTATTTCCAGTTCATCACCAGTGACTCGTGCATGGTTTGCTCACCAAATAATTTTCCTGCCGGCTTTCCGTGCATTAATCTAGCTCCTCCTCCTCAGCCTTGCCCTGTTCACCCACCCCGACTCTCGTGCCAGGTTCAAGTTTCAGGCATCTCTCTCTTGCCTCCAAACACCTCCTAAGGCCTCGCACTGGCTGGCACCAGGAAACCGAGTGGTAGACTCACTGGTTTTGCCAGTCCGAATCCCGGCTTTCCCGGAGCCTGTCTCTCCTGCACTGCCCTGCTGCGTTTGGGTGGTTTCTGGCCCTTCCCGAAGTCCTTCCATTTCTTCTCTTGCCTCCAGCTTGCTGAGCTGCCCTCAGACGAGGCCATTGTCTCTTGTCCTTAAGGGATTATCAGGCATTCTAGTTCACAACACCGTCATTTTCTCTAATAGCCCAGGACTCGTAAGAGCTTTTGTGATAATGCGTGTGGGGAGGAGGTGTATTTCAGTCAGACCTGAAACGAGAAGGATCTGGGCTTAGTAAGACAAGACAGGTTTCGAATTGAAGATGTGGGAATTTGGGTTTTATAGTAGTATAGGAGTTCATGGGAAGAAAATGAGGAACATTTTCAATGAATGGGCCTGGAAAGGCAGCACAAGATGGAAAAGAAGCACAAGATGAAAAGGCAGATGCTGGAGATCAGAAATGGTTGATGGTAGCCTCGATCTAATTTTAAAAGCAGAGTTAAATTAACCTATTTCTGTATCTCTGTCTCTTCCCATTCAATTTCCAAGTGATGGGTCACCATTTACTGTAAGCTGTTACATGGCTTCCCCGGGGACACTCATTAAAGTCTCTGAAAGTGAAAGGGGTTTTACGTTAATTCCCTGGTTTTCCCTCCTTCAGACTCTTACATACACTCAGTGAGCACTCTCTAGTTATTCTAGTTGATCTGATGTAATCTCCAGATACGGAGCTTTCTTTACAAAGAACACAGACAGGGCTGAGAATCCGTGACACGTTTCATTGGCCTCATTATTTATTCTAAATGAATAGGTAGTGGGGATTGTTCTGAAAATGCTTTGGCTTCAAATAGTCATTTTGTTTCTCCTGATAATTTACTGGTAGTTTGCTCTATATGGGGTGTGAGCAAAGTAAACTTTTTTTTTCCAAACAAAAAACAAAATTCACATGAAAATTTCTGGCAGTAGAAATAACAAAGTTTTAGCCCTCCTGAAATTCTTGAGACCTTTAAAAGAATATGAAGAGTGATGTATAAGCTAAGTTCTGCAGGAGGAGGGGGACAGCAAGGGGAATGAAGGCTTTTGAGAGGAGTTGAAAGCACCTAATTTAGCCATGTAAGTAAGTGGGCAAAAATAGTTCCAGATTACTGGGCGGCCAAAGCAGAACCCATTTCTCCAGGGGCCCAGCAAACAACAGACGCGAAGGCAGGATAAGTTTGATTGCAGCAGGGGAAATGCTTCTTGACTCTCTATCCACAAAAAGAGAAAAAAAAAGGCTTTTCGGTGATTCCTCTTAAATGGCTTTAATTGTGCTGTCTGTCATAAAGTTAATGGCATCCGTCGAAGACATCGCTATAAAATTTGCAACCTCAATTGCAAACTTTCGGTAGAGGTAGGGCCAGTCCACAAGTCCTCCAGGTAAGACTAACCTTACCCTCTTTACTGTCTGTTCTTTGTGCACAGAGGTAATAAATTGTTTACCTTTACAGGCAGGTACTGACTTTAAAGTGCCATCTTGTATTCTGTACACCTAATTGCAGTGGTCACATCTGTTACAAAATCAGTAATGTGGCAACCGGCTTGCTGTTAAGGATTAAAAATATCTTCCTAATTATTTTCCATGTTTCAAGAATTTACAGGGTTAGTCTGCGGCCTTCCTCACTTCCATATTGAAATCAGCTACAGCCCCATCGGGTCCTGAACTAATTCTGCCAATCTAATTAAACATGCAGAGGACAGCAGGGTGGTCCGGAGTGTCCCGAACTTCCCCACGCCAGCTGCCTGCCAAGCTCTCTCAATGACCAGCAGCTGGTTGAGCATTCTAACAAGCCCCCGAGGAGCTGTTCTCCTCACAGTGAGCAATCCATGCTCTGTTCACCTCAAAAGTACTTCGGGAACACCCTCCGCCAGTCTTTGTGTGACTGTGGCTCTTCAAGGCCGCCTGGCCAGTCACACCCTAGCTGCTTAGGAGCAGAGGGATCTGTTGAAAAAAGTATTGGAAACCCTGGCCGGGTTGCTCAGTTGGTTAGAGTCCTCTGGATATGCCAAGGTTGCGGGTTGGATCCCTGGTCAGGGTACACACAAGAAGCAACCAGTGAATGGAATGCATGAATAAGTACAAGAACAAAAATCTTAGTCTCTCTCTCTCTCTCTCAACTTAAATAAATAAAAATCTTTTAAAGTGCCGAGGAAGGTGAATCTTACTGGGCTGCTGGCCATGCTGAGCTAGACCTAGGTTATTTGAGAAACTGGCCTGAACCGCAGTATTCTGTGACTAGTTCTAACATATCCATCCACCTTGAACATGTGTACTGGGAAATGGGAGGATTTATTTTCAAGAACTCCTACTTTTATTCAGTTTACTGTAACTAAAAAATTCTAAGGCCACCTCCCTACGGTGGAAAGGCCGTCTCACACGGCCCCTCTGCAGCTCGAGCTCCTGCATCCATCGGCCGTTTGAAATGTTAGCGCATCTGCAAGAGTCAAAACATTCGTGTATCTGTTATTCTATAGGACTGAAATAGTTAGATTATTCAATGTAAGGAGTACCACTGGTTGGTATAGGTGAGTGAGTTTATTCATATATCTTCCATGCTTGGAACTCTGCACTGGAATGAACTCAATTCCTCCTCTGTTTCCCACGCCCCCTACCCCCCGCCTCCCCTCCCCACCCTGCCCCGCCCCGCCCCATGCCTGCTCCAGGTAAAACTAAACCATTACTGGGGGGAGGACATTTTACAAAAGTGTACAGAAACTTACTACTAAAGAGAAGAAAGTTCTGGATGTGGCTAATGATACAAAAACAAATTCATGTTGTAAACTACTTCCTTCTATCTCTCTGCAGGCAACAGCCCTCAAGATAGCCCAAGAAATTTCTCCCCCAGTGCCTCAGCCCATTTTTCATTTGCACGGAGGTAAGGATTTCTTGTTGAATAATAGTATGCAGAGAACCCCACCCCCACCCCTACTGACACCAGCTTTCTCCTAAACCCCTACACCCTTGCCTTCACACTCTAACGGTTTTAGTGATGATTTCTGCCTTGTGTTAGAGTGGTCCCTACCTCTCTGGGTCCCTCACTAGATGGTGGGCTCCGGGCGATGGCAGGAAATGACCATTTCCATCTCTTCTCCCACGCCCAATACAGTGTGTTAGTATGCTGGGTGCTCAACAGGGTTTTAGTGAATCTCCTGAGCTAGTACAATAAGCACTTGATTCATATATGTATCTGGTGCAATATTTTATTGTTTTGAAATACACTTTTTTTCAAAATAAAGTGACTTTTGGGGGATCACAAGTATAAACTCAAAGATGCTTCTTTACTTAACATCATCAAGCCAGCAGTTTATTGATCTCCCTGAGATAAAGCCTGCCCTGCATGGACTGTAGGAAGTTTTATGTTTTCTCTTCCTATCGTAGTTACAATCAGGCACCAAATATCAAGGACACGTGTCTTGTGTGGAGTCAAGAGGAAGTGTGGCAGCCCCAAGGATAGCGGGCGTGTGTGCTCACACGCAGCCTTCCCAGTCCCAGGCCCACTCTGATGTCTCCAAGTCAGCGGAGGCTGCCTAGCCACCTCCTCCGTGCTCTGCATATGAAATTAGTGTGCTTCACCTTGTCAGATTCAAACTTCCACTTCCTTGGCCCCATCGCCCCTCTCGTGAAGCACACAGAGAACAAAATACCCCTTCCGCCAGATGAATTCAGTGGCCTGAATAGCCTAGATATTTCCCGAGTTTTCCTCGGAATCCTAATTACACTTCGAAGTGGATTAAAATAGCACGTAATAAAGACACATAGGTAGGTTTAGGGGAATAATAACTGATATAACACGCGTTACTAACCAGCAAAGCCTGCAGTACCCTCCCTGCCTTTTTTGTCAGCGTACAGTGCATTTTGTATTAGTGAACCCGGAGACGGGGATGTTTGCGGTATTTTCAGACTTCTCTGTAATTACGATGCCCTTGTAAACACCACACACTCTCCCACTGTGTGTTCGAATGTTATGTGTCGACCTTGGGGAGACACAATAGGCACTTCCTGGGACGCACACCCTGATTTCCTCTCGTTCCAGCTTTTATTTATTTATTTTTTGTTCCCTGTTTTAAGCACTGTGAAGAAAATGGGAAAATTAACCAGTCCCACAAAGCCTGTGTTTACCCAGTGAATATTAAGTCAGGGTGGTGCTACGATTCTAAGTGAAAAATCTTATAAAAATTGATAAACAAGAACCCACCATAGTCTATAAAACACATCTCTTTTATTTTTTTAAAAAAGGGAATGCATTCAATTATTTTAAGTAATAAGAAAAATGCAGTCTCATTACAGCATGCATTTAAACATGACAGATATCACAGCCTCTTAATCCTGCCAGATTTATGAAAATGAAGAGCATCTAATAATTAAGTGGGTGACTAGAAGACAGATGAATCTGGTTTCTTTGCTATTAAAAAATACACAAACCCCCAGGCATGTTAATTTTTGAGAAACAAACCATAAAGCGTGACAGAGGATTATCACAGGAGACCTATAGTTCATTTTGCATGAATTTCCAGATGGAACTTTCTCCACACTCTTCAAAAAGTATTAGTTTAGATTAGGACATGAGCGATCATCTTTTTGAACTTTTATTCAAGTAAATAGAACCTTGTGTTTGCTATGAAAACTCATATTGGCATATTTTGATTTATCAAGGGTCTCTCTTCCATTTGAAAACAGATTTTCATTAGAAAACATGGAAACCCACTCATGGCTCTCCATTTGCTTCCGTTTGGTGCAAATTTCTGAGCCTAGGAAGTAATTTCATTTTGAGACTTCCACATTTTATTGTTTTGTTTATTTGGTCCAACAGAGGAGAGATTGCCCTGTTTTTAAAATTACCCCTGGGAGAAGTGTTAAAGATCAGATTATTAATCTTTTCTGATCCTATACCATGCGATAGATAATACTCCCCCAGGAGACATTTTCTGTAATAGTTTAATTTTGGACTGGAAAATATGATGAGACACACTTGCTTTCCATATTATCTAATACATATTTGAGAGTAAAATTATTAAGTTAATTTTTAATATTGAGTAAAAACAAATGAAAACGAGAATTGGAGTGTAGTCGATATTGTCTGAAGCAAGTAAACATATTTTTACTTTGCTAACTGCAATGCTGATGCACAGTCTTTCTGATCCTGGAATTATTGAATCCTTAACTTCTTTCCCTTGACGGTAAGATGGAGGTAGTGACTTTGCCCTGCCTTTCCCAGAAGTTGTGGAAATTTATGCATTACAAATTGCTTTCACTTTCAGTGGGCACACGAGTCCTGAATAAATGTCAAGTGTGTCTCCCAGTTGCCTTGTTGTTATTTACCAGGTTAAATATCAGAATGTATTTCCACAAGCCAACTAGTACAAGAGGCCTGCCTGCTGAGTTCAAGTTAAAAGGCACTTGCTGAGTGCTGGTGGGCAGAGCAACCTGCTAATTACTTTCAGAATTCCAGCGGAGTAAACTTTAGCTGATTACGTTATATTCGCTTAGTCCAATTTCAACTAGAATATAAAATGTGTCACTCCAGGTGATTATAACAATTAAACAAATAAGAAATCTGCTTCCTTTTCATGCACATATAATAGCTAGGTTGATGTGGGAACTTTTCATTCTTTCTGTGTTGTAAACCATATTAATCTAATTTTTTGTGAGTGATAGGATTTTTTTTTTTTTTTGGCCAATCTCTTTGTATCCCATGTTCCCATCAGATGTTCTTCCCTTTTCAGTTTTTCATTTAGTGTAACACTGAAACTTCTACCCACAAAGAAAACACTTCCTTCCAAAAGCCTTGTTGCTTGGACAAGAATATAGTCTTGTCTTCAGATAACATTTTATTGGTAGCTACTGCAAAGAAAACACAACATTGTTAGTGGGATCCAAATTGCACTCGTCTGTTGGTTTTCATGAAAAAAAAAAGGGCATTGTTTCTTAAGTATTGTATATAGCACATATAGTAACTTCTGATGTATGGTTGTCATGGTGATGAAAAATGCAGTGCTCCTTTGTGCTCCATTTGAATAAATAAACAAGGACACCTTAGGGAACTTTATAAAACATAAATTATTTCTGGTCTGTGGCTGCACAAGGTCCTGAGCACATTCTTGTTTAAACATCTTTCTAGGAGTGTGTTTTCTGGAGTAAGCAAATGTAATTTATGCTTCAGAGCTAATAAGAACACGACTCCTCTTGGAGTTGCTCATTCATCTGAAGTAAGTTCATTGATACCTGAGGGAAAGGGGAGTTAGTGAATCACGGTGGGGGAAATTGTGCCCCTCACTCTTTCCAGAGACTAGTTTCTGATAATTGCTATTAAATGGACTGCATAATCTTTTTAAAATCCATCTTTTTTTGCTTTTAAAAGTTGGAGGTTTTAAAATATGAAGTGCAGGCATGGGTTTTTAAGTCTTTAATAAGTAGCTAAGTAAATTAGGGCCACCCTGTTTCCATCTAATTGATGGCTGGATATCTTTAGAGTATGCTGTTATAATGATTTTTTTCTTAAATCTCAAACATATTCAACTGTTTAAAGATATTTTTAAAGAATATATGACTTAATTCTCCCCCATTTCTTCTCTCTGGTATATTTACAAACATCTTATTTTGCTTCTTTCTTTTAAACCATTCTTGATTCAATTGTACTCCAATCTTGGTCACAGAAATGACAGGTAAATTTTACTAAAATCTGAACATTGTAGTCCTGCTGTGATTTGTCTACTTGCAATTCTCCGTTTTGTCTTTGTGGACCATTTGCATTTTTTGGAGGCAACATCCGTGGTAGCCTATGATGATATTTTCCCTTGAATGTGATTTAGGCTGAAGTGTCTGTTTTTTTCCATGAACATCTATTGTGCCATTTCTCAAATTCAAGTCTGATATTGTGGAATTCCCTGCCTTCGACTTACTGTAAATGTATCTGTGCTAAACTTGGTACACTTTCATCTCTCATGTGGTAAATTAATGTAACCATGAACCACAAAGAAGTCTGTACATGACGCCCCATCAGAGAATGCAGTATAGGTGGCTGTTCACAAAGCGTGTCCTTCCTGGTTTCCCCTCAGCAACAGCGCATGTGTTTGTCTTCACAGTGTTACCTGATTCTGAAGGCACAGTCTTGCTCGAAGTTGCTAATAAAGTAATGGCTCTGGAATCAGTTCCAGAGATTTCAGAAAATTTGCTTTCTGCTGTCCCCTCGCCTTAACATAGTATCATTTCTACTACGTCATTAACTCACTGGAGATGAGACCCTAATGACAACCCTAATGCATAACCGGAGTCCAAGCCAGAAAGCTTTCCATCCTGTCACCAGTTGTTCAGAGAGAGAAACTACTCTCGTGAAGACTCCTGACAGCTGTGCCATACTGAAGACTCCTATGACTGGGCCAGACAACTCTACTCTTTGTTAAGTTCTATCCCTGGTGCAACATTTTCACTCTGTCCCTGCTCGCAGCCAGAGCTGGGCTGGGCTGCATCCTCATAAACTCTGCAAAAGGCTTTTGTTGCAGAGCCAGAGCCCTTTAAAGCCAGGTCATGTTAGAATGTGATAACTCTTAAGAGATTCTGAGCATAAGGTCAACCCCTTTCTTGGTGCTAAAGTTATTTCCCACTTAAGGCTTGAGCCAGCCATGAGCCTGCCCATCCTCTCTGTTTCCCAGGCAGGATGAGTTAAGACTGTCCACCTTGAAAATAATAAGCGGGACATTTTTAGGATGCGATGCAAGTCCCCACAAGCTCTTGCAGAGCGCTGAAATTCAGGGCCTTCCAAAGATCATGGCCCCCATTATCAGTTTCTAGATAACAGGGTTTTTCCTCCTCCCTTTCCTTTTTTATTAATTTGAATCTGCTGAGTCTGACCATTGTAATTATCCCTGGTATTCATTTTGTCAAAGTGTATTAGTGAGAGATCAATACTATGGATCAGCCCATTCACTTTCTCCTTGTTTGGGTGTATTGACTCAGTTTAAATAAAAGTCAGCCTGCTGTATAATGTTTGTTTATCCTGGCCCTTGCTGAACATTTCCGCATCCTCACTGACTGTGTCTGTGTCATTTGTTTGACTAAACATACTTGGTTTCCCTGGGGTTTCCGAGTCACAGGACTCCAGTGTTGGCCTAAACTAATTGCACGTTCTCAACAGGACTGATGGACGCCGCTGGTCCTTGGCTTCCCTCCCGTCCTCTGGCTATGGGACAAACACGCCCAGCTCCACCGTGTCTGTAAGTGCCTGATGTCTCTCCTCTCCCTCACGGCCTGGAGCTCTTACGCAGGCGGCATTTTCTCTGGGTATTTCCTGGTAGGGACGAGAAGGGAAGTGCTGACCGTTTGCCACTCTGACTAGGTTACGCATCAAATGATGAGCCAACAATCATAACAAGGACATTCTTTTTGCTGCAAGCTTTTAAACTACTGCCCACCAATTGAGTAAGTCACAGGATTGCAAGTTTGAAGATTGGGAGCTTTTGTTTTAACACCATTTGGTGTAGTTTGGGGTGGAAAACACACTTTGGTTTTATGGCTTTGGTTCCACACCAGTGGTGTTAGTACTGAAGATGCCATTAAACTTTGATGTCCTGGGTCTTTTTTTCTTGTGGGGCTTAGATGCAGGGAATTTGTATGTTTGTTTTGGATTTTTTTGGGGGGGGGTTGTTTGTTCTTCTTCAAAGGAAAAAAACGGTAAGTCTTAAATTTGTCTGTGCCTTCTGGGTAAGAACTTTCTTTCAGGAAGAGGTTAAAAGAACTGAGTAGTAAGTTAAGATAAAGAAAGAAACAAGATGAAGCCATGAAAAATGAGATAGAGGAAGGGTGTTCACTTGCTCCAAGCTAAAGCAGGAGCCCCGATAGTTACAGGGAACGACTCGGTAGGTTGGGTGTGTGCTTTCTTGGGTTAAATTAGTGATGTGGTAGGATATCTGTCACTGCAGAGCCTTAGAAGCTACTGGTCATATAGAAAGACACAGTCTGTCGTAGGTTCTCAGCAAACACCTCATGGAGTGGTCTGGTGCCCTGTGCCAGTCAGGAATACACACCTGGCGATTTTAGAGCCCCTTTTGATTCGTTTTCATCTCCATTTTGTCAAAATCTGTGGTTTGTCAAGGAGGCCTATCCATCTGGTCCCCCCCACCTCACAAACTCCAAGCTAAACATGTAGAGTCAGACACTTAATAACACTCAAATCGAAAAGAAACCACAATTAAAATTATAAACTCTAACTGGTATCATCACTGCCTTGTGTGACATGTTTCTGAATTCTAAATGTAAAAGAATGTGGGTTTTTGGAGTCACCTTTAAAACTGACTTGTTAAAATCTGTTAGACTGTTTTCACCATCTCCTTATAGAATTTTATTGAGGATAGGTAATTTATTTTCCTATCCATTATTCCATTTGTTGTGCTATATGAGTTTATTGTCCATTTAGATCATTTCTGTGAAACATTGGACAACCTTGAGTAGTTTCAATGGCACATCATTCTCACATCGGAAAAGGATGCTTAAAACTCCTGAATGGCTTCAGTGGATGAAAATGTCACAAATAACAGTGGAGTCACCCTCGGTTATTGTGTCAGTAGCCGTCCTTGGTCATTGGCCCATATTTTAGATGTTGAAAACATGGACAACCACAGTGGAACATGAAAGCCAAGACCGATCGATCAAGAAGACTAAGTAGTAATTTTCTAAATTTTAAATGTTGTTCTTCCCTAGGCCCTTGGGCATCTCCAGTTGGAACCCAGCTGCCAATAAACAGAATCCTTGGTTCTTTGTTCAGTAGCTTTCCCACTCGCCCATTTAGTCCTCCTCGTGCCCCAAAGTTGTATCATGTCTCCTAGCTCCAAGTTCTTTTTTTATTTCTACTATATATCACCTTGTTTTGCCCTTCAGTCCAGTTTTATTGTAGTTGAGATACAGAAATTTCTCTTTTACAAGAAAAATAGAGGAGAGTGTAGTATCTTTCTTTTTTCTATGTTTAGTAAGCCATACAAGGGTGAGCTACATAGAATCAGGTGGGTACAAATAATTAAAAAGACAATTTTTAACTAAATACATTTTATGTGCCAGCACTAGGCTAATTATTTATAATGCATTTGCTAATCCCAGCAACATATCCTAAAACATAGCTGCTGTTTCTGTCTTTATTTTATGGATCAAAAATGCAAAGTGCAGAAAATAAAATGAGGGGCTGCTTACCGACCCCCTTGTTTTATCAATAAGAATAACTAAATGAGCTAGACGTAGGCTCTTGGCTCTGTTCAAGAAATTTGCATAGTGTTTCTTAAAACAAACCTTGTAATTAATAAACCTGACCTAGCCATCTGTCATCACAGAGTCATCGCTGTCCCTGACTTCCATATGTGCCTGGAGAAGCCGCCGCCTGGGACGGTTTTTAGTCACACACACACATTCTGTGTTTCTAACAGCTTCTGACCAGAACTAAGACAGATTTCCTCCTAAGTGTTTATTTTATTGAAGAAAGTGGTGTCATAGCATTGTTGATCTCATATTCCTGCTTTGTCCTTCAAAATGGAATTTTAGCTTTCAGAATTACTCTTTTTGCCAAAAGACATAAGGAACTGTGACATTTGTGCAGTATAAGTACTGCTGCACAAAAATTCAGCTGTCTCTTCTCCCTATTGGTGGTTCCTAAAAATTATGAGTGAAAATTTGAAGAGCTACTTCTCATTTCTCTCAATTTCTTTGTGTTCTTGTCTTTTAAATATTAGGATGAAAACTGCAACATTGTTCAGTAGTTCCTTTTTTTCTCTTCTAAATCTAATCTCAATTACTCTTAGATTCTCAGTTTCTGGATTGACTATAAGACGTTTAGTTAATCACAAATACATTTTAGGTTTTTTTTTTTAAATAAAAATACAGAACATATACAAATCCAGTTACAAACACTTTAAGTTTTAGAGACAGCTGTGTTGTTAGTTGAATTCCAGAACTTCTCATGCTGAGATGTAAACATCATGTCTTTATCCTTCGAATATTATGGGAGTGGCATAATGGGCAAGCGTTCAAAAGGCAACACTCCTAAATCTAATCATGTGAATTTAATCTTAAAATCCTTCCAGAGAATATTTAGTATTACAACTTAGTTTAACTTGCAGTTGATATTAATTTGTGGGACTTTTCAAGATAATATTCAGACAATGATATTTTGGGGATGGCTGGGGGTAGGTGGAGCGGTGGGGGGGAATGGAGACAACTGTACTTGAACGATAAAAAAATATTAAAAATAAAAAATGGTTTTACTTTTGAAAAGAACCGATAGGGAACTGCAGCAGTAGAGGGACATCTGCCCAGATAAATTATTTTCTGCCAAGGGAACAAATGGAAATAAGAATATAACTCTAAAAATGAGAGGTGACGCTACATGATATTACTTTAAATAATAAGAAAATTATGCATGCATATGAATACTTTCCTTTGCAAAATATCTTGAGAGACTAAAGGCTTATTTGAATGACATAATTGCTCAGAACATTTTGGGGAAATTCTCTAATTGCCTTAAGAACTAGCAGATTTTTGTGTAAATCTTTACTCTTTGAAAATGGATTTGACTCACAGTATGGTCAAAGGTCATGTGCAGGCTGGTTGGGTGATGAGACTCACTGGCATCACAGAGGACATGCTGGAAATATAAAGTAGTGAGACTCAAGACTCCGTTCATTGAGAAACTCCCAAACTAATTCTTGAACTATTGTGAAAGTGGTAATCCAGGGTGTTGTGAGCAAGGGAGGTGCCTTTTCAGTGGGGAGTGAGGTCACGGGATGGCACAGGCTCCCTCTGTTGTCCAGGAAGCTCTCTCCACTCCGCAGGTTCTCCTCCGAGTCCCTGATGCTGCTGAAACTGAGCCTTGCAGTTCTCTTTTGCTCCCTATCAACTCACTTTTGAGGCTGCATTTGGTGCCTTCTGAATCCCCAGGACATTTGGGGGCCTACAGCTGTCTCCAGTGCTGCGGACGGACTCAGCCTGGTGGCCCCTGTTCCATTCACACCTTGCTGGTTCCAGCTGAGATGAAAGCGGCTCTCTCCCCATAGAAGCTCCCGCCTCTGCGCTTCTTTAATGCTGCGAAGGTGATAGTGCTTCCCTCACACGGGGCGCATTCCTTCTGGAGCTGAGCTATATGGCTACGTATGGCATAAGCACAGCATTGTCCTCACAGACTTAACCCATGGGAACATTTTACATGTGCTGCAGCTGTTTTTTTAAATCAATTTTAACTTTGTTTAATAAATAAAGTGTTAAATGTACCACTAAAGCCCTTCCTACTCAGCCCCTCCCTTTCTCCTTCCTCCCTCCCTCCACAGAGGGAGTCACCCTCTGGAAACCTCTGGGTGTGGTTCTCATGCAAGTACAGGTCCATGATACCTTAAGCGAAACTCACAGACCCGGGCTGTTTTGGGATTGATTGTCCCGTTTTAGAATGGTAACGTGATTCCTGTGCTGTGCAGACCAGGCCGGCAGCAACTGGCCCGAAGCTCATGATCAAATATGCTGAGTTTCTACAGCAACTTGAATCAACATTCACACCCAGTGGGTTAAATACATGTTTTAAGTAGCTTGCCATCAGTTCAGTTGATGTTTTGCCACCAAAAGGGATTACTGTAAACTTCTAAATAAATTTGAGTGTTTTGAAATCTTAGATACAGAATTGTGGACATTAATTTACCTTTGAGACATATGTACAGACTCTTAATTCTGTTTTTCCATTTGTTGATTTGCTCATTTTTGCTTTTATCACAGCTACTTCTCTCCCACTTGCATTATTTTTCTTTTCCTGATTTCTTGAGTTGACTTAGTTTATGCATTTTATTTCTTCTTTCATAATGAAGGACTTTAAGGCTGTGCTTGTACTTTCTGAATAGAGTTTTGGTTTATCTCATATGTCTTTCTAGTAGTGTTCTCATTTTTATGGTTTATAAAATAATCTCATTGTATTATAGAAATCTCTCAATGCCTGTGTGTGTACTCAGTACAGAGGCCTACAAGTTCAAGGTGTCAGGATATTTTTAAGCTCTAGTCAATGATTTCTAGTGTCACTGCATTGTGGATTCAGTGTTTACGAAATGTGGTCTTAACATAATGACCAATTTTTAAAATGAAAAAGCTTATTATAACTGATTTTTTTAATGAGTGGTATCTTTTCAAATATGTTTATTTAACTATGTTTCTACTATTCAAAAATTTCTCAGTCTCTTTTGTTAGAATTGCTTACAGAGTTCACCACGCACTTAAGAAAACAACCACCAGTCTCTGCTTTGTAGCTTTATTTCTCAGGTTGATTAAAAGCAAAGTTATGTAGGCATTTACCTATTCTACCTTACCTTGCTCCAAGTATTGACTAAAAATTTTCAAATAGTAAATCTAAACTCCAGGGATTAAAAACTCACTACTAATAAAGCTGTTTTAAAATGATAGCCTTAGCCAAAGCAAAAAAGAAAAAAAATTCAATTTTTAAAACAGTGGCATTATTGAGAAAAGCATCTCTTTTTTGTTCCTTTTTTTACCCAGGGCACATAACCGATAGCCTTGGCATCAGAGGGCAGCACGATTTGTAAAGAGAGATCTCATTACCTTGTTCATGACCATACATCATACAGTTCATGTTACGTTACCCAAAAGTCCCAGTGCTCGATTAGGAGCAATGGTGGAAATACGTGTACCATACTCAGTGGAGACCTCCTCTGTCCATGCCCCCAAATTCTCCCTCCAGTCTTCACTTTCTTGCTTTGACTTTGGCTGGGTCCTATCCATTTTCAGATGCTGGGTTTCTTCCAGAGCAAAAATTATCTTTGGGGAAACCGTTATTGACCAATGAGATGAAATATAGAAGCCATTTTGACCTCCCATAGAAAGTATTAAGGCATTGTCATGTAGGCACTAGTTACTGTAATTATAAGATGGAAAGGAAACAATATAAAGTGGTGGTATATCAGGTTTTCATGCTTTGATCTCATTTTCATTTGAAAAAAATTTTTTGGAGGTAGTCATGTTACCTCACTTTGGTTTCTTTTAGTCATCCTGTTCCTCCCAGGAGAAGTTGCATCAGTTACCATACCAACCAACGCCAGATGAATTACACTTCTTATCGAAACATTTTTGTACGACCGAGAGCATCGCTGCAGAGAACAGATGCAGGAACTCGCCCATGCGCCCCCGTTCCCGAAGTCTGAGGTGTGTAGACCTGATTGAAAAATGTACTTAATTGGATTATCTCTTTCCAGCCATTTCAAGGGAAGACTTTGGGTCCTGTAATTCATGTATATGTACATTGATTTGTGAACTACTATAAATATAATGTGATTTTTTCATCTACACAGGATATTGTTAATTACCATAGCAAGGTATCTTATTGTTTTTCTTTTAAATTCTTACAGTTTACGAATTGCTAGCATGTCAGTAATCAGTGGACTAAATGGTCCATCTATAAAAACGTCTAACCATTGCAGATGTCAAGGCAGTCTAATCATGGTTCAGAAGCAGTTCATACTTTAAGAAGAAGTCGGGCTGTTAGGGGAGGGACAGCACATTTGGATTCACACGTGGAATTTAGATTCCACATTAGAAAAGTCCTCCCAGAGCTTTCAGTATTTTCCCATCATAAGTTGTACTTTCTCCAGGAGTTTGAACAAACTCTTAGCAGTTTATATCCCTTGAATTTTGTGGATGCCAAACATAGTTCATTTGACAGTGAGTAAAGCCAGTTTTTTTTACCCTGTTCTAGAAGTACTATAGATCACAGTTTGAGTCTTCAGGAAGCAGACGGTGTAGCGGAGATCAGGAGGTTTACGAGGGAGTGCCCCGGATTCGCACCTGCAAGAGGGTGGGCGAAGCAGCAGTAGGCTGAGAGAGGATTCCAGCTGCCATACAGGCCCAGGGGCTATAGTGACCCCACAGGGAGCTCTGGGAATGACAGGACCCATCAGAGTTGCCCTCCAGGGCAAATTGCCCTTCCTATGTATCTGTACGGTCACCGGATATAGTGCCGTTGGAAGGACTTGGCCTTGGGCAAGGTAACTCTGCAGCTGAGGCCATCTTTGAAGGGACTGAAAGCTGAAGGCTTCTGCAGTCCCAGCAGCTGGGCCAGCAGTTCCTTCTCTGCGTGGGGATTGGCGTGGATCGGCGGGGATCGGCGCAATCTGCCTGTGGGTCACCACGGGACAGGAGCTTGGTGGTATAGAATGGGTGTGCTTTGATATATTACATTTTTTTTTTACAAAATACTTTGTTAGGTGTGCAGTTAAATATTAAAGTTTACTGGGAAGGGCTTTTCATTTTTTACCCTTCTTATTTAGTACTATAAACTGATGGTAAATATAGCCACACTTGGTAATTGTAGGATGTGTTAGATTACTTGGAGATATGGAATAAAAGGCCAGTGTTTATTAAATGACATTGTATTTTACTATACAGGGGCCCTTTAGGTTTTATGGAAGGAGATTCCAGGATATCTGGTGCAAACTGTCTCCTCCCAGGAATACAAATACTTACTCTGACGTTGCACAACTGCATACCACTGAGAAGGAACACACACCCAGCACTGAAATAAAGAAAAGTGAACGGTGGTTGTGTGCCTGTTCCCCACCGTGCCCAGCCCTACCTCAGCGTCCCAAATAAATATTTGTTAGGCTAGAAAATGGATTTCGGTGGCGACACCTGTGCCACTGAGGGCTCCTAATCCTCCGAGGGGGCCATGGCAGAGCGCAGGTGTGCAGTAGAAGTGTGAAATTACACACTTCAGCATGTGCTTGATGCTGTTTCTGTAGCCACCCTATTTCTCGTGCAGTCCATTAGCTGGTTTCTAGAACCAGTGCCCAAGTGCATGCTACATACAGAGTATCAGCTCGATTTAAGAACATTTTCTGAACCAGTAATACAGTGCAGCTATAATTAATTTGTGGTATTCCACTTCTTGAGCTTTCTTTTTGAATCCTCTTGAGGGTGTCTGTACGTTTTGGGGTAGGTATGTGTGTACTAATGACTGATTTTGTAGTTTACTGCCTAATATGTTTATTTTTTTTTACAAAGATTGTATTGTAGTTTTGATGCAACCAATTGTTTATAAATAAAAGGCTTATTTTCATTTCACGCTGTGGCAAGTTTAAAAGGGTAATTTGCTTTGCTTGCAGCCCCGGCCGTTCTCCCACCTGCTGTGACCATGAAATAATTATGATGAACCATGTCTACAAAGAAAGGTTCCCCAAGGTAATGAGTTGAACTGAAGATGCCTAGCACTGAAACCAACAGGCAACGTGGGCTTAATGTCTGCAGGCGGTTTTAAGGGATGTAATGGTTCAGTCTAGAAATGACTTGCACAAAACAGCACAGCCTTCTTAGAGAGAGAAAATCACTAAACGTGTTTTTAAACTGCTGAGAGCTAGCAGTGTTCACCACACTCTGCGTGCTGAACTGGCCCTCACGTGAGTCCTGCTGCCGCTGGGTGGGCCTGGTGTGGTCCCAAGGGAGTTGAGGTCCCTAGGGAGTCGGCTTTGAGAGGCCTCTCCACCTTTGTGCTTCCCGTGCCCATGTTCCTCAGAAGCCTGGTATGTCATGAAAACCATTTTTTAAAACCTAGTTTTTCTTTTTTATGACTTTTTCTTTCTTTAGCAATTAGGTATCTGACCTTGTTACTTTAGAAGGGAAGGTGCAGGTACAATGTTCCCCATTAGATTGGCAAAAGGAGTGTAAACCAGGCCAGAGAGGACCAGGCAAAGGGTTGTCACCAGGCACCTTGGCTGCAGGGGACTGCCATCCGATAGTCCCTGTCACCTCGTGTCCACAGCCTTTCCACCCCAGTGTCCCTACATGTGGCAGAAGGCGATTTCTCTGTTTTGTTCCTCTCCCCGCTCTCCCACCTCTATAGCCCTGGGAAGGAGAACAAGAGGAAATCTTTGGTTTCATAAATCAGTAGTAGAGTGCTTATTATTTGTAATGAAGCCAACATCGATGTCATTGATTAAAGCCATTTCAGCTATTTATCACATGTCCCCTGTTCACCAGGGGAGCAGGTCCTGACTATACTAGTTAATACTTGTTGGGACTTCAGAGGGGAGCAGCAGGCGGAGGGAAACTCCCTGAGTATTATGCAATCAATGGGAGCAAGGAATATTGACGAGGCACTAGGGGAATCACAGGGAAGGGAAGGAAAGCTGGAAGGGAAATGTTGGAGTTATGTTCCCAAGGGAATCCCCTGGCCTTTTGCACACATCCTGTAGCTCTTTGAGAAAAGGATCAAGGAGGTGTGAGATGCTTGTTCCTCGCACGTGAAGAGGGGGCCAACAGAACCACCTATCGGCCTGTCCTGCGTTTTGAGTAGGTAGAAACAGAGCTGTCTGGTATTTTTGACAACCTGTTTAAAAGAGCTCAGGATCTGAAGTGAAAGCATAGCCATTCACAGGTGGTGAGTTATCTGCAGAAGGTTACAGGGACCACTTGCCATGTGATAGGGCATAGGAAAAAATAACCATCGCCCTAGGATGTTCGGTTTCCCTGGCACACCTCAAATTTTTCTTCCACATGGTGTGACTTCTTCTCAAGTCTACCCAAGTAGACTTTACTTTTCAGAGCAGTTTTCAGCTCACAGCAAAACTGAGCAGAAAGTAAAGTTCCCAAATACTCCCTCACTGCACGCATGCATAACCCCTCCCATCACCATTCCCCGCCAGAGCGGTCCATGTGTTATGATCCACGAACCTACCCTGACACATCGTCAGCACCCCAAGGTCACACTTTACATTAGGGTTCACTGTTGGTGCTGTACATTCTGTCAGTTTTGAGGGATAGGTAATGACATGTATATATCAGTACAGAATGAAGAAGGGAGGCTTCTTTTAAATGTAACTTCTAAAACTATATTTAATAACTGTAGAGGTTTCTGAAAAATGCAAGGCCAATGTGATGATTGGATTGAGCAGATGTATGTTTCCTTGCGTTACATCTGTGTGTGCACATCTTCTCTAAACAGGCGACAGCTCAGATGGAAGAACGTCTGAAGGACATCATCACCAGCTACTCTCCTGACCACGTTCTTCCCCTCGCCGACGGGGTGCTGAGTTTCACCCACCATCAGATTATTGAACTGGCTCGAGATTGCTTGGATAAATCCCACCAGGGTCTCATCACCTCACGATACTTCCTTGAATTACAGCACAAATTAGATAAGTTGCTACAGGAGGTAAGGGCCATGCAGCATATGAAGTTTTCTGATTTGTTTTGCTTTTTCCCTGGGGAAAAAAAGAGAAAAATGTTATGAGAGCATTTGCATAACATGTTTTAACTATCAGATGGAGTTCATATTCCAGGGAAGCAAAGAAGAAGATGGGGTGGGTGGGGGAACTGATTGCTACTTGCTATAAATTGATTCTGGTCGTCATTTATAGTAAAGAAAGTTAATGTAATAACCTTTCCAGGATCCCTGGGACCCACCAATCTATGGCTCTAGGATAAGTAGATTGTGGAGGATTTTGAAGCAGTGATTCCATGCCCACTCTCCACCCTTGCCCCTTAGCCATAAAGTTATAAATTGCCTGAGTGTCTGTACTATTTCCTGACTCTGTCTAGTTCCAATGTCTAGAAAAGCTAAATGGAAAATGGCTGGCTTCTTCCAGGCTGTGTGTCCTATTAATTAGCCTGATTGTGGTATTGGGTGGTAAAGGCAACTTACATTTTCATTAGTGTCAGTTCTTCTTCTCACAAAATACCCAGTTCCTGAAATGACAGGCAAACAGAGGCCTTCTCTGGGTCTAACTCCTGATAATATCCAGGACAGGAAGGGAGTGTAGTGTGCGTGGCGTGGAATTAGTATATAATGTTGCTATTCTGATTATAATTGATAAGCCACAGCCTACAAGTAAAACCTATTTAGCCTATATACTTGGGTGCATTATATTTCTGTACCTCATAGGGAATAAATTATGCCCATGTAAACATAATTGAGGATGGTTTCCTATAAGCATGGTATGTGAATAATTACATGGAACTGAAGGAAAATATTAACATCCTAGTTATTAGAAATCTATCTGTCCTTGCTCCTGCCGAATTTGGTTGCAGCGAGATGAAAACATCCCTCCCTGGGGTCGTCCCTTCTAAATCTCCCCGCGGCGTCTCCTCGTCTCTGTCCCCGTCTCTCACATTTCAACCTGTTGCAGTCCTACTAAGGCATCTCAGACTGTCTTTGGGGGCAAACACATTGTTTTATTTTTTGTTGTTAATTTCCAATTTGACATGGGCCAGTTCTCCTATAAATCAAATTGAAAATTAATTTACAGGAAAACGATCATGAGTTTGGGTGTTCCAGCATGTGGCACGGCTGTGAGAGTTGCTAAATGCTCATTCGCAATAAGCATGTTGATCTCATCACACGCTGACAGCTGTCCGTGGACGGCTTCCAGTCTCCAGGCCACCCTTTGAGTGGCACTGCTCCAGAGCCTGACATCCATGTGCACAGAGACGCTGTCTGCCGTGTCACACGACACGGATAAAGCACGATGCATGGAGGACTCAGCCCACATGTGTTCAGTCAATGGCTCTGACTCCCTCCCACTAACTCCCTGAGGAGGTCAACTCTCCCCACCCATTCTGTAACCAGGCTGAGGCCCTCATCCTCCCCGATCTGCCCCGTTCCAGTCCTAACCTGTGCCACTGAAGAGCATCTCTCTAACCTCCTTCAATGGCTCCTTCCCGCCTGCAAGTACAAACCTTCACGTGGCCTGTGTCATGCTCTTCCTCCCAACACATTCAACCACAGTCCACCGAGGTGGTCTGTTTGGGGGCCTCACTTTGCCAGCACACAGCAGGCTCCTTCGGGGACAAGGGTCCCCCCAAATCATCTCTAAATCCCTGGCACCTCGCTTCACGTGTGCTGTTTATCGGACTCCTCAGTAAGTGGGAGGGAGAAGATGCATGTGTATTCACGCCAAATATTCGATCTGTTAGATTTGTTGTCAAGTAACCTAATTCTGTTGTTTCAATTAAATCAACTTCTGGAAAGTACAGGAAACACTATGCATATTCCTTTTTATGAGAATACCTTGAAAATTATATTTGGTAAATGGAGCTTTATTTATTCGTTAATTATTTATTGTTGTTTATTCTATTCCAGTTGTCTCAATTTCCCCCTTTTCCCTTTGCCCAGCTCACCTCCCACTGCCCCAGTCCATCCCCACCCTGTCGTCCATGTCCATGGTCATTCACACGTTGTCTTTGACTACTCCCTTCCCCCTTCTTTGCACCATCTCCCCCCTCCCCTGCTTCCTCTGGCAGCGGTCAGTCTGCTCCCTGTTTTTGTGTCTCTGGTTCTGTTTTTTGCTCGTTAGTTTATTTTATTCATTAGATTCCTCTTGTAAGTGAGATCACATGGTTTTTGTCTTTTACTGACTGGCTTATTTCACTTACCGTAATAGTAAATAGAGTGTTTTTAACAGAAGAGGCAGGTGAGAGAGGCACTTTGGTCAGCCTCTGTGGGACGCTTTTCTGGGCTCCACAGTTCTGTGCCAGGAGATTCTCATAATTACGGTTTAGTCCTTTTGTCCATTCCTTCATGGGTAGTCCCTGGGAAGGCTACAGTTCATATAAAAAGCTCCTTACATTGAAATCTCCCACTTAATTTTGTTTCTGTATGAGAGACTTGACAGATTGTTTCATAGCAATTAAAACAAAATCTTAGGGCTTTAAAAATCATTGGAATGGACCAATATAATACATTAAAAAAATACTGATTTTTAGAAACCTTTCTTTTTGAAGGGCAGAAAAGTAGGACTACTTGTGGCTTAAAGCGCATTGTTGGGTATGAATATTTTCTCGTTTATCTTCACAGATAAACATTTCCTTCAGTCCTTCTGTGACAATCAAAACTATTCTCAGAATCACATTCACAGTGTCCTTTCAGAATTTGGATCTAAACGGTCACAGGGGAACTCACCCCTTTGGATAGAGTGGAATTGTGGGAACTTGCTTTGTCTTTCCCGGGATGCAACTGTTGTCAGTTCCCAGCGGTGACGCCGTGTGCCTGTCCGGCTTGCCTCCCGGCCGCCTTCCCATTGTCTGGCTTTTGCATAGCCTGGCAAGGGCGCCCTGAGGTTTGGAGAGCTTGATTTAACTGATGCCATTTAAAGTGCTGACGTCTAGGTCACTTCTCCAGGAATGCTTTTATGTCTTCATTCTATTTTTCACTGGAGTGTATTTAGCAAAAGAAAATAAAATACATGGGAAGCTATAACCTACCTTCAAATCTGGGTCTCAGCATTTTTTTATAGCAGTCAACACTGAAAATATAAACACAGGGTATCAATGAGTATTGGAGCTTACTGTTGGCAGCCAAGAAAATATTACTCTTCTCATGCTGTGTGTATGATTTGGTTTGGAGTTATTTTAAGAAAGCCTCCCCCTGTTATTCCCCAATAATGTTAGTAGATAAAATATTATCTGAGTTAATATAACCATTGCTTTGGCCTTATTTATAGCTGATGATTCTTAGAAGTAAGACATAAGAAGGAACACATCATTATTACAGTTTTTTAACTGGAATTTGTATAATGTAAACTGACTTAAAAAAATTTTTTTTGAGGATTGAACGTGGGCCTGTGAACCAAAGGATCATGGTTTGATTCCCAGTCATGGCACATGCCTGGGTTGCAGGCCAGTTCCCAGCAGGGGACGCACGAGAGGCAACCATACATTGATATTTCTCTCCCTCTCTCCTTCCCTTCCCCTCTAAAGATAAGTAAATAAGATCATAAATAAAATAAAAATTGAAATAAACAGTAAAAAATGTCTTTGAGGTACAGAGTTCTTGTTTCTCTTTGATGAGACCACTAAAATATGTGCAGTCTTTAAAATTTTTTTTTACATTTTTGAATTCATAAATCAGTAATTATTACAGTACAAGAAAATTCAGGATCTAGCCCCAATTGTCAGTCAAGAAGTTACTTGGAGATTTTTTCTTTTATCTTTCAGGTTTTCTGTTTAGTTTTGATTAGGGATAAATTATAAAGAGGGCACATAACCATATTTCCTGGCATTCATTATATCTTCAAAAATCATTTTATTGTAAAATGAAAATTGGAAAGAAAACTTAAAAACAGTGTAAATATTATGTATATCTCCCTATATATGTTTGAGCATCCTTGCTGGTTACTGGGACCTGTAGTTGTAGTTACTAGTTGGTTCATTTTGAATACATTCTATTTTAAAATTATTCACCAATGGTCATTTTTTCTTTTTTTTTGCCTATTAAATGATAACTATTTTGATTTTGGTTATACGTGGTTTTATACCTAAAATATATTTTAGAATGTTGCCTTTAATTCGATGGCTTAAATTCAGTAGTTATGTTACTGCTAAATATTACCATTTTCCAAATGTAATCAGTCTTTTTATGAGAAGGCTGATTCTTATTTGAATAAAGACCTTAAAGAATGATTTTTAAGTGTTTATTACCATGTCTGTGAAATTATATTCTCTTGTACCAGCATCACTGTGATTTTTTTAACCCTGAGAGGAAAGTAAATCATAAAAATTTAAAAATTTAAAAAGCCTAAAAGTAAGCATGCATACAATTTTACATTTCAACTTTTAAAACTTTGGTTTTAGGTCTGCTTTGACACGGATTTACCTCGTTTCTTCAAGAAAATATTGGAAATTAAAAGAGGTCTTAATAAACTGAGTTTCGTTCTTAGGACATTTGTTGTGCTTAGATTTCACATTTAGGCAACATACAAAGTAAAATTTTAAGACTTTAAGTTAAATTTCATTCAGTTGTGTGCCTCATTATTGCTCACTCAACATGTGAAATGAAAATCATATATACGTATCCAAGTTTAAACATCATCCACCTAACATTTGAGAAGAGTAATGCACACTTCGTATGTGTTATGAAGTAACTAATTTATAGGCTGAACATATTGTGTATGTAAAACGTCTTTCATGAACGTGTTACACACCCATCTTGTGGGGAACAAGTGCAGCCTTCCCTCCGTGGCCATTTCGCGCGTGTAAGACGCCACGTCGGGAAAGTCAAGTTTCCTCAGCAGCTGCCCACTCTGTGTGTACTTTGTACTTAATGTGTCATCAACTTGAAATCTTTCATTCATGGTTCCCACTAGGAGCCCTAACATTTGAATTTTTAACAGATAATAAGTCAAAGTTTTGCAATTAAAATGTAGCTAATAGAGCCATTTTGTTGATATAGAAGTTTAATAGTGTCCAATTTATGCAGAGGTAATGTCCGCTTATCAATCTTTTAAAAGTATTTTCTGAATCACTTAAAATGTTTGAATATTTGCAATTATCTAATTAGCATGCTTTGCTGACTTTCTGTTCTGTTTAATGGAGCAACTCTGCATCATCATTCTTTCCATCGCTCTCTCATAGGCTCACGATCGTTCAGAAAGTGGCGAACTGGCTTTCATTAAGCAACTAGTCCGAAAGATCCTGATCGTCATTGCCCGCCCTGCTCGGCTACTGGAGTGCCTGGTAAGCCGCCCTTAGACGTGACTCCCTTACCTGTTGTTCGCGGTGGGAGAGCCATGACCTTCAAAACGCTCTAATTCCATCTGGCTTCAAAGACCAGGGCTAAACAGAAAGAGTCAGTGGGAACCAGAGCTGTGAATGTTTATGGTGCATCCGTGTGTGACCTCTGTTTTCTGGTTTTAAGGAAACATTCTGGGACCTGTGCTGCATTAAGTGATAGTCACATCACGTTCCAATCAAACTGAGCGGATGATGGTGACCTGTGCGCTTCACCACATCTCGGTGTGATTTTTGTCGTGGCTGAATTAAAGCACTTGCTGAGCCTCACCTCTTGGGTGTGGCCGAGGTGCGGAGAGGGAGGAGTCAGAGATATCATATACGGTGGCTTGTGATTATAATTAGTATTTGTTTTTAAATTGTGGCATGTTAGAACTATATTCTAGTCAGCAGCCCACTTGGAAGAATACAATGGGGCCTCATCCATACCTAAAGAAATGAGACTTTTAGAGAATACTTCATTTTATATATATATTTTTTGGTCAGTGATCATTTTTCTGTTTTAAGATTTGTGTTTAATGTAATTCTCACTGAGATTTTATTCAACACTGTGAAGAAATATGAAGCTTAAAACATAAGAATAGTTTTTAGAAGGGCTTAGCATACTACCAAAGCTCACTTTCAAATTGTACTAGCCATTAAAATACTTAATAACTCTATGTACAATGCAGCTTTTCAGAATCCGGCATACACACATATACATACATGGTTGTATTGCTGTGGTTTTGCCCTTATTTTAATTCATATCCATAGCTCTTTATAACAGTGACATGTTTACAGCTCCATAAAGATACACTAATACATAGTGAGACATGGTGGGGGAGAAATTTGAGGAGGAAGGTAGGGGATGGTGGGAGCAGGTGCTTTCGTCAATGGCCAGGAGCCACAGAACCACAGAATCAAAAGTACCATTTGGCGTTAAGCATCCCCGGTAAAGGGGGGGAAACACCCTGACGCCTCAGCAGAGGAGGAGGATTGGAGAATGCACGTTGGAGACAGACTTTTATTATTCTCCTTGTGTACCTTCTGAGTTCTGCACCACATGCTTATACCTCCTGCAGCGATTTAGTTGCGGGTGGGTAATACCGCTTCGTGTTGAAACCCATTTCTCTGAGCAGCAGCGGATAGGTGCAGAGGTCTTGCCTTGAAAGAGGAAATGAGTCTTTTACAGTAATCATTCCCAATCAGAAGAGAAAAAGTAAAAGCATAGCCTTTGAAAGACAGAAACGAGGGGTCTTAGAAGTAAATTTCAAGTGCTTCCAGAGTTGTTTAAAACTCAGGGGAAACTGGATTTTCGGAGTGTTAGGGTCCGCGTTTCCCACCAGTGGTCTTGTGCTTGTATTTCCAGGCCTGCCCCATCTGTGAGCATAGGTCTGTACCAAGGGCACTTTGGGCGTACTCAAGCTTCTTTGTTTTTAAATGGTCTTTCGAAAGTCTTTAAGTAATTGTCAGGTGAAACCCTGAGATTCCAAAATTGCCTACTTGGGATATTAATTAAAATAAGAAACAATCTGAGGGGAAAAATAACTGGGAAGTGTAACTGAAAATAGCAATTGTGTTTTAATCTGTGAGCATAATTGTGAATGACAGGAAGAGCCCATTCCCTAAATGTGCTATCAATTTTTTCAAATGACAGAAGTAATTGGAAGCACTGATTTTGCATTTTTCTTTCTTAACTGTCACATTATATGAATGTTTATCACTTACTTGTAGAGTTTACTGATAAAAAGTGATAATTTTGAGCTTTTCCTTTCTCATATTTTTGGACACCTCTTTACTGAGGGAGTTTCCTGCGAAACCTTGGACAAATGTGTTCTAACATTCCTTCTTTTGTGCGCAGCTATCTGTGCGGAGAGAGAAACTGAATCATTTAGATGCGGTTTTCAGATACTAAAACTCTGCTAAAAAGGCACAGTTAAAGACTGAGACCTGTTTATTTTCAGTAAGATGGATGTCTGAGGTGGAGATAGGACTTTCAAAGTTGTATTACAAAGAAATTGGAAATGGTTATTTTGTTTGGGTTACCGGGTACATAAATGTGTTGTCTTAGAAAAATGACTAGGCTTTGAATATGAGGGGAAATTACATACTTTTTGAAGCCATTTGCCTCCTTCTTGTGTAAATAACCCACAACCACGTATGTCCAGCAGTTGATTGTGAAGGGGACTACGTAATAAAACCTGAAACAGTTTGGGTCCAAGAAGTATCCATCTGTGTTTGTCTTCTGCTAGGAATTTGATCCTGAAGAATTTTACTACCTATTGGAAGCAGCAGAGGGCCATGCAAAAGAAGGACAGGGTATTAAAACTGACATTCCCAGGTACATCATTAGCCAGCTGGGGCTCAACAAGGATCCTCTGGAAGGTGAGTACCTTGGTTGGGCCCACCTTTTACTTGGTATGCGCCATGACCTCATAGGAGAACTTGTGACAAATCCACTTTTTCCTCAAGTTTTGGCTCTGTCTATTGCAAAGCCAAATTTGGGGACCAGCTGTGATTCGAAGTCCTGAGAAGCAAGTGAACACGCCCCATTTTGCAGTTACCTAGAGTACGGGGGCACCCTTGAAATGCTGGTGGCCTGGCAGCTGGGCAGCGCCAGCGTCCCAGAAGGGCTTTGGTTTCAGTCTTCTCGGAGTATTTTTCTTTTCTTGCAAAATTCAGTTGAGTTCTTCTCAAGGGTGCTTTTAATTTTGAAAATGTTGCTAAAGAAATTAATTATAATTGATATAAAAGTGACACATTTAAAGTAATTTGGGAGTAAGGTAACTAACGATAGATTACTTGAAATCAGGTACAGTGTTGATAGATGGGTTTGTTTGTTTGCTTGTTTGTTTTGCTGACTTGTCCCAAAAAGGTCATAATTACAGAAGAAAGCCAATGCAGGAAAATGTTTCTTAAAGCTTATGTAAGGATGTGTGGTTGATTCAAATTAAAAAAAAAAAACCAAACAGGTCTAATGCTATTAAATACAAAGAAGAGGAAGCACCCTCTTAGTGATTTTTTTTAAATGTAATATTGGAAAATAACTCCTCCCCTTCCTTTTCCGGCTCTTTATTGTTTGTAATAGTCATTTAAAACATTTAGGTTATGTATTGCCTAAAAAGGCTCAAAATCTGATCATAGACTTCTTCATTCAAAATTGTCTTCCTGGTACATTAAATTGAATTTGCAAACAGTGTTTGCCTTACTAAATTGTTTGTAATGACGGTAACGGTTAGCGCAGACATTTTTCCATCTGCAGCCAGGGAACCTGCTGCTCCCAGCCCTGGCCTCCTATTCCCCCTGCTTTGTCTGCACGCACGGCCATCGGATCTTTGCTTCCAGGGAAATGATGCGTGCATTCCTGGGAGATAACGCCAGAAAAATTCAGACTGCACTGAAAGCAACACCACAACAGATTCAGCACTTATCAGAGGCTGGTGGCTGCTTTTCTGAAAAGTTCCCTGGGGAGAGATTTTTCCCCATGGCTTGTAAATTACCATCTTTACCTTTTTGAATCACGAGTCTTCAGAAATGGTTTAAATCAATGAAATAAATAAAAAGGGCAGATGTTTAATGGTATTTAGATGAGTTTTAAAAATCTCTTCAGGCATTACAAAATGATGCCTCAGGTTCCTGCTTCAAAAGCTGACTCTTGGTTCCATTCCATTACTACCCACTGCTTACACATAATATGTATTTCCCAGATAATAGTTATTTAGCAGAAATTCTATTTAAAACAGAACCATTTTTTAATTTGTTTTTTTTATGAAAATAATTGGAGTGGGGGAGGCTGTCAAAGTACATTACAGTGACACTTCACGCTGGAAGAGTTAGGCGTGTGTCAGGCCTGAACTGCACACGGAGGGAGCCCCTCACAGCTTCCGTGCCTGCCTGTAAACACCACTGTAGGCCCATGTGGTGGGTGAGTAATCGGAGGCTCACTCAGATTCAAATGATGATGGCATTTGAATGACACCAAGGTGATGATGTACCTTCCCAGAGTCGAAAATAATTACCAGTGATCTTTGACAAGTTTTGATTTTCTTGATTCACCTTTAAGGATAGTTTTTAACCTATTTATAGCTTAAGGTGTGATCATTACAAACTCGGATCTACATTATCTCCCCCCTCTCCTTGTCTCCCTTGACACTAACGTACCTAAAGCCTGACTTTTGAAGGTCAGGAGTGAGAGTCTGGAGCAGGACTGCCCAGGACCGCAATCTGGCAGCCAGCATTACAGTTTGGGTGACCTTGACCATGCTATCAATGAGCCTGCTTGTGCCTCAGTGTTCTTTTCACAAAAGTGGAGTAATAGTAATCCCTATCCAGAGGGTGGTTTTCAGGGTCATATGAGTTTCTCTCTGTACCCAAGATGTAGTAATGCTTTTTAAATATGAGGTGCTGTTACCATTTTATTTAAACAATATTAAAATCCCCCCTTTTCTTGAAAGCCCCTCCAAACTGAATACATTTTGGTTCAGCTCCGTGTTTATAAATCTCAAGTGCTGGCCACAGAAGATGTTGACGGCATTTGAATGACACCAAGAAACCGTACACTGTGTACTGAGCTTATTTTTATTCTTAAATTCTCCCGACAGGTAAACTGGGGAAGTGAGTGTCAGTCTCCAGTTATTGTCGAATCTGGAGTTTATTTTTATTCAAAGACAACACTCTCTTATTGTTTTGCTTCATCTGTAATCTCTCCCCAAAGTGGTGAATGTATGTATAAGAGCATGAATACATAAAATAAGGGCCTAAGAAATTTTAGATGCATACAAAAATATATAATTAAAAACCGTAACCTTTATTATACATGTTCTTTTTCAAGCCTGAAAATACTAGAAAGTCCAGATTACTGGTGATCTTGCCCTATCAAAGTTTTGGAGAAAATTCCTTTATATTCTTTTCTTTAAATAAAACATGGGTTTTTATGTATAAAAAATCAAAACGAATTAGATTTGAGTCTTCAAGAATGCATTCCAGTGTGGGTTGAATAATTGGACGCCTTTATGTCTTTTAACTAGACGCCCAGTGTGATACTTAAGCTGGTGTCAAGCACGTGGCGCCCAGCCCAGGATTGACTACATGATAAATTCAACAATATTAAATAACCATCAATATCCAGTGAGCGCTCAATTTTTGTTGGTCAACATGCTAAGAGCTTCACATGCATTATCATAAATAATACTCATAGAAAGCTCTAAAAGATGCTGTTGTCCTCTTACAGGGTAGGAACCTGAGGTTAAAAGGTCACTAGTAAGTGCTGATAGTGGTGGTAACCCACGTCTTGTCTTGGCCACACCCTGCGTAAGCACTGCTATCACTTCCTTTCTGACAAAAGGCAAATTCTTAGTGTACTCGACGGACTGTGTCTTAGTGGATGTGAGGGAAGGGAAGAGGGGATGCTCTCTCCAGGTTGAGAGTCATCTCTGAGCTGTAGTGAGTGCTTCTTTGATACCTGTCAGAGCCGGGGAAGACTTGTCTCTCTCGGGTATCTGATTATAAGCAGTCGTTGACCCTCCCCAAACTGCTTCTGAGCTGTAGTGATTGTGTTAGCCAGTGAATCTTGCTAGAATAGAGGCCCAGCTCTCAAGTACCTATTTCTAGGTGTTCGTAAGGAATGAGCTTCCATGGGACTACACCAAGCTAAAAGTTTTTGCACAGCAAAGGAAGCCATCAACAAAATGAAAACGCAGCCCACTGAATGGGAGAACATATTGGCCAATGATACATCTGATAAGGGGTTAATATCCAAGTTTATAAAGCTCAACACCAAAAACATAAACCATCCAGTTTTTGAAAATGGACAAAGGACCTGGATAGACACTACTCCAGAGAGAACATACAGATGGCCATTAGGCATATGAGAAGCTCTTCTCCACCCCGCTTCCCCTCACCGCCCCCAGGCCCTCAAAGCAGCACCTGTGGGTGTCAGTATTACTGGAGCCCAGGCCGAAGCCTGTCCAGGGCTGGGGGAGGGGTGTGACTCCAGATCAGAATGTGAGGTCTTGGTCTGTGATTTAAGATGTTGCATCTAGAATCTTGAACTGTACGTGTAGTCTCTAGTGGAAAAATCAGAGCTCTGATTATTTTGTTTTTCCTGTGAAAATGTGGTTTCTTTTGTTTGTAACTTATGATAGTGAAACATTGTGGTGGGAGGAGAGGGGGTAGTCTGACCGCCAATGAGGGAAACACCAAGGATCTCCATCATTAAATGGTGGCATGCCCCTCGGAGAGGAAGGGAGGGAGGGAGGGAGGGAAGGCAGGAAGACGCTCGATGTCGCTAATCATCAGAGAAATTTGCAAATTAAAACCACAATGAGATAACAACTTATACCTGTCAGAATGGCCATCATCAGCAATCAATAAACAAGTGTCCTGGAGGGTGTGGAAAAAAGGGAACCCTCCTGCACTGTTGGTGGGAATGCAGACTGGTGCAGCCACTGTGGAAAACAGTATGGAGTTACCTCAAAAAATTAAAAATGGATCTGCCTTATGACCCAGTGATTTCACTTCCGGGAATATATTTGAAGAAACTGGAAACGCTAATTCAAAAGAATATATGCACCCCTATGTTCATAGCAGTGTAATTTACAACAACCAAGCTGCAGAAGCAGCCCAAGTGCCCATTAGTAGATGAGTGGCTAGAAAGAGCTGTGGTACATCTACACAGTGGAATACCACTGGGTCATAGAAAAAAACCGGAAAGCTTCCCATTGTGGCAACATGGATGGACCTGGAGAGCATTATGCTAAGTGAGATAAGTCAGAGAAAGACAGCTACCATAGGATCTCACTCATGTGTGGCATCTAATGAACAAAATAAACTAACAAACAAAATAGAAACAGACTCATAGATACAGAGAACAACAGATTGATAGCTGTGGGGCTGGGTGGAAAAGGTGAAGGGATTAAGCAAAAAAGGGAAAGAAAACCTCAGAGACACACATAGCAATATGGTGATTGCCAGAGGGAAAGGGGTGGGGGAGGTTAAATAGGGGTAAAGGGGAGCTAAATGGTGATCGAAGGAGACTTGACTGGTGAACACCCAGCGCAATATACAGATGATAAAATAAAGAAGTGAGGTTCCAGGGAAGGACTTGTAATGAACACTTTCTAAATGTCAGTTGTTGGCCCTTGCCATTTTGAATTTAAGATTTTCCCATGGGTTCATTGGAGCACAATACATTTTTTTTTTATATTGGAAAAATCATTTTTCCATTGTTTCACCATGGTACTCTTATCTAATTGCAGTTGCCCTATTTTTCTTAAACTTTGTTTTTTGGTTTTTGTTTTTTTTAATTAGAAATGGCTCAGTTGGGAAACTACAATAGCGGGACAGCGGAGACGCCAGAAACAGATGAATCAGCGAGTGTGAGTATCTTCCTTCATGAAATAGGTGATGATGGTTTTTTATATGACATCTGGAGATTTTAGCTGTGCTAATGAACTTTATTTGTTCAATGAATATTTATTGTGGATTCCATGTGCAAGACAGTAGGCATAACATTTTAGTCCCTCCCTTCCAAGAGAAAGGATCTTTTCCTCCATTAAGGTCATACATTTGTTCCTGGGAGATAATAAAATACAAAGAAACCATGCAGGAACAATTAAATGATAAACTTGAATAAGCTCTATGAAGAAAAAGGGACATGTGCTAGTAACACCTAACATGAAGAGGTTTACATGAGTCTTGCCATTCCCAAAAGATCTCCCAGAGAAATGACACTTGAGCTTGAGATGTGAGATGTCACTAGGATATGAGGGGGTAAGGGAATGATCCAGGCCAGGGGACTAGTGTGGGCAAAGACTATGACACAAGGGAGCAGAGTGCATGTGAGGACGAAGAGCAGGGGACGCTGTAGGGACTGGAGAGCTTGGTTAAAAACTGGACACAGAGGTCCTTGTTCATCTTTGTCAGTTTTTTTCTTTCAAACAACAATGGGAAGCTTTTGAGCTTCGGAGGAAATACATGGGTACCGGGGGTGGAGGGGAGCGCCCAGGGAGATGACTGAATCTGAGTTACGGCCTGGAAGAATCTCCCTGATGGCGAGGGGAGCAGGCAGGGGTCACCGTGGGGACGCCAGTGAAGAGGCAGATGCAGCCGCGCAGGTGAGAGGTCCTGGGTGCTGCTGCTGTTCTCCTGAATTGCGGACAGCAGAGGAGGAATCAGGATGGAGCCGGCGCGGGTGGCCAGGGAAGACGGGCAGCTGTGTAGCCTAAGAATCCAGACTCTGGAGTCACACTGCCGGATTGGAAACCCGCTCCACCTCTCTCCGACTGGGGACCCTCTTTGTGCATCAGTTTCTCCATCTGTAAAATGGATGTAAAACAGTAAATGAGATAGCTTGTGCACAGTGGTCAGGACAGCACCACATAGTTAATGCTAAGTAAATGGTAGCTGTTTTTGTTTGTTTTATACTTGTCATAATTTTGAATGTGTTGAGACCGACGTACCTTTGAGACACCCAAGAGCCATCAAACTAGCAGCCGCGTGTAGGATGTGGTATCTTCTGACGCTTGGAGGAGGAGTTTTAGTCAGAGGTCTGGGTGACTTAGGAGTCATCCATTGCCATAAACGAGGTCACTCTGAGGTAGGGAAGACTTAGTGAGACAAGCTGGTCCCAGTCTTGAGTTACATTTTCTGAGGTGGAACACGGGCAGGTGATGACTAGATCAGGTCCTATGGCCAGAAGCCCAGGGGAGAGACAGGGGAGAGTTGGTTGTCTGAGTTGAGGAGGTCAGGCGGCCCAGAGGCCAGGGCATTGCGTAAGTTATCTGCGTAGACACTGAAGTCACCCAGATGGTGAGAGAATGTCAGCAGAGAGACAGGTGGAGAACTGGGTGCCCAAGTCTCCCAAAGGTAAGTGAATGACAGAGCCAGCTGATGACAGCACTGAACGGGGGAGCATGGATGGGCTCCTTCCCAAGTTGTAGGACAGGAGTTCCGGGCTCTGCAAAAGGAGCACTGAGGCTGGCAATGCCCTCTCAGTGCTGGGGAGACTTGGAGTATGAGAAAAATGTTTTAAAAAGCACTTTATTGGTTCATGTCCTTTGAAGTAAACTTTTTAAAGAGCTCTCTTTTGGATAATTGTTATCCAAACCATGGTGAGACTTATGGTATGGCAGTAAAAAAGAGCAGACATTCTGTGCTTGGGTGTCCCTTGCGTCGACAACTACCTTTTCCAAGCGAGAAAGGCTGCTGCAGGAACAAAATAGCCACTCTCCGCTCAGGGACGGAGAAGCCACAGCACCCACCAGCCCCCTGACAGCCACTCCGGCCTGTTCTTTTTATTTCCTGGACAACTGAAACCAGAAGGAAGGTTTGGCATTCTGGGCTTCAGTCTCAGACTTCGAAAGACCAGGGTGAGGCTAGCCTGAGTAGTTAATGGAGGTTAATTAACATTGGGAATTCTCAAAAACTGGGTGCCTTCATCTCCTGAAGTGTGGGTTCACTTAAGTGACATTGTCGTGAGCAGTAGTTTATTAGCACTGCTCTGGGAAATTGATGTTTAAAGCTGTCCCCCAGGTTCTTTTGCTGGAATATGGCACTTCAACATATTGCACAGAGCATGTAATTAAAATATTATATACTTGGCTATTAAAATCATGTTCTTGAATTCTCGACTGTTTTTAACCTCCATATTTTGTTTCCCAGAGCTCTAATGCTTCCCTGAAACTTCGAAGGAAACCTCGTGAAAGTGATTTTGAAACAATTAAATTGATTAGCAATGGAGCCTATGGGTGAGTAATTCAAAAAAACTTTATTGTATTTTAACACACTGGAGTAATATGCTCTTCGCTTTATCATGTGCCAAGTAGATGTTGCATAGGAACCTCAGCTCTTGTTGCTCCTGCGTGGGTGTGTGCAACATGCAGCCACGATCATTTTTACTGGGTGTCCCATCAGAAAACATACTAGGGGACCTGGGAGTTATTTTAGAGGATCAGAGAGGATGGCTTTAAAAGTAAAAATTTATAAGGGAAGGAAAATTTTTATATATGCCTGCTTCTGCCTCTTTTATTCTGTCCTTTCGGATTCAAAAGTAACTGTCTCTTGTTTGATACAGATATATGTGTATCTGTGAATATATAGAGAGATACATATACACAGGCACATCTAGATATATATGTCTGAATATACATACTAGCATCTCAATAAAAAATATATATATCTGAACATGTGTAAGTTCATATATAGCATTACTGCTTCTGAATTAGCCAGTACTTCTCTCTGACCAGCAGTCAACCCGGTAGGGAAGTATTACTATTTAGGTAGGAAGTCTGGTTGAAAATTAAGAGCAATACATTTCTTTTAGTCTTTATATTTTACCAGGATTGTTGTTCAGTTGGACTCTCTGTTATAATCTGATGACATCACTGGTCCCTCTTCCTTAACCCATTTTTACAGACCTGTGACTTCCTTCTTGTGGCAAAGGGTCAATACTGACGTGATTCTTTGGAGTTACTAATAAATAGTTTAAAAGGGTAATTAATACACAAACTATGTCCTGGTCCATTTTAGATGGCCCAGGGACTTCAGTTTAATTAAGTATTAATCCCAGTTCCATCTGTAGATGGAGAGCAACAGAGTCCTAGATGTTTACTGGCATTTATCTCACATGTGAGCAGATGCGATAAAAGTGATTTTGGTTGTGCCACAAGGGATATTTCTCCTTAAAAATGTTTTTCTTGCCTCTGATATTTTCCACACTATGAACTTAGTCAAGAACTTAAAATATTTGTGAGTTATTCCTGTGCTTCACTGATTTATTTGCTTTTCAGGATCATGTCAAATGGCTTATTTCCTGAGATGGCTTATAAATGTTCTCTGATGGTTGTTTGCCCCCTCCCCCGCCCCGATATTTCCTTTAAGGATCTCAATGAAACTTCCCTACTGAAGAAAACTGTTTTAGCGTGCAGTTATTGGTGGGTTTTGTTTGTTTACTATGTGTTTTTAGATCTTTCCAGCTTTGGAGACCCTCTAAGGATTTCTTTCGTCATTGGGGAGAAGATGGGCCTTTGATTTAATGGGCCCATGGATTTGAGCTCTGCTAGGTTTAATTGGCAGTAGAATTCGGGAATGAGAGTATCTGTGGAGCCACATTTTTATAAAACGTGGGCCTAGATCTTAGCAGTATTTGGAGTTCTAATTGGTTGAATAAACTCATTTGTAGTGCAATTAAACCACAGTACAGTAGATGAGGTATATCACACTTCAGGGAATGGTTGGGAATATACAAGAAGTTAAACAAGCTGTGAATCAGTAAACACCCAGGATGCAGGCCAAGTCATTAACGGGCTCGCAAGCTGCCTGCAGGAGCCCCTGCCAATCAACTAAAAGTTTTTTTTTCCTCTTCTGCTCTTCTCAGATTTAATCTCTCGTTACAGATTTTGACAGATTTCCTTAAAGTATTAATTATTTCCAATTCAAATTTGAGTGGAGCTACACCCATTGCTCCACCCAGTCAAGGTGCCGATGGCAGGCCTATGCGAGCTGTGAGCAAATGGATCCCTCGGTGGGCAGGTGAACTGGAGCTGCTGGGAGCTTTCTCAGGCATCTCTGTGACAGTGTAGCGCTCACGGCAGTGACTCGGACAGTGACGCTGATTTTGAAAATTGGTTCTGTTGGGAACAAACCCCCTCATTAGGAAGAGCTTCTTACCTGACATGCTAAAACATGTGGTTTTCTCAACTTCCTACTTAGTGACAATTCATGTTAGAAAGCCAGTTTGCTAATTTGATAAGCATCTGATTTCCTTCTCCGTTCAGCATGTTTCAGATGACCGACTAGAAGTGCAGCATCCCTCCGTGCCAACGCAGCACTTTGCAGAGAGCTAACACTTGGCGCTGTGAGCCAGGTTCGCTCTGGTTTCTTTATCTGCGCTTTCTTCCCACACGAGCCCTGCGTGGCAGTTAGTATTACTCCTCTCAGATGTGGGAGGCGGGCATAGTCGCAGACACTGATTCCACGCAGAGCTCTTTTCTGATGTGAAGTGTTCTCTTGCTATAACTTCTGACCATGTTAATTAGGTCTTAGGTTGAGCACTTCCACTTGGATTTTTAAATTACAACTTTTAATGTTTTTAAAGTCAAAGCAGAAAATTGATTAAAAATTCTAAAAAGTAAAAAAGATTAAACTCTAAGGGCACATTGTTTGTCCCCCACTTTGCTTTACTTTCTTGCCTTGATCTCTTCCACCCGTCAGACGTCAGCAGAGGGGCCAGCTGATGGTGCCCCAGTTCCCGCACGTTCTCTCCCCGTAGCCCTCCCTCTCAGCTTTCCTCCAGTGCATGCTCTCTCATTCCCGCATGCAGATTGGCTTGCACAGATTCATGTCTCGGGCTCTCAGACTCATACATAATTTTATACGCATTAGACATTCACACTTCCCATAGGACTGATTTATTCTGCTCCAGATCCTGTCGGCGTCTGACTCCATCCCCTCTCCCCCCCACCGCCCCCGACACACACAGGCACATACCTCAGTTCCACATGGGGGGAGTGAAACTTGGCTCTGAGACAACCAGGGCCCCCGGCTGCCCTACTCCCTCCGTCACCTTCCACCCTTGAATCTTCCTATTTCATAGGGAGGTCGGTGCAGGGAAAGAGAGGCAGAAAACAGCTTTTTCAAAGAAAACAACCCTGGGCCAGAAAGCAGAGGAATGTGGGGCTGAATCACTTCACTCCAGTTTCATAATCTTGGGAGGTTTACCGCTCTGCGGAACAGCATCAGCTATTGGCTTCCGTGTGTCTGCCTCTCTTTTGTTTTCTCTTTTTCAATCAGTCTCTCTCTCTTTCTCTCATGACTTAAGTAGATTTGGAGCATTAATTAACAGGAAAGGAGGAAAGGTATATGTGAAAGGTAATTATGACTGAATAAACAAATGTCAGCATTAAGAATAATATTCCCAAAACAGTATAAAAATGTAAACAAAGAACAGTGAGACAACAAGTGAACAAAAATCCAGCTACAGCAAATTCTAATTAAGAAGTCTACCTGACTTTTGCAACTTGATCAAGATATGGGTGTCCTGAGGCAGAGCTATCTCAAGCTATCTATAGGATTAATTTCACTTGGTTTAGATAAATTTCCCTAAGGATTAACTGATTATTTTAAGTACATCACGGCAAGGGAAAGTGGGAAATCAAATCAAATTTGACTCCAATCAATGCACTCAAAACTCTGCGAATAAAGATTGGAGCAATTTTTGCCCAGTGCCACTGAAAACCTAGTCTGGCTGATGGTCGAATTGGGCCTCAGCCAGGGTTTCTCTTTCGTTCTTTCATAAATTTGGGTGCAGCTCCCTTCTTCCTCCTCCTCCTGTTACTCTCGAACGTATTGCTGAACAGTTATTTGTGTAAGAAATGCTGTGCTTGGTTGGAAATCAAAACGGTGACCTTCTGAGAGTCTAACAGCGAAGCTCATGTTGTCATGTGCACGGGTCCTCGGCACTCGACCTGCTCAGCGTCCCCTGGTGAAAGGAGAGATGGGGAGTGACCTCTGCTCCAGTTACTCCTCAGAATAGGCCAGTGATAATATGAAGACACTGTCTTCTAACGTTTTGAATTCTACATTTTATTAAACATAGATTCTCTATTTCAAAAATTCCTCTTCAGGACAGTGTGTGTGTACCAGTGCTGTCTTGTCTGGAAGGGAAGGTTGCACTGTTTCCTGTGCTCCTAGGTACTGTCCTGCTACCACAGCTGAGTAGAAGCTCAAGTGTTCTTAAGATTTTGATTTTAACCAGTCAGCAATTGAAAAAAAAAATATATATATATAGTAAAAGAGGAGTAAAGCAAAGCATTGTGTAAACAGATATTCCCCCCCCAAAAAAAGTATAATTTTGTGAATGAAAGAAGAAGATGGATACAAAGAGAAGACAAAAGTAATGATACCCAACTTGAAAGAAGAATGAATTCCTAGTTGAGTACTCAAGGGGGAAATGTGGATATAAATTAAACTGAGATTGAATATACTTAAGATTTATGGAAGTGGACCACCTTATGTATGGCGCAGCGGGAATATAGGGCACCTTAGTCCCCGATATTCACTTCAAGCACAGTGAAAGTAAAGAGTGGAAAATGCGTCTCAGATCAGATAGCCTCTTGTTTTAGGAGGCAGACCATTGGATCTCTCTCACTGTAACTGATTGCTTTTTAGGTAAATTACTACTTGTTTTATCATTGCATTTGTTGTAGGGCAGCCTCATGTAAACTGTTACACAATTCTAACAACTGATGGCTCTTTAGGTAAATTACTCCTTATCTGAGCATTGCCTAACCTGAGAATTCTTCCACAATAATGGCAAGTGAGGAGTAACTAATGAGAAAAGGAGCCAGTCCAAAACACTTTCCTCGTTGCTCCTCAATTCCTGATAGAGTTCTGAGACTTGTCCTCCTACTTATTTCTTTTTTCTACGTCATTCAAATCCTCGGGGAGTACAGTGTGTGGTCATAGAATACGTGGAAGGTAGACCACTCTCTTCTGTTTGGGTGAGGCTTTGGGCAGAGGTTCAGCACAGCCTACTCATTTTACAGTAAAGTTGCCCGACACCTGGCTGTGGATTGGGTGGTGCAGAAGTCACTGTATTGTCAACCCACTTTTGTGTTGGGAAATGCATTTCCTGTTGAGCCAAGCACAGGTGTTACTCATGCCAAAGTTTGTAGTGAGGAAATATACTATTCTTCGTGTATGAGGGACAGCCTCATATGACCTATTCCACGCTTCTCATTTATCTGGAAATTTCATGGGTAATAATTACTCTCAAGCTAGAAGCCAAGTACTCTAAGAAGCTATGATGGTCCTTTTGCAAATTCCAAGGTTATCATATTGAAAATATTTGCTTTAGTCAGTGGAGAAAAATGTCTAAAATATATCTAATGTTAGAAAGGATTTTGCTCTCATCATGTGTATGCATTTTTAATTCTTTCCTGTTCTGGTTTATATGTTGGATTTTATTTTGTTTGTGGAAAAACCAAGAACATCAGGTAGCTATTGGAAAATAGCCCATTCTGGAGATTGTCCATTTTCTTCCTTCAGCAGTGAAGATGGGTTTGATGCCTTATGTATGACCTGTGATTTTTATTGAAACAACTTTTTATGAAGTTAATCTAGCTGAAGGATTTTGGCCTGGAACACGATGTTTATAGCTGCCAGCATAACTGTGTGAGTTGGATCGCAGCTCACATGCAAACGTAAAAGAAGTCGATGATCACATGGTTTACTGTACCCAGAAGCACCCTCTGTTCCCGTGAAGCCCAACTCCTGTGCTCCTTTTCAGGGCAGTCTACTTTGTTCGGCATAAGGAATCCCGGCAGAGGTTTGCCATGAAGAAGATTAACAAGCAGAACCTCATCCTCCGAAACCAGATCCAGCAGGCCTTTGTGGAACGGGATATCCTGACTTTTGCAGAGAACCCCTTTGTGGTCAGCATGTACTGCTCCTTTGAAACAAGGCGCCACCTGTGCATGGTCATGGAATATGTAGAAGGTAAATCAGTCTGGCACAGAGAACGTGACACCTGTACCCAGAAACTCCTTGCTCATTAGTGCGGCTGAAGTGGTCTGTATTTGTGCAGCATAATGTATCCACCTAGAAACTGAAGCCAGGCAGTGAGATGGCTGTATTCCCAGCCATTATCTTGTGATAATTGCTTGTAAAGAGCCTGCTGTACTATAACAAGGGGGAAATTAGTGCTATTTGGAAAAAGGTTGTTGTTTTCCTTTTTAAATAGCATTCAATTCTAACTATCTTCTCTCAGTTGGTCATTAAACTTAGAATATGGGTGATGGGATTTTTCCTACCTATTTTTATCACGTATCATAAAAGCAATTCATTACAACTGAGTACTCTGAAAGAGTGAATTAAAAGTATATCCTTTCAGCACTCTCCCTCCTGGGAGCACACCCGCACCTTTCCCTTCTGCCTCCTCTTCCCCAGTAGGCAGGCATCTCCTATAAACTCAAAAGGTGCCCGGGAGACTTGCAACCAGGGGGGCAATGGGCAGGGGCAGCTCATCCCGGGCTAACCCCTTGAACCCGCCTGCAAGGCCCTTTTTCTCTGATTTCTCAGTGAGCTGACAGCAGCTCCACCTTGGCTCACTTCTGTCACTGTGCCTTTATTTCTCAGTGAGCCAAAGCAGCCCTGCCTGGGCTTTCTCCTGTTGCTTTCTCTGTCCTCAGTCCTTCCTTGTTTCACTATTCCCAGCTGTAATAAATGCACTTTCAAAAAGAAAGGTATATCCTTTCTGGTTTATGGTAGGAAATTAAAAATGAGTTAGGGGAAAGGGGATATTTAAATGATTCAAGAAAATCTAGCCTTTTTTGTTTGTGGTCTGTTAGGTGCTCCAAGTAATTTTATTTTCATCAGTTTTACATGAAATTTGTGAATGTTTAAGTGTCTGTGGGTTGTTGACCTAAACAGTCAATAAAATGAATTGATCACCAAGGGCCAAAACAATTTTTTTTAAAGATTTTTTATTTATTTATTTTTAGAGAGGGGAAGGGAAGGAGAGAGAGAGGGAGAGAAACATCAATGTGTGGTTGCCTCTCATGTGGCCCCCACTGGGGACCTGGCCCGCAACTCAGGCATGTGCCCTGGCTGGGAATTGAACCGGCGACCCTTTGGTTCACAGCCCGTGCTCAATGCACTGAGCTACGCCAGCCAGGGCCAAAACAATTTTTAAAGCATCTAATTTAAGCTCTCGTAATTGTTTGAACGGAATCTCAAAACGATAAAACTGGAAGAAACACTAAATATCATTTAGTTCAACCATTTTATTTTGCAGATGAGTGAACTGAGTCCTAAGAAGGGGGAGACCTACTAGATATTTCGTGGTAGATGTCAGACAGAAGCATAGCTTGCCTGATTGCCACCCGTTGTTCTTTCCACCACGCCAGTACTTTGCTTTACTAACCATTGTTGTGGCTATTTTCACCATTGACATTTATCATGTGTTTAATGTGTCTTGGCAGTATCCTTAGATCTTTACACAAATTACCTCATTTAATCTTCATAATAATTCTAAGAGGAATGGCACTATTATTATCCTGATATTAATGGTGCAAGAACCAAGACGAGTTTCCCTACGATCTCCTCACCTGTAACAGCCAGAGGCTAGGGTTCGAACTTGGGCAGCCTGATTCCAGAATCATGTTTTGTAATGGCATATTTTAAATTCTCGCCATGTTGCTAAAATTATGGCAGCAGTTTTTCAAACTTCATTTCCACGTCAGAACCAAACCTGCTCTCTTCTGAATACTGCTTCTTGAATTAAGAACAAAATCTGTATTTTCTCCACACCATATCTTAATCAGAAGCATGATTACTTAATACACAGTCTCCACTTATGAATGTGATATGCTGTGTCTGTGGGTAAAGGCCGTTCGGCTTTGAAGTTCTGCAGTCCAAACTGATGGTCATCTTCAACCCTAGCTGATGCTGTACCCGCTCCATCTTCTTTGTATGTTTTACAGGGGGTGACTGTGCTACCTTAATGAAGAACATGGGTCCTCTCCCTGTTGATATGGCCAGGATGTACTTTGCTGAGACAGTCCTGGCCTTGGAATATCTGCATAATTATGGGATTGTGCACAGGGATTTGAAACCAGACAAGTATGTACGCTGATGAAATGCGTCTTTCCTTTTTACACAAATATAGAAGTTTTCTTAGGTCTATAAACTATTTTCTTTTAATAGTGTTTTACACATTTTAAAATCTTCCCATAGTGTCCCCAAATGAGTTATTTTAATGGTATATATGCTACTTCTTTAAAGGTCGTGGTGCTTATAATGATAGCTTATAGGAAATGGAAAAAAAGAATGATAATAAAGCCAAGGTTAGTTAATTTTTTCAAAACTCTTTGTTATATAAGCTCTTGAATAGCTACATTAACTGTTATTAGTGTTCTGGATAGTTTCTGCATTTGGTACTGTACTTAGGTAATCCGTCCCTTCTGAAAAATGATGTGCTTGATATTATATTCTATTTTACTCATAATTTAATTTTTAAAATTTTGGTCTATCTAGAGTTCATTATGGTACCTGATTTGAGATACAGATAGACAATTTTTCTCTAAATGACTAGCTATTCATCTTGACACTGCTTATTCAATGTTTCATGCTTTCTCTACTAATTTGAAAAGCCTCTAAATGGGTTACATGTTAATATGTATACCTTTTATGAGTACAGAAAATTATGTAATAAGTTTAAGTCATGTTCATTCCAAAAAATTGGGGAAGTGCAAAAAATATTTTTCTTTAAATATCTTTGGTAATGTACAACATTGTCAAGCAAAGGCAACTAATAAAATTTTAACCTATTGCCTTTCAGTAGCTTTCCTGCCCAACTGTTTAGACCTTTAATTTTTAATTAATTAAAATTTTGATTTTTTTCCCTAAAATGAAAAATGTTTTTAAAATAAAACTTTATAAAGTTGTCAAATGTGAATTTGTTGTATGTAGAAGAAATGTAGGTTTTGTGCTTAATGAGTGGAAATTTAAATTCAAGCCAAAAGCTGAAATTTTAAATAATTCTACATTTTCCTGTCCAAGTTTCTTATGTCTTGTTTGAGTCACAGATGGGTTGCTTATCTTAGTTCCTGATGTGTGACATGCTGTATTATCGGTAGCCCTTTTTCTTCTGTTCTCTTACTCTGAAAATAGATGTCTGAGTGCCACACTGGAAGTCTTCTAAGAGTTTCAGATTACAGATGACATTGTATGTGGCTGCCCCAGCCGAGATTAGTGGGGCCCAGGCACTGGCCCTCCCTTGTGAATTACTCTGAGTTGCCAGATGGAAGTATTTGACATCTTCGTATGACTTCCTCTCTTTCCAGGCTGGGTTTCTAATAAAGCTGACACCTATATACTAAATAGTTTTACAGTTGACAAGAGAGGAGGGAGAGAGCTAATAAAAAAGAAAGAAAGAAAGAAAAAAAAACCTGAGAATGAAATTCACAGCGAGTGTTGTAATACATATCCTTCTGCTTCATAGTTTGTTGGTCACCTCCATGGGGCACATAAAGCTGACAGATTTTGGATTATCCAAGGTGGGACTAATGAGCATGACTACCAATCTTTATGAGGGTCACATTGAGAAGGATGCCCGAGAATTCCTAGACAAACAGGTAAGCTTGCGTGCTGTGCGGTCTGTGGAGAAATACCGAGTACGATATTGCCAGTGAACTTCAGAATTGACTTGTGCAGGCCATCTTCCCATTAGTACTGGGGTTTAGATGTCTGTATAAGCCTTACATTTAATAAAGTGCAAATTGCCTCCATTTTTCTCCCTGGGCCTCTCTGAACTGTCCGTTCCTTCACATTCCTCCCCCAATATTATGGTCTATTAGCAAGACAAACGACCTAATTGCACACAAGTGAGAGTATGAGAGAGACAAATGGAAAACTGTTTTTGTAAGGAATTCAGGAGTCTCAGTAGAGCACTCGAGAAACTCATGATGCATTGTGCCATCGCGGGCGCTAAAATCCGAGCCATGGCCCATTTCCCTTTAAACACGCCTCATTACCATGTGCCCACAATCTGTTCACTGTAAGGTTGCTTAAGGTAAACACATCTCAACTGTCATGCTTTTATGAAGTAGCCAGGGTGTAAATATATTTTAGCCGTAGAAATGCTAAAACTATCTCTGAAAGTGACAGATAAAAAATACGCTATTTTAAACTTAAGAATTACAAGCGTTTCTAATGCTGTAAAATAAGTAAAACTACCAAACAGCGTCACGTGATCGATTTGAAGTGACACATTACAGATAGTTTGACATTAGAGTAGAATTTTAAACTTCCTTTCTTTGGTATTTATATAATTAACGGCCTTTAGTAGTTGGGATGCTGATTTAGAATTGCTGTTTTTAAATTTCTTGTCCATGTGGTTGCATGTGGTTGAGCAGGTGCACTCTAGGCAAGATAATTGATGTTTAGCCTCCTTGCTCATTTTAATTTATGTCTAATATTGCAATTATTCTGCTGTTGCATTGGTCTTCAGGTGTGCGGCACGCCCGAATACATTGCACCAGAAGTGATTCTGAGGCAGGGCTACGGGAAGCCTGTGGACTGGTGGGCCATGGGGATTATCCTCTATGAGTTTCTGGTTGGATGCGTGCCATTCTTTGGGGACACTCCAGAAGAGCTATTTGGACAAGTCATCAGTGGTAAATATCACCAGGAGTCATCTTTAAGCCACTCTTGGGGGGCAGCTATTTAATGTAATTTTATGAAGTTATCACCATATTTACTACTGAAATGTTAACCTTTATCAAACAGTTTGGCCAACAAATTAAAAGAACTCACTCATCATAGTGCATAGCTGGCTTGCATAATACCAAGAGAGCAATATGGGTTGAAAATTGCTCTGAGTAGGTTTTGTTAACACGGAATTTGGAAGTGTACTGGCAATATAACCAGTTTTTATGCTTTGTTCTTTCTGTAAAACAAATCAGTGTGGGACTTGCAAATGAGTTCATTGCTGTCCAGTCTTCCTTTCCATAATAGCAAAGTTGCACCAGGGAAGAGAAGGTTAATGTGGGTAACATTTACATAAATGGAAAAATGGCTAAAGGCACAATGAAGAAATTAACAAAAGTGTAATAAATCCTAAAACAAATGTCTACCAAATAATAAATAATGACAGTGGGCAGGAAGCAAATTTAATCCACAGATTGTTAATGATTTCATTGGTAGTTGTTATGGTGTAATGTTATTTTTGTAACAGCTGTTCATCTTTCATTTAAAATTCAGTAACCTTTAGATCTTACCCTGCAAGCTGACCCTAACTATTGTTATGTAGCTTCTGGCAAAACTAGATGATAATTAAATAGCCTCTATTACTACCCTACCTGCTGTTTTTATAGATTTCCCCTAAGCATAGATCAGAAAGACCTCCCTGTCTCAAAGTTTGTCAGTGATTACTGATATCTCCATTACCTACTTCTCGTCTATTCTGGGCTGGGCTGGCTCATGGGATCCAACAGTGGAAGTAGGAAAAATTCATTCTGGAGCCCTTTAACCACAGCATTATTTTCTGTCACTGACTTTGCAAGTCAGACATATTTGTAAACTTTAACAAAATAGATTTGTGAGTTGCCTGCAGTGAATAACCCTTTTATACAATATCTGAGCTGTTTATGGATTTATAACTAGGCTGTTTTCTGATATGCCAAGACCTAAATGGCAAGAGGAATCAACTGTTTAATTAACACAAGCAGCAAATGCTGGCTTTGTTCTCGGTGCCTTACGGCTCAGATGCATATTCATGTTTTACTTTCCAAATCAGATTTAAAGTGCAGGAGAGGAAGCTAGAGGCAGGCGCACACAGAAATAATTCATGTTTTTATTGCATTTCCATATACACAAGCATGCACACCTATCTTCAGGCAAACTCCTTCAGAATGTAGAACATATTCTAATATTTATGACAGATTTTAAAGACTTCCATTACTATGATTACTTTGGATTTTTTTTCTTTAGGATTAGCATTTTGACCTTTCCTTTGTCTCTAGAAATTGTTATTTTTTTAAAAAGATTTTATTTATTTATTTTTAGCGAGAGGGAATGGGAGGGAGAAAGAGAGGAAGAGAAACATTGATGTGAGAGAGGAACATCAATGAAGTGTCTTCACATGTTCCCTGGCTGAGAACAGAGCCTGCAACCCAGGCGTATGCCCTGACTGGGAATCAAACCAGCAGCCATTCGCTTTGTGGGATGACACCTGACACACTGAGCCACACCAGTCAAGGCTAGAAATAGCTATTTTTTATAAAAGTACTTCTTGCTTCTTGGAGCTGCAGAACTGTATGGCTGAGGAAAATAGAGAAAGTCTTATTCCGCTGATCCCTGGATGGGTGAGCACCTAAAATACAGGTGTTGAGAGTCTCTCCTATGTCATGTCCTTTTATTAATTAGATAGATCAATTTGTCGAGAGCCAACTCTGCCAAAGGAAAATGAGTCAAAAAGGCAAATGATAGATAACACTTACTGAAATAGTTTCTCCCTGCCGCCTTCCAGGCTGTGCTATTCATGTCTTGTGGAACAATGCTTTTAAAACTTGCATGAGCCCAGAAATTAACTGAAGATCCTGTTTAAAATGCATTTTCTGATTCAGTGGGTCTGGGTGGGGCCCAAGATCTGCATTTCCAACCAGCTCCCAGGGGACGGCCGTGCTGTCGGGACATGGACCACCATTTGAGCAATAAAGTTGTCAACTGCTTCCCTTCCTCCTAGATGAGATCAACTGGCCTGAGAAGGACGAGGCGCCACCACCCGATGCCCAGGACCTGATCACCTTGCTTCTGCGGCAGAATCCTCTGGAGAGACTGGGGACAGGTTAGAGCATGTGCTGTCCTTTTGCTAATGTGCAAGAAATAATGTTTGTGTGGGACACTCAGGTTTCTGTTTGTCCCTTTTTTTTTTTTGGCTTAGGAAGCATCTGTTAATTGATGTAGAACATGACCACAAATCATTATAACAGCAGTATTTTGATATTTTTTCGGTTCACAGCACACATACTAGGAACATTGGGTGGTGTTATTTGTTTGTTTTTGTTCTTTTTGTTGTTGTTGTGGGTTTGGGGTTTTTTGTTTGCTTTTGTTTATTTTGTTTTGTTTTGCAAAACAAATTATTAATTTGTTTCAATAAATAAAATTTATCTGGAAGAAAACCTCAAGGGCCATATAACTCTTTTGTCCTGAAAAGTATGCATCTTAAATAATTTGAAACAGAGGATTAGAGACGTGGAACTTTTTTGTTTGGGGGTTGATTTTTATTTTAATTTTTTTCATCTATATTCCCAGAAAAATTTGACCCAGCATGTCACTGTCTCCAGGCTTTGACATGGGTTATCAGTTCTTGAACCAGTTACTAAACATGAATGCCTGGGGTAGAAGCTCACTCTTGCATCCTGGTGATCAGCACCAAGGCCCGAGAAAGAGGATAGAAACTATTGACTTTTAGGAGTAAGGAGATAATCGATTTATTAGTTGCTGACTATTTTTCCTGACAGTTCTGCTATTGTTTTTTTTATTTCTGATTCCTCTTTTCCTTTTTTTTCCTTATATTCTGAATAAACAGACTTAGAGATCCCAAGATAAGAGTTCCAGCCTGCCCCATAATGTGGATTTTTATAGATGAGACTAAATATTAAATATAAGCACATATAACACACACACTGCAGACAGTATTCACAGTTTCCATCAGTAATTGTGATGGGTCGTTTACTGAGCTGTTTCATTCTACTTCATTTTAACTGAAATATCAGAAAATATGGAAGAAATGAGGCTCTCCCTCCTTTTATCCTAGACAAAGACCATTTGCAACAGCTCCAAATATTTATCTTACATTGTTCTCCACATTTGTCTATAGCTTCTCTAGTTGGAGAGTTCTGCTCTTGTGTAAGTATGGAATGCTACACTGCTAGAGTTGATGATGATGCATTAAGACCCATGGGCCAAATCTTTGTTTTGTACATAAAGATTTATTGAAACGCAGCAACACCATGCATTCACATATTGTCTGTGGCTGCCTTCATGCTGGGCTGAGTAGTCATGACAGACTGTATGGCCCATAAAGCCTAAGACATTTACCGTTTGGCTCTTTACAGAAAAGTCTTGCAGACTTTGAGTTAGAGAATCAGTTTAAAATCAAGGCTTAATTGGGAAAACTGTTTGGAGTTGAGCCTCGTACTGGAGTCCCATGTGTCTCTTTGCCTTTTTTAGTGGATGAGTGTGCCTTGAACTAGAAAAGGCAGTATCAGTGGCAGGTAAGGGCCCAAATGCTGGAGTCAGATTGAGTGTAAATCTCAGCTGTGTGACCAAGGCGAGTTATTCCCCTTTCTGCGCCTCGTGTCCCCCTCTGTGAAACGAAGCACGTACCTCCACCACCCCCTAGGATCGTGCGGGGATAGAAGATCACCCACTGTGGCCCTGAGAACCAAGTGTGACACTGCTGCTGCTGGCATGGTCGTTTTAACTTTCTGCAGGTGTCGTGTCGTGTTTTCCCCTTTGGACAGGTGAGGTACAGAAAAGGTGGCAGTACCCCAACTTTTGAGGCAGTTGAGCTCTTTGAACAGAGCACTTCACATTTCTTCTCTAATTGGTTTTCCCCTTCTCTGAAGTGACTAGCAAACTTGTTACTTCCCACCTTCTAGGACTGCAGACAGATTTGCTTTATGGTTCAACACCTAAGAGTAGCTGTCAAAGAATTGGCGTCAAGGTTCTGTATGGGGTAGAGTTTTGAGGCGTGATTTTTACTCACTTGAGCCAGATAGGAGAAGCAATGGCATCTTAAGCTTGCCCAGCAACAGTACGAGGATCCATTTACACGTCCAAACCGACTGTCCCAGAGAAGTGTTGTCCTCAGGTCTGACTAAAATTGTATTAGAATCAGCCCACCACTTCTAAAGGGTCTTTTTCTCTTCTGTGTTCGCATGTCAGTTTGGAGAGTTTTCCCACTTACTGTTCTGCCCATTTCCCTCCTCTAAGAATACTTGGATTCCTGATGGATGTTATATGCTGCAAGTCATCTGTCCCGACATTTTCTCCTTGACTGCTACTTTCGGTCTTTTCAGGTTTGACAGTTTGAGAAACAAATATGTAGCTCAGGCTCAGAAGAGACGTTTGAAAAACCCTCCTCGAGCTCTTAGTGTGGTCAGCAAGTGCTTGCCAAACAGGCAGGGCCAACGCGACAGGTCCCAGTAGGGCTCAGAATGAGGCTGAGAGTCCCTCCGGCCTGTCGTGCTGCTTCCAATGACAGCATTTTGGATTTAATGCATATTTAGCAGCAAAATAATGCACTGTGAAAATGTGCGAATGCACAGTTGCCCGAGAGACTAGAGAGGCTGAGAAAAGGAGTGTGAAGAACATAATGGATGTTTAAGAAACTTCCATGAAAGGAGAGAAAAAACTCAAGGGAGAACATTAGTGCCAAAGCATAACTTGCAATTTGGGAACTTGTTGTACTTGAACTGCACTTTTGAACTTGTAGAGTGTTGAGTGGCAGCCTGGCCCATTGGACCTTAGAGCTGCTCAGACGTGACTGGCTCCCACCCCTGCACCATGTACTTTTCACCATGTGCTGGAGTACTTTCTTCATTTCCCTGAGTCTTCATTTTGTAATCTAGGAAAGTGGGCACGTTATGTACCTCACAGGGTTATTGTGAGGACTGAGTGCAAACAGGTTTGTCAGGGTGTCTAGTACATTAACTTAGTACATAATAGGAGCTGAAAAAGTAATTGGCTTCCCCTCTCTACCCAGTGAATTCCTACGAGAGCTGTCATTTACATGGTTCCTGTGTCTGCTGATTCGCATTTGGTTCATGATGCCGTTGACCTTTTTATACCAACACTTTAGCCCACAGATCATTTTCCCCCAGTGTGTCCTTTTAATTTTTTTGTTTCCATCTCTGCAGAGGTACATGAGAAACAAGACCCGGGGATAAGCAACCTTTTCTTAGTGGGGCCCAAATGCCAAAGGGTGAGAAATGTGAGCTGGGTCAGCAGTTGGCTGGGACTCCTTGGGGAGGACCCATTTGTCATATAGTTGCACCAACTTGTGTTTCAAAGGGTGGCAGGCAGGGGAGTGAAGAATCAGACACTGGATGCAATTCAGAAGTGCTGTTCGAGCCTGTGGCTCTAGAGAACTGTGCTTTTCTGGGTGAAGTTAAGTGACCTCAGACTATCAGACCTGCCACTGGATGTGGCCCTGTGAGTATCTTCTGGAATGCCAGTCATTGCAGCTCTACTCTTTGGACCTCAGTGCCATTGACACCTCAAGCAAGTTGGATAGATAAATATTTAAGCCCTTTAACTTCTCTGAGATAAGAGTGCTAGAAGAGGAAGTCACTGGCGGCTGCGTTTGGGGACTCTGATGGGGCTGGATGAGAGTTTGGATGCTCAGAGGACAGGAGTCGGACTGTGCAAAGGTGCCAGGCGAATACCCTCAGGAGTTGGTTGTTCAGCTCAATTCTCCAGTACTGGCAGGTGCAAGTCCTTCTGCAAATCAATACAAGAAAGATGGCAGGGTATGATCTGAACTAAAAAAAAATGCTCTCCCTCATAGGGTGTATGGCATTAGGGTACAGGGGATGGACGTGAGCGTTTTTAGACAGACCTTGCTCAGTCCTCTAAACCTTACTTACTGGGGGATCGTGGTCCAGCATGCTCTGTTGTTTATTCTTAGTTTCCCCACCTACAAATGGAGTTGATAATGCCTACTCTGTGGGGTTACTTTCAATGATTTAATAAAGGAAGCACAGCGCCTGTAGCATCCAGTGCAATACTTGTCAGCCTTCAAATGACAGCTGCTAATACTCTAGCCATCGTCACCAGTGTTAGACTTCAGACTTGTGCTGTGAACACTCAGAGTGCCTGGGTAGGACCCCGGATAAAGGTTCTAATCAGATGCTTTGTAACGAAGAATCTATTCTCACTTTTGGGGGGTGGCTTTTCTCCTTTGCCCTTTTCTCTCCACTTCATTGTTTTCAGAACTCAAGTTTCCCCTGGCTGGGTTTAGAGCTCTGACCTGCGCCGTGGGCTGGAGGAGACTGCCGGGAACAGAGCCGCACTCAAACCACAGAGAGCTGCCCCACTCCACGCTGCACGCCCATTTTTCATTCAGCTTGCATTTCTCATTCTATTCCCTTTGTGGCCTGCTGAGGACAGGATGGGAAGCATGGGTCACAGCTGCATTAAAGAGGAATTTATATCACACCTGGAGGGGCACCTCCTGGCAGGGAGGCTGATTAGAACCTGGTATTAGTCTTGGGAGAAAGCTGTCTCTTCTAGTGGTTTTTCAGGGTTGATTCTGCCTCATCTCCCTTATCAACAGTGTGTGTGTTTGTGTCCGGGCTGGGGCCTGGATTTTAGAATTTGCACCTCCTTCTCTTCACATGGGGCATAGTGTAATGTCACTCTTTAAAATCATGAACTGAATTAAAAACATATCACTGAATTGTACTATCATGCTGAATTGGCAGAAAGAAGCCTAAAAATTCGTGACTGATTTTTTTATTCCATACATTATAAATCTGTCAAACAGGTTTGACCATTTCTTAGTTAAGATTCTGTAATCCACAGAATCTAATTCCTACCTATGTTAATGAGCGATCCAATAAAATTGAATGGCAACCACTATATACTATTTAGGAAAAAATCGTCTTTATTAGCCCAACCTCCAGGGGAAATATTTCTGTAAACGCATTTTGGGCCTTGTTATAATTCCTTTGGGTCTATAATGCGTGAGTGTGCTTTGGACCAACCCGCTGTGTCCATGTCCCCAGGTTCAGCATAATGGGATTTTAAGGGGCCACATCATTAACCTCTGAAAAATGGAAAAAGCCTTGGAAAAATGAACAGTGAAGCACTGTGTCATAGCAACTGCCTTTAGCAAAATCGAATCTGCTGATAAATTATGGGATAGATTTTGGGGTGTTTCAGTTATAGAATGAAAAAGTAAGATGTCCATGACTTCTTTATTTTTGTTGATTTTTGGGGGGGTCATAAAAGACGATTGTTTACCTTTACTTGGAGGATAGTGTAACATTTTTCCCTCTGTTCTCACCATCCCTCTTCCCTGTCCCCAGGTGGTGCATACGAAGTCAAACAGCACCGATTCTTCCGTTCTTTGGACTGGAACAGTTTGCTGAGACAGAAGGCAGAATTTATTCCCCAACTGGAATCTGAAGATGACACAAGTTATTTTGATAGTATGTGCATTATCTGACATAAAACATTACAGAAAATTACCTCTACCTTTCATAGAACCTTCCAGTCTAGACCTTATGAGTTGTCGGGTTTTTTTTTTTAAGATTTTTATTTATTTATTTTTAGAGAGAGGAGAAGGGAAGGAGAAAGAGAGAGAGAAACATCATGTGTGGTTGCCTCTCATGTGCCCCCTACTGGGGACCTGGCCTGCAACCCAGGCATGTGCTCTGACTGGGAATTGAACCCGTGACTCTTTGTTTTGCAGTCTGGTGTTCAATCCACTGAGCCACACTAGCCAGGGCTAGAACCTATGAGTTCTTAATCGTAATGTTGCTCTGATACAGAAACTGATAATTAAAATAATAAAATTAAAAGCTGAAATCCTGAGTAATTGGAGCTGTTCCCAAACATTTCTCTGTAGCTCGGTCAGAGAAGTATCATCACATGGAGACTGAGGAAGAAGATGACACCAATGATGAAGACTTTAACGTGGAAATCAGGCAGTTTTCCTCGTGTTCACATAGGTTCTCAAAGGTAAGTGAAATGTGGTCTAGACATACGGGGGCTCTCTGAGGGGCTCTGCCACTGGCTAGGTGGTTGGTACCCCTAAACAGCTGGACACAATTACAAAAGTCACCTACAGTATTTTGGAGCTTGGAATCCCTGTACTTAAAACCCCTTCTTGTTTAGGGAAGGTGCTCCTACACGTTCATAGTCCAGAGTCCCTGTCTCTCAGGAGTGTATTCCTCTGTTTTATTCTCTGTAGCGTCCTCTATTTTTTCTTGGAGACACAGACTTGCTACTCCTGTGTGTTCGAGTACATTGCAGCAGTATATATGCTGCCTTTGCCCTGCGTGCCCTGGCAGCGGAGGCGCGCCCCCCCCTTTCTGTCATGGTGTAAGGAAGAATGTCGGGCTCAGTGTGTGCGGAGCCTTCTAGCATTACGTGGATTCCAACACGAGGAACCAGGCTTAGTCCTTGACATAGGCTGAGACCACTGGGGATAGTTGATTGTGGAATTTGAAAGTCTGGTAACCAATGATAGAAAATGTAAGTTATTTTAAAGAAGCAGTAGGAAGTGAAACTAGCATTTCAGACCTGGTAGAAGATAATAAATTGATGTTTGAGAAAGATGCTGCTTTTTATTCACAGTGGTAAGATGAAAACAAGCAATCAAAACAAAGAAGGCTGGTGTTTGTGAGACGGGGCAGCAGGGCCCTGGGAAGGTGGAGATGAACCGCGAAGGCATCCTGCCTCCCTTTGCCATTTTCAGTAGCTACGCACTGGCCGTTGCCATGGCATTTCACACGATTGCTATTTGGCTCTTCTGTAGTGCTTACTGTGCCTTTCTCTGAGTGACTACCTAAAATGCATCCGCCAACTGGCCAGCACAGCTCTCCCTGTTTATAGAAAGGATGTGGAGAGGCAGGGAATTTCCCTGGAGGGCGTGGTGGCAAGTGCCCTGGAGCCAGGGCCTGAGTGTTGACATCACCGAGTGCTGGTTTTCCCCAGCACCTATTGTCTGCTCTAGAAAAGCTGGCCCCTAAACTCTGTTTCCTCCGTGCTGCCTCGTGTTCTTCAGCTACTTTCCTGCCAACCCCAGTAGAGACAGGCGGTCTGAGGGCCATATCCCTGAGAGCAGCAAAAGGCTGGGTCGGGCTGTAGGAAATGCTTCCTGGACTGGCCTCTCAGCTTCCTGGTCCACCTTCTATCTTTCCCGTGGGATAGCAGAGCTCTGACGCCCTTCAGAAATCCCAGTATCAACAACAAAGCTGCCTCTCTGTGTATGTAATTTACAAGCCAAACAGATACCTCTGACTCACAACCAAATACGGACTGCATATCGCCTCCCTCCCTGCCCCCCCCCACACACACACATCTGAAACAGATAATTTATTCTTCTCTTTGCACTCAATTCCAATTCATTTTCTCCTTCCCACCACTAACTGGTGGCCATTAAATCTTTTTCTGACTTTTTCTGATTGACTTCATGGTTAAAAAGTAATCTAAGATGCGCATTGATCCCCAGGCCTAGAAACCCCAACACCACTATAGATTTTGTTTGCAGATACAAAGTTCATTACAAGATACGGTGAGAGAGTGATGAGTTCCTAGCTTCCCACTCTGAAAGAAAAAAAAAATTATACATCGACCACTCCTTTCAGGACTCAAGTAAACAGCATTAGAAAGTACCTTCTAGACTCAGCCCCCAGTTCAAACTTTAGTCATACTGTCAGGCTTTTCTTCCAAGATTTGGATGTTTTTCCTGACAGACACCTCTAAGAAGATACCAGCAAGCACTGACTTTTTGCATTCCAGGTTTTCAGCAGCAGAGATCCCATAACTCAGAACCCAGGAGAAGGGAAGGAAGACCCCGGGGACAAAACCAGAAGCACAACTCTACCATCCACGGAGACATTGAGCTGGAGCTCGGAATATTCTGAGATGTATGTGAAATGCCTGTTAAGAAATATAAGCAGTGGCTCTTGGAGCAGTGGTTCTTAAACCTGAGTGCTCGTCGGAGTCGCCGGGAGGGTCCATAAAAACACAGGATGGGGGGCCGTCCTCGGGTGTCTGATCCTCAGATCTGGGATGGGGGCCTAGAGTGGGCCTCTGCCCAGTTCCCAGGCGATGCTGATCTGTGGGTCTGCAGACCAGTTAGAGAACCACTGCACTAGGCGAATCTTGGTCAAGCTTAATTAACTAAGTTCCATTTTTGGTGTGGTTTCTTACAAAATTCACCCCGAGCAGTTTCCTGGTATGTATGTACATATGACTTTGTTTTTGCTTTCCATTAAGGCAACAGTTATCCACATCCAACTCTTCAGATACTGAAAGCAACAGACGTAAACTCAGTTCTGGCCTGCTTCCCAAGCTGGCTGTTTCAGCAGAGGCAGAAGCCCCTCCCTGCCCCGGGGACCTCCGAGAGGAACCAGAAAAGCCGGCCCTGCCTCCTGCTGAGTGTGCTCAGGAGGAGCCTGAGGTCACCACCCCAGCCAGCACCATCAGCAGCTCCACCCTGTCAGGTAAGCCCTGGAGGTGGTACCTGCCACCCAGACATGATTTCAGGAGTGGCTGTGGGTGCTGAGTCCTGCAGCTGGTGGCCTAGCCAGGTGTGGATGATGGTACAGCATTTTATGCTGCTAGACTCCAACTTCTTGAGCTGGGGGAATGAGCTCCTAAAAAGTAAGATCAGATGTCTCAGATCCCTCCTGAGTGCATGGCCACGCAACAAACCCATTCATGCTTCAAGTCAACCCGAGAGCCCGCCTTAGCTTTCACGGCTGGGTTTCAGTGGGATCCTCTGGCGACCTACGGAACACACTAAGGAGACACGTTCGCTGTTGTGGGTGCAAAGGCATGTCTGGTGGGGTTGCAGCTAACTCAGGAGTAAGGGACAGCATCAAATAGTCGCATGGTCAACATTCCCCTCAAAAATATCTTAAATCACCTGGAAGGTGTAGCAGAAAGCTGGTTTTCCCTCTTGTGTTGAAATATGTGGTCGGCGTGGAGTTAGTTTTTGTTAAGGGGCCAAACCTAATAACAGTAACCTCTCCACACTAGACTCTCGGTGAGTGCAGCAAGGCACTTACCACTGTGGTTTTCACAGATCTCTTCCTTCCATCTGGGACTGGGAGGAGAGTCAGAAAAACCAGCACAGTGCGATTGGGGTTTTCTGTGCCTATGAAACAAGTCCACTGCGGACCAGAGTTACCTTCCCGGTTCCTGGGCAACTGGAGCAAGAAACTCCTGAGACAACTTCGATTGTTCTAGAGGCAGCCAAGGGGCTTGGGCCTTTTCTGTGGGAACATTTCGTAATGTTACTTTGGTGTGAAGTAACCTTCCTGACAACAGGAACAGTGTCTTCCTGGGTTTTTTTAAATGCTCAACGTATCACAGATACTTGCTGGCCCTTAATAACGGAGGTGTCCTCCTTAGGTCACCAGCCTTTCACTTCCCTCAGAGCAAGCCCTTAAAGTGCATTTAAAATATTATTGCTTTATAAAAATTTTATGCACAGCATAAATCCTCCTACAGAGCAATGTACATTTATGCTTTTAAAAAAATAAAACATGGATATGGCTTAGGGTTTCTATAATTAGTGTTTTCTTTAAACTATATGCAATATGTTATTGATAACCATGAATATTCCAAGATGGTTCATGAACATTTTTTTAAACTAAATATTCCCAGTGTACAACTTTTAAAAATCATTTTAAGACAACAGATTTCGTAGGCCAGGTTTACTTTAGCCTCATTAAGCAAGTTGGTTCACACCTACCCGACAGGGGAGACGCCAGGCTCACAGGTGTGGTTTTCGGGGCGAGGCCTGTGCATTGCACTCTGGATGTGCCGGCCCCTGCGATTCCCCAAGCACGGGCACTCGGCTGCATCGTTTGTGGTAGTGGCGGACTGCGTTGGTGCTCTTCCCTGGGGGAAAACGTTGGGTTCTAGGGGGGAGACTTGACTTGGGGTGGTGAACACACAATGTAATACACAGATAATGAATTACAGAGTTGTACACCAGAATCCAGTATAATTTTATTAACCAACATCACCACACTAAATCCGATAAGAAGATCTGGTTCTTTGGAGGAACTTCATATACACTTATGGTTTATCCTGGGGAAAACTAATGTTGGTTTTTTCCTTTTTTCTCTTCACCTCAGTTCTGTTTCTGATAGGATAATTCCGTTTGGCCTGACCCTATGAAGCCAACAGAGCGACAGTGTAGAAATAGTGGGGAAACAACGTAGTAATCGTGGATTCCTGACCATTTTTAGTTCACCTCGGTGATCAAATCAAGTGTAGATACCTCAGAATTTTATATCTTCATTTACTAAGTTCTCTGTCTGTTTCTTAGTTTCTTACTTCAGATGAAATATATTTACCTCCATTTTAAATTTATTCTTAATGTGGCGAACTATTGGTGGTCTCTTAGCCTCCTCAGCCCACGCACTGTCAGAAAGGTGGGAGGTAAAGGGAGAGGAATTGTGTCCAAGCATTTGATAGATGACTTTCGTAATTAAAAAAAAAATTTGCGTAGGTCCTGCCATGCGTTTTGATTAATAGATTTAAACCACCTTTTTTCTGGCTCCCCCACACGCTCACTAAAAATAACCAAAGACCTCGGGCTGCACAGAATGGAGACGTGCGGATTTGCTCCTAGCCAAGGGTAATTAAGGAATCTGAAAGCCGTGACTGTAGTAAAATTAAATTTGTTGATTTTTATATTGCTCCACCATCAAAAAGAAAGAACCCTTGACATTTCCAGAGCACTAAGGTGACATTATCCACCTCTGGCAGAAAAGAAGCGTGTGCTTTTATGTACAGTGCTACGGAATGAGACAGGAGAGGCAGGGGGAGATGGAAAAAGAGAACACAGTATATTCACACCCTGGCATTTGGGGAAGTATAGCTTTATACCCGCTTCTCTTTTTTCATGACTACATTGTATTTGAAAAAGGGAAAAGTAAAAGTGACGTCTTAGGCACAGTGCTCAATTGCATCCAACAAATTATTCACTGTAAAGAGATTCAGCTTTTCATTTTATGCTTGTCAATGATCTTACCCAAACCAAATTAGAAGGGAGAAGGGAATGTGTAACTTACCCAGAAGTAAGCTAAAGGTTTCTGAGGTGAGATTTTTGATTTGTGAAGTGGTTTTTTATCAAGTCCTTCAGCAATAGAGCTTCCTTTGGAATGAGTGGAATAGGTATGCCGTTCAGCGAGACTGAGTTGGGCATAGAGAAAGATTGTTGGTATTTGCCTGAAGATCGTCTTCCTTTGCAGGTCAGAGGGGTGTCACTTGGAGGCCTGCGAGTCTTTTCCCACACCCACAGCACGGTAGATGGTCGTGACTGCGCCGTGCACAGCCCCTCTCCCAGGTCACAGGCTTCCCTTGGCTTGGACCCCCACCCAGAGTCTGCGCCACCTCCCGCGACCCAGGGCCAGACCAGCTGTGCAGTCGAGTGGTGCACATGTGGCAGTGTGACAGAAATGGGAGTTCAGTCTAATTAAGCCTGACTCTTTCCAAGGCGAAGAATGTCATATGGTCAGCACTTTAAAATGTGCTGGCTGGTCTTTCAAAGGATCATTTATAATGCTATTAAATCCTCTGTATAGATTATATATCTTAAGGTGATGATAGTGTAGATGATAAAGTACAGGCTTACAGCATTTAGAAGTAAAAATGAAATAAGCATTTTTTTTAAAGAACAGATTTAGTATCTGTGATTTTAAAAAGAAAGAAAAAAACCCTGATAGCCTGTGGAAGAAAGAGTGGTAGAAACCAACGGGGGGCTATTCAGGTTTCCTCCAGGGAGCTCAGTGTGCTTCTCTGCTCAAGAACTTCTCACTTAGGGGCTGTGCGGGCACCAGCCAACATCAGTGACTTGATTTCTGCATCCTCCCATGTGGGTATATTCTCTTATGATCCTCTGCTGAAGGAGGTCCTCATTTTTTAACTAAAAATAACTTCCAGTTGACGTTAAAAGTTGACATTAAAAATAAGGCAGGGTTGGCTTGGAGGGGAAGGGATCATCTTCTCCCTGGTCCAGTATCTTTAGGGCAGATTAGCATATAACCAACCACACACTGTGTAGATTAAAAGCCAGGAAGATGTAGTGAGCCACCGAGTAAAGACTAAAATAGCCAGTTCCACCCTTGTCTTGTCCTATGGAATGTACCAGGAGCTTAGAGTGAAAGGTGTGAGAAGTCAAAGGAGACACTTTCAGTACTTTCTGCAAGTTACATACCTAAGCTTAGTGTGAGGCGTGTACTAGGAAGATGCTAGGAGATGACGCAGGCTTACGTCAGCATGGAGTGATTAAATGACGGCTATAGATCAAAAAGCACTATTAACAGCATTCCTAGTGATGATGTTGTTACCAGAGGGTGGTACACAGTAGGTGGTCATGTTGTTCATTTGCTTCACGACATGGTGGAGTAGGGGGAGAGTTGTCTGTACAAGTGTTGTAAAATACACCCTCTGGAAAGTGATTACGCTAGTGAAATGGAGTCATTGATTGAAAATTAGCAGACTTAGTATACAAGCAGAAGACGCCTGAACGGGCACCTCTTTCATCTTTCCTCCTCCACGTCACTTTCTCAGACAAGTCATGTGTTTTTGATGTTTGCTGGCCCCATTGGATCAAGAGCCACGTGGGAGTGCGTTTCCCAGTGTTTGTCCTTCCTTCTCTCTCTTCCCCTTTCCCACCTCTCCTACCCCCCCCCATTTTCTTGAACGTGTTTATTCCTTCTTCTTTGAACAGTTGGCAGTTTTTCAGAGCACTTGGATCAGATAAATGGACGGAGCGAGTGTGTGGACAGTACAGATAACTCCTCAAAGCCATCCAGTGAACCCGCTTCTCACATGGCTCGGCAGCGCTTAGAAAGCACAGAGAAAAAGAAAATCTCGGGGAAAGTCACAAAGTCCCTTTCTGCCAGTGCCCTGTCCCTCATGATCCCAGGAGGTAGAGCAACATCTGCTTGCATGAAATGGTGTGGTTTGTGCATGTGGCCTGTCCCCCTCCCGCAGTTTGGAAGGCCTGTTGAGGTCCAAGATTGCTTGAAGCAACAAGGAAGGGGTCCCAGCCCAGCTCCCAGGGAGCTCGTGGCCTCATTTCCTCTCGCTTCTTTCTGCATCAGGAGATGAGGCAGCCTTCCTTCCCACAAAGCCGTATTTCTTTTGTCTCCTTTCCTTTTCTTTTCTCCCCCTTCAAAGTGAAGTGATATATTTTCCTCCTGAATAATTTTTCTTCCCTACACTGTGTATCGTTTATATACTTTACAGAGCTGTTCACGACATCTGTGTTGGAGAACTAAGTATAGTTTTTCTCATCTAATTAATGAGGAAATAGACACAGAAAACATAAGTTTTTATTTCTGGGGATGCAGAGAGTCGCAGACAGCACTGGAATTTTCAGTTTTCCCAGCGATGTCTGTTGAGCTGTGCTTCCTCCTGCTGGTAGTCAAGTCGATTCCTGGCCTGAATTAGAAAACTGGGCTGAAGTATGGTTTTGTTGAATCGCAGTATTTCTCTGCAACCTGGTTTTGCCTCCAGTCATCACTAAGTCTGTAGCAGTGCCACTGCCAGAGATGAAACACACGCCCTCGTGGCTGTTACGGCTTGTCACTCAAGTGATGGCAATGGAATGGAACTGGCCATTGAATTATATTGCAGATGATTTGCATTTGGAAGAATCCAGACCATGTATAAAAGGATTATTTACATTTTTGAAATTTCAAATTTGGGCAGAAAGAAACTGGATATCAACAAATGCTTATTGGGGGGTAGCACTCTGCCATATTCTGTTTCTGGGCGGCATCGCATTTAGCACCAGAAAACAAACCGGTCTCCCTAGGGTAAGTGACTGTTCCCACCCGAAGGCAATGGCCCCAGCGCAGCTATATCAGGGAGGTAAGTGCACCCTGTGGTCCAGTCCACCTTGCAAGCTGGAGAGAAAGCCCACATCTTGGTAAAGTGGGGCAGTTATTCAGTCTGGGGAGAAAAACTATCATGAGGTAACCAAGGCCTGGCTTTTCAGCAATTTGGATCTGTACGTCCACCCTCTCCTCTGCTTGCATGCTTTGAAGTTGTTTGCCCACCAGCGTGTGGCTTTTCACCTGGCCTCTTGAGTAGACAGAAAGTAGCCAGCAAAAGAGCACCAAATGCCACATGAGGTAGGAGCATGAAGGGACACGAATGGTGACATATGTAGCTCATTGTGAAAGAGCGTGTGAGCACTTTCCACTCGCTGTGGCCACGTGGCTACTCACCACACTGGTGACCCCACAGTGCTGGCACTGTGGGGCTTGGCTCTGCCTGAGCTCACACTGAAACCTCACTGTCTCTTAGAGTTTATTCTTGTTCACACACACACACACACACACACACACACACACACACACAATTTCCCATGACCAGTGAAAATCTGTTTAGATTCACATAACTGGAACATTGTTATGAATGACAAATTAAAAGGTATTTGCTTATAAAACAAGCAAAACTGAGTTAAGAATTGGTGTTTTGGAATGTGAACTGAGTTCCTCTTAAAATTTCTGTATTTCACCTGCATTATCCTCTCAAAAACCTTCTTAGAAATGTAGGTACTATATGAAGAGAATCACTTGTAACCATAGTAATAAGGAGTGATTCTTTTATAAAGAAATTACCATTTCAGTGCCTTCTTGATCCAATTTTTTTCATCAGCAGTAGTTCAATAGTACTGTAAAAAGCAGCTGGTAAATTGAAACTCTTTCCTGGTCATGGGTGTTTGAAAAGGACTGCATTAAAGTTGTTAAGCGCACGATTTGGAGCCTGAGACTTTTCCTACAGTCCACACACTGTTCTCCGTGGGAGTGGACTCAAAATTCATGCGGCTATGGTTTGTTTCTTTAGTTAGGATAAAATGCATTAAATCATATCACAGCCAGTTAGTAGCTAAGTTTTGTGTGTGTTTTAATTAGCAGAGAGAACTAAGAAAGTATAACTTCAGATTATTAAATGAAAGCTAATTAAAATGGAGACACTTTTAAAGTTTCCTTGCCAGGCTTCTATTTTGATATTCATACCACTTACCAGTAGAAATATTTTTATATTATTTCTTCTCTATTTTTTCATTAGACGTGAATGAATTTGTTTTGCCACCGTGTTCCCAGTCCCAGCAGGGCCGGCTGCATGCGCGTCAGTGTGGCCGGGATCGGTTCTGACGACTGGCTTCTGTGTTGCAGACATGTTCACTGTTTCTCCACTGGGAAGTCCAATGTCACCCCACTCCCTGTCCTCGGACCCTTCTTCTTCACGGGACTCCTCTCCCAGCCGAGACTCCTCAGCGGCCTCTGCCAGTCCCCATCAGCCTGTGGTCATCCACAGCTCAGGGAAGAACTACGGCTTCACCATCCGAGCCATCCGGGTGTACGTGGGTGACAGTGACATCTACACGGTGCACCACATCGTTTGGGTGAGTGCGTAGTCTCTTATCCTTGCCACTTTTCATCCCCAGCCAGACTGGAACAGGGGGGATTTGGCTGAGACAGAGCGTAGAGCAAATGTGTTTTCTGCAGAGCAGGCATTTGGGGCCCGTTCCATTTTCCATTAGTGCTCTTTCCCTTTCTCTATATGGTAAAATTGAATTTAGCAAAAACTTATCCTTTCTCATAGTTCTGTCCCGGTTTTGCATTTGATTGCTCACTCTTTGCATCAAGCTGTGGAAAGAATCAGAGGCAGTCCTGTTTCTATCCTTCTTTTAGTCTTTCTTTTGTTCTTTCTTTTTACTGGACTTCTTTTTTAAAAAAACTACCTTCTCAAATCACCTGAATTTTTTTTTGAGGCCCCACAGGAATGATCCTGTTTTAGGATGATGACATAGAAACAGTAACCATGCCCTTTTGGTCTCCTCTTAGGAGCTTAGGGTCGCTTGCCGATTAACTCAGAATGGGCTGCCCTGGGAACGGTGGGCATTAGCGTTGCCGTTTGTTCACTTTCAAATACATCCTCCCCTCTTGGACTTTAGAATGTGGAAGAAGGAAGTCCAGCATGCCAGGCGGGCCTGAAGGCTGGGGATCTGATCACACACGTCAATGGAGAACCAGTGCATGGCCTCGTCCACACGGAAGTAATAGAGCTCTTGCTAAAGGTACTGTCCCTTGTGTGTCCTGATCACACGGGTGAGGCGTGGAGCTGGTACCACGGATTCCGTGCCTGTGTTCTAGAGTCGTCTCTGGCACAGCAGTCTCATCAGCAGTCTCAGGTTTACTGTTACAGACAGAGATAAGACTTCTCTGATTTTATATCATGAAAAACATGTCCTGATGTCTGCAGAATCACTTCCTAATTTAATTTTGCTTCTTGCTCTAAATTACAAATAATAAGAGTTCTTCATGTATGTACTTCACAAAGGAAAATCTTTTTGGAAATCAACTACAGGTGATTGTCTTCAGGAATTTAGGAGGTTTTATTCTAGTATAGTAGAAGACAAAATGGAATTAAACCATGGGTCTGATTGGAAAGTTTAATCTGAGAGTTGGATTTCCTTGGAAAGATGGGATTGTGAACATAAACACGTGTACAGTAAACTATAAAAATAGGTGATAATGAAAGAAGGGGTCCAGCCATCATTAACTCCCCCCCATACAAATGGCTTTGAGTGGAGATTAACTTCTGTTTGAAATGTAAGCTGGATAAAGCCTAGGGAGTATGAAGATCACAGGAAGCATGAAAACAGTAGAAAGAATCTGACACTGATCCTCTCTGTTTTGAAGTTATTTGCTTTACCACCTGCTCATTCTAGAATATAAAGCTATAGCTCCAAATACAGATCTGAGTAAAACAAATAAAGATGAATTTGAGCTTGATATTACTTTTTTTTTCCCCAGGAAAAGAAAGACTACTTTTTCTGAGATTAGAAACACAGTGTCTCTGGTGGGAGGACCATTCTACGGATCAGTAGATTTGGGGGTGACCTCTTACTCCGTGAGCCCTGGAAAGGGCTACCAGACACTGAGGAGTGAGTCCGAGCTTAGATAACCAGAGGCCTATTGTGAGCCCAAGCACATGCTCATATATGTCATTTAAATCACTGTATTCAGACCATTTCTAGAGCACTGGCTCCGAGACAGGTACCCTAGTAGACACCAGTAACATGAGGATGAAGGTATAGTCCTTGCCCTCAAGAAGTATAGAAGATGTAGAAGCTGTATAAACAGATAAAATACCACCAGCTTCATTATCCAGGGCTGTAGCAGAGGGAGGAATTGTACACTTTGGGAGAAAAACATTCAGTGCATGAAAAGAGGCATCACAGAAAATGATGTTTAACTGAAACTTGAAAATGAGCAATTCAGGAGGTACTGCAAGGAAGTGGGTGTGTAAAGCCTTTTGAAAATAGTTCAGTTAAGTGACTTTTTTCTTTCCTTCTCCCTCATTCCCCCAGCCAACACAAGAGAGTCCTCCAGACATTCTGAGTCTGGCCTAGGTTCTGAAAGTAGTAATAGCAAGTATGTTCTAAGGTCCAGTGCAAAGTAGTACACCACAAAAAAGTCCTTGCCATTGATTAATTCCCAGCTTTAATGAGGTTTTGGCCTTGGGCTGGGGCCGGGATGTGTAGTCGTCCTGACTCACAGGCTATTAGAGCTGTAGTTAGAACTGTTCCTCTAATTGCAGACAGTTTTCTCACAAATGCAGGCTATTGATCACCAGACTGGCTGGGGCTAAATGTCAAGAGAACATTGTTGAGGCATTGACAGGGGTGGAAATCAGCTTACAGTCATGCTGAACATGTAGCAAACCTGCTGGCCATCCTGCAGGAGAGATGCAGAATTACTATGAAAACTTCCCATGAAATCCCAGCATTTACCCAGATCCTGATATATAGGTGGGTTCTCAATAGATGTTCGTGGAGTTGAGATGAATGATGGGGATGTCCTTTGCTTGCTGACCGAAAGCTATCATAGGAGGAGCCAAGTGCCACACAACTGCTTATCTTGTGTCTTGACTCCTGTCTTGCTGTAGATGCCATTTAGTTTGATAATAAAAGCCTTAAGATGCATGGACTTAGTTAACACTTTTGCAGTATGGCTACTGAGTAGAAACGCACCACTTCTGGTAGCTCCCTGGATACAGGTTCATTCACCATCTATCTATGGTAATATTCTTTGTCCAGCTGGCATGGAACAGCTCCCTCTGAGTGTCCAAGGAATGGGAGGCGGAGAAAGATTGCTGAGTCTGAGATCCCGTAGCTGTGAGAGCCCTTGATAGGACCCCAGAACTCCCCAAGACAAAATTCAAGGAGAGACGCAAGACTCAGGTGTCTGACTAGCCACTGCCCTCACAGTGCCCAGGGGTGCCCCATTGCTGGCCCACAGGTAGACCCTTTGTAAAGGCGGGAGGAGAGTGTGTCCCTCTTTCTACTATATCCAATACGTGACCCTCCCCAGTGGGTCGGGGACCGCAATGGTAGGCAGACAGAGGTGCTGTCTCTTCGTACAAAGCTCCTTGAGCTTTTCTAGTTCACTTTGACCCTTCATTTTGGTAAGAAATCTCTGTTTTCACAAGTGCGCTTCTCTTCGGTGTTGTCAGTCCTACTAGTTCTTTGCCTTCTCTCGGCATCAGCAGTTAAGGGAAGGTCAAAGGGATTGTTCTCATTCTTTGTAACAGCGCTGGGTTATGTACAGCCAGGCTCCTGCCACAGCATATCTTCATATCATTTCATATTTCTGCTTTGAAAATCAGAAGGAAAAATAATAAACCGAAATGTAAATCTTTAGAAAATAGGCATTTATTTTACTGAGACCTGGTTGACCATTTTCATCATTTATTTTATAAAGTATTCTAATATGAGTCAGGATTTTCAAACCCCTCTTCCTGCTTCTGTGAAATTTGAATGTACATGTCTCCTAAAGGTCTCCAGCAAGGTCTCTGAGCAGAATCACAGGATCCTATTAGTAACATGATCCATTTACATCGTCTGGCTCCAGAGCGCTTTCCTTCCTGCATCTGGGCCGGTGTCTCTGAAATGGCTCGGGTGGGCTGTGGTGGAGGGCCTCTGGCAGCCCCCAGAGCCCTGGCATGCTCTGTCGCAGATCCAAGCAGGGTATCCTGCCTCTTGTTCACGAAGGAGGCCCTCAAGAGGAGCAACCAGTGTAACGAAACAAAGAGGATACGAGGGATTTCATTATCTTCCCAGTGAACTGTGTAATCATACAGCTTTCTTTTAAATCCACCCAGCGCTCTTCTTCAGTGTGTAAAGTGACTGGTGTCAACACCGGGCTCCTAGGTGCCGTTACTGGTCGGACATCAGGGTGTGCTCAGGTGCTGCTTGCATGACCTCTTATACTTCAAACCACTTTATGAGATCTCTGGGCAGCCTTAGAAAAAGGGGGAAGAGCCATCACTTCGGGCTGTGTGCACACGTACAGTGCTTATGTATCATTTGGATTGTGAGTACAGTAAGCATATGCCATGTTTGCCCATGGCTTCTCTGTAGTGGTGGATAGAGAACATCCTGACCTGGTCTTATCCCCGGCTCACAGGATAACCTGCCTGGCTGAGCCTCTCTCCCTAATCCAGGAAACTCTACTCACCCAGGTTGCTTTCTTAGGATAGCATTAGTTTAAGTCCCCAATGCATAAGAGAAGCCCTAAAACTTCATCAGCCCCTTCTTCAAAAATTTCATTTCCTTGAACTCTGGGGAACCTCCGGATACTGAAGTGGGGACCAGCAAGTAGCCTGTTACCACCCTCACATAATTGCTGAGCTCCAACATGCACTGGGTACTGCAAGGGTCCCACGAAAAACAACACAGAAGAGCAGGAAGCCTTGGCTGGGTGGCTCAGTTGGCTAGAGTGTCATCTCAGTACATGAAGGTTGCAGGTTCAGTCTCCAATCAGGGCACATACAAGAGTCGACCAATGAATGCAATAAAATGGAACAGCAATTCAGTGTTTCTCTCTCTCTCTCTAAAAACCAATAAATAAGAAATTAGGAGTAATAAGAAATAGAGAGTGCTTTACATGAATATGTTCTAGGAATCCTCATGCCCTGGGATGTAGGAACAATGAATATAAATGGCCCATTTTATAGATGAAGAGATAAGAGCAGGGAGAAGCTAGTCAAGCAGCCCACGCTTGTCTGCTGGGAAGGAGCAGAAGAGGGTTTGTACCCCTGCAGTGTGGACACGGGCTGTCCTTGGAAGCACTACACCAGAGTGCTCATACAGTAAGTTCTCCAGCTGCCAGTAACTTACCGTCTAATGTTCACAGGGGAAGACGGGCAATTCCAGGCTGCCATCGAAATGCTAAATGTAAACAGCAGACTGCACACATGGCCCAAGTTCGGAAAGAGCCATGGCCTCCCACCGGGGTGGGCGGATGTGAGAAGTTAGGGGTCACCTGTGCAGGGCTGTGAGGGCTGGCGTTAGTACGTGGGAAGGGAAGGCACGGCAGTGCACGTAAAACAGAATTTATGGAAACAGGGCAGGAGAGCCCCAAGTAAAGCCATGTGGCGGGAGCGCAGGTTCAGAAGAGAGGTGAAATGTGCAGGGGGTGGGGGGAGGGCTGGATCTGGAGGGTGTGAATTAGGGCAAAGAAAGATGCAGCCACGCAGGAAGAGTGCCATTCCCCGTGTGTGATTTGCACAATTGTTTCCACAATTTTTCTGGCTCAAGAAGTACTCAAGGCCAACAGATAACTAACATAGAGCCCGAGTGAGAGAAGTGATTGGATAGACCGACTTCTGTTATTGTGTCAGTTCAGCCAGTGTAAAATCATCTCCCTTCCACTAATCACACAATACAGTGAAAGAGAACTAACAGAACGTTTAACAGTCTGCTGGCCTGTTTTCTGTTGTTTTTAAACAAGTATCACAGACTCTTCTCTGGCAAGAGGTTGCCCATTCTCTAAAAGGATGTACTGAGGATGAAGCCACCCAGTTAGCCACATTATGCCGTTTAGGCAGCACTCGCTGTAGCTGATGGGCCCACCAGGTGGCAGGCTTTCTACTTTCCTTCCATTCTCTGTGAACTTATCTTCCCGTCATTTATCAGCTTCATGGCCGTTAATGTTTCTAACCAAATATTGGTGCTCAGCATCTTTTGTGTCTGTATTTCCCTGTAGGGGCATTATCTCTTGTTGTATTTCCATACATAGGAACGAGAAAAAGACAGCTGGGTTTGGTTTTTATAGGCAAAGGGGACATTTGAACAGAGAGGCTAGCGATGTGCTCTGATTTAGCATCCCTGGTTATAACTCTTTTCTGACAAATGTTCAGCATTTATATTATATTTATTTTATAAAATATTTCTGATATTTCATATCTCCTTAACGTCTTCCTGACAATCTGATACTTTGAGTGTTCCTCCCATCAGCCAGCTCTTTTGCAAGAAGCAGAGGGGCCGGACCGGGCGGGTGGTGGGAGTGAGGGCAGGGCAGCCGTTGGGCTCTCCTGCTGGGCGCTGTGACCCTGGGAAGGGAGCCTCCATGTCTCTGAAGGTGTTTTCCTGTCTATCATAATGCAAGGATGCATAACAACCCCTTCCTACCTCAAATGATTGTAAAAACTAACTCTCGTGACCTGGTAGTGAAAATAAAGTGAACAGACATGCATGGTAAACACTTTAATATTTAGAATGCACTTTAAAAATACCAGGTGGCCTTGTTTTGTCTTCTTATAGATATGTCAAAGTCAGTGTTGATTATGTTAGCAAAGGATAGCCCGGAATCAGACTGGGGCCGCTCCCACGACCCAGTGACCACTGTGGCCGTGTGTCCACTCTGCTTGTAAGCGTGGGAAAGACGGAAACACTTCAGTGAAAGATAAGCTCCAGCCACCGCGTTTGCTGCCCTTTTCCTTCACCTGAGGTGTAGAGGAAACTAAAATGTTTGTGTGACTTCACTCAATCTGTGAAGAGAAAGAAGGCCACCTTCCAAATAGCCTGTGTTGGTAGCCCTTTCTACTTACAAGAATCTTCCACTTAAATCTAAATAGAATGTCGGGCTCTCCTATCAGGTAAAGGTTTATTTGTCAAGTTCTGGCATTTGTATATGGAAAAATACAATGTATTCTTTCATAATGAAAAATAATTTTTCTTGTTCATGTTTAAACACATTTCCCTAAAATATTTTTATAATTATGACATTAGATATGGAATTATTTACATACTCTTAAATACATAAAGAACTCTAAAATCAGCAATAAAATACTGAGACTTTCAGGTACTAAATTAGATATAAAATATGAACAAATCACTCCCTAAAGAAATACAAATGAACAAAATCTGTGAGACAACATTCAGCCTGTTAATTGCCCAAGAATGAAGATCAAAACTTAATAAAACTTTTCCTTATAAAATTGGTAATTTGTTCAGTGGTATTAAGTTCTGAGAAGCCTGTGGTGAGACAGGCACTGGGGGGTGGCTTGCAGGAGCATAAACTGACCTAAACTTTCTGGGAAACGGTGTATCCGCAGGTACCAATGTCTTCATGACGTTCAGATAGGCCCTTTCTTTGACTCAGTATGTGGAGTCTAATTAATCTAAGGAGCATGTCAGAGGTTAGGACATGTATCACTGTGAAGATATTTATTTCAACTCTTACAAGAATTGAAAAGTAGGAAACAGTAGCAGTAGGAAAGTAGTTAAATTTTGATCCACCCACCTCATGGAATATTGTAATGCAGCCAATTAAAATATGTTCTGAAGGAACATTCAGTGATAAAAGGGAAAGTTTTTCAAAGCTATACAATGTGAAAGGAAACAATATAAAAGTAAGTATTAGATTGATTTAAAATTAAAATTATGGATGAAGTATGTCTATCTGTATATGCATAATTTATACTTGCTTGAAAAAAGGCCTGCCGAAAATATCCTGAAATATTACCAGTGTTAACTGGGTGGTTGGCTTCTCGATGATTATTATTTTTTTAAAATTTATACCTTCCTATTTTCTTCTTATAATGGCTTTATTACTGCCCAGACTGGGGCACAGAGTAGATGGAAACATGGAAACAATCCTTTTTTAGTCTTCTTTTTGATGCCCCATTGCTTAGGACCACCTGGAGCTGAACTGCTAGGTATCTTTCATGATTAGGCATTTTATTTTTATTTATTTATCTACTTATTTTTTAGATTCTTTTTTTTTAGAGAGAGGGGAAGGGAGGACGAGAGAGAAGAGAAACATCAGTGTATAGTTGTCTCTCACATGCTCCCAACTGGGCACCTGGCCCACGGCCCAGTCATGTACCCCGACTGGAAATCAAACTGGGCACCTTTCAGTTCGCAGGCCAGCACTCAGTCCACGGAGCCACCCTGGCCTGGGCATAGGCCCAGGATTTGTAAAGGGCCCTCCTCCTGCCCTGGCTGGTGCGGCTCAGTTGGTTGGAGCATCGTCCTGTACACCAGAAGGTCACAGGCAATGGTTCTTTCTCACCCTTCCCTTTTCTCTAAAATCGGTAAGTGTGTCCACAGGTGAGGATTGAAAAAACTAAATTAATTTTAAAAAAATGAAAGGCTCTTCTTCTTATACTTCTCATCTTTTCAAGGTAATCAGGGTCATTTTTTTACTTTAAAAGAACATATTTCTCCCCTGGTTATTAAGGAATTCCGAAGAGATGATTGACGCTGGAATACAGGGGATCGGTCCTGCCTGCCCGCCCCAGGCCCCCCGCAGCCTGGCTGCTGACCCCATTCTCTAGCCCGCACCCCGGGCCCGCCCAGTTAGCCCCTGCCCCGGGACCCAGTGGAAGGGCGCAGAAAGCCCCGAGGAACCGCCTCACCACACACGACCTGGTGGAAGAAAGGCTGTTTCATACTCACTGGCATAAACTTTCCAGCTCAGCAAGCTGACAGGTTTTATGGTGACAGAAAAGGAACCTTTTAAAATGATGAAAAATAAAAGTCGCATTCAATTTTGATACTCTTTGATTTCTAGGTCAAAGGAAAAACACAAAAATGAGAAAAAAGAAAAATAAATCAACCAAGGAGGCAGCCCCTGGGCACACTATTTATACTTAATACATATGGATGAAGCTAGCTGTTATTTATAGAGCCTTCCAGTGTGTCACACGGGGTGCAGGAGGCTTTGACAACTCCATTCCAGGTGTGCGCCTCCGGGGAGCCCCCAGGAGACAGGTGGGGTTCTGCTGACATGTAGCACAGGAAGTAGAGGCCCAGGGAGGGGACGCAAGCTGCCCAGGTCCCAGAGCCTGCCCTCTTAAAGAAACCTTGCCCTCCGCCCCCACCCACTCCGTGTTCTCCAGGACTTCACCGCGTAAAGGGTCACTTAGAAACGATCCTTTAGAAGTCCCTTTGTGTGTACATCCTCGTGTGTCTTTGTCTTTGACTCTCTCTCTTCCGTCTTTGTTTCATTACAGCATGTCCCGTTAATATCACCTCACTTTTTTTACAGAGTGGGAATAAGGTGTCAATCACTACTACCCCGTTTGAAAACACATCAATCAAAACGGGACCGGCCCGGAGAAACAGCTATAAGAGCCGGATGGTGAGGCGGAGCAAGAAGTCTAAGAAGAAGGAAAGTCTAGAAAGGTTGGTGAGCACAGTATTCCTTGTGAATTTAGTGGGCACCCACGTCAGAGGAAAGGCACTCCCCACCTAATCTAAATGTTTATGTACGAGAGATTTTGTGTTGTGCTTCACATATATGTACACATGAAGGTCCATATTCACGAGAGCATTCTTTTTCACTGTGAAGAGGTTTCTGTAGTTACGGACATTGTAGAGCTCAGGTTGCTCTGTCTCGTGTGAGAACTGGAAAAGCCCTTTGGTGTTTCTTAAGCCTCTAGACTTCACTGGAGTTGAATTTGAGGAACTGGACCTTCCAGCAGTTTTGAACATTAAATTTACATTTAATAATGTCCTTTACACTATGGAAAACCAGTTGGTATATTCAAGTGCCAGATATTCTGGAATAACTATATTTTCAAAAGCATCCAGGTAAGCCTGGAAATAGAAGGGCTTTGTTTTCTCGACTCAAAACCTAGCCAGGTTCCCCATTTGCTGCCCGAGAGGATCGTGAACATCTTCTGTGCAAGACGCTAGCAGGATGCAGTGTGTCAGAGAGCTGAGGGGGCAGCTTAGCCAGGCTGCCGTCCGGACCCACTCCCTCGCCGGTGCCACAGCCTCTCTCCTTTACCCCCTGGGATCTGATGTGCGATCTTGTTCAGAGGAGTTTTGATGATAAACCAATGGAAAAGGAGTGCTCCTCAGCTCCAGGGAAGACAAAGTTTTACAAGAAAGGAAATAGAATTATGCCTCACATGGCCCGGCCGTCAACGATATTTATAACAGAAAGAAAACACCAGCCTTTTATGCTAACCAGACATTTTTGTTTAGCTCTGTTTGGAGGAATGGAAAAGGGCAAGTGTGTTTGGTCAGAAGGTGGAAAGGGTTGTGTAAGAGCTTAATTCTCATCTTCTGTGGTAGGACATCAACAGGTAATTTCTGACACTGAAAATCTAAAAAGTAATGTAGGCACGTTGCTAAGCGATACGCAGGCAGATGGAAGAAGACTCACTCCTGTCTCTGGGGAGTGGGCAGGAAAAGGCTCAGGAGGGGAGTTGTTACGTTACATCGTAAGTTTATAAAACTGTTCGGCTTTTTAACTCAAGGGCATTTGTTACTTTTATTAAAAATTACACACACAGAACACACATTTTGAGATTCTTCTTCTTTATAACATGTGCTTTGTATGTTGTTTGGTCTGTCACTCATATAAAACACCGTTTCGGGGTAGCAGTGTTGACACTTTTTGCTTACACTCGCCGCGGGTGGGTCAGGCTTGCCTGACAGTAAAGGGACTCTGCAGCCCCCTGGCTTCTCGGCCATCTGAAGCGGTGCCTGTGCTTTAAGACGTGCTTGTCGAACACTAACTACACATTTGCTTCTGCTGCCTCGTGGTGTCTGCTGCCCCGCTGATAGGATAATCTTCAGCTCACCTTTCTCAGCTTTTCTATGTAAATGTATGCTCTGCATTGTCATTAGGGATATTCAGGAACCCACAATGGAATAAGCACAGCACACAGCCCTGCACAGATAAAGCCTCTGCCCAGTGCGTCACCGTGAAAGAATTCTGTATCCCAGATGGTTTTCCTTTCAGAGATTTACTTTGCATTAGCTCGTAACGAAATTGGGTCAGTATCTGGGGGTGCATACTCAGGAGCTTTCAGGCAAAGAACACCCTTCTCAGAAACCTGACAAATAAGTGAATAAATGTAATGTATATACTTAGTATACTTTATATATATTTTTTATTTTCCTAGCTCTTCTTAAAGTGTTTAGAATTAAGTGAGCTTCCATTGTATACTATCTTCCTTTCTTAGTCATAAAAATATCTTTAATTATACAATTGAGATCCTGCCCTGGCTGGTGTGGCTCAGTGGATTGAGCTCCAGTCTGCAAACTGAAAGGTCACCAGTTTGATTCCCAGTCAGGGCACATGCCTGGGCTGTGGGCCAGGTCCCCAGTTGGGGGGGTGCACGAGGCAACCAAATGATGTATCTCTTGCACATTGATGTTTCTCTCCCTCTCTTTCTCCCTTTCTTTCCCTCTCTCTAAAAGTAAATAAATAAAATCTTTTAAAAGTAGAACCCTCCTCTTTAATAGCACCGGCCGTCATACCACCATCTCTGGCACAGGGGTGTGAGCAGAACACACGGGTTGTATGGGGAGGCAGGAGCGGCTCCAAACACAGCATTCAATCCATTTCCTCTTATTTGCACTGTAGGAGGAGATCCCTTTTCAAAAAACTGGCTAAGCAGCCTTCTCCGTTACTCCACACCAGCCGAAGTTTCTCCTGCTTGAACCGATCGCTGTCATCTGGGGAGAGCCTCCCGGGGTCCCCCACTCACAGCTTGTCTCCCCGATCTCCCACACCCAGCTATCGTTCCACCCCCGACTTCCCATCTGGTGAGTGGGTCTCCTGGCAAGGCCAGCGAGGGACAGTTGAGAGGAGGTCGCAGTCACCCTCTTAGATCCTGAAACCCTGAGGATTATTCCAGCTTGGAGGTCATAAGATAGGGCAGTGGGGATCATTAAAATTAGACAGAAACCACTGGGTTGAAGTTTAGTGTTAGAGAGGTTTATCGGAGAAGCATTCATTTGTTAGAGTTGGATGCTGAGACAGTTTGCCGACCTTGACCTGACCTTACCTGAAACAGTTTGGGCTGGAGGGTGGAAAGGAGAGGGAAGATGGACATTGCTCACGGTGCTCTGTTTCCCACCCCCAGGTACTAACTCCTCCCAGAGCAGCTCCCCAAGTTCTAGTGCCCCCAACTCCCCCGCGGGGTCAGGACACATCCGGCCCAGCACTCTCCACGGCCTGGCCCCCAAGCTCAGTGGACAGCGATACCGGTCCGGAAGGCGTAAGTCAGCCGGCAGCATCCCGCTCTCCCCACTGGCCCGCACACCCTCTCCAACTCCACAGCCCACCTCGCCACAGCGGTCTCCGTCACCTCTGTTGGGACATTCACTTGGCAATTCCAAGATTGCTCAAGCCTTCCCCAGCAAAATGCACTCCCCTCCCACCATCGTCAGACACATCGTGAGGCCCAAGAGCGCCGAGCCCCCGCGGTCCCCGCTGCTCAAACGCGTGCAGTCGGAGGAGAAGCTGTCTCCCTCCTATGGCAGTGATAAGAAGCACCTGTGTTCACGCAAGCACAGCCTGGAGGTGACCCAGGAGGAGGTACAGCGGGAGCAGTCCCAGCGGGAAGTGACCTTGCAGAGCCTGGAGGAGAACACGTGTGACACGCCTGCCCTCAGCCGGGCCAGGCCCGTGGAACAAGGCTGCCTGAAACGCCCCTTCTCCCGGAAGCTGGGGAGGCAGGAGTCTGTGGACGAGCTGGACCGTGAGAAGCTGAAGACCAAGGTGGTGGTGAAGAAACCAGACGGCTTCCCAGAGAAGCAAGAACCCCACCAGAAATCCCACGGACTTGGGAGTGATTTGGAAAACCATTCCACTTTGAGGCTGGAAGAGAGAGAGAAGAAAAAATATCCAAAGTCTTTAGAAAGGTCAACTCATTTTGAAAACAAAGCAGCCGTGCCAGAGACGCAGTCCCTGGGCAGCCTGCTGAAGGATGCCCTGCACAAGCAGGCCAGCGTGCGGGCTAGCGAGGCCGTGACCTCGGACGGGGCAGCAGCCGGCTGTGGCCAGGCACCCGGGGACCACAGCCAGGGCACCTGTGACTTCAAACGAGCCTCTGCTCCCAGCTCCCTTCAAGATGGTCTCTGTCACCCCACTGACAGGTCCGCCCCTGGAAAGGGTGACCACATGGAGAAGGCTCCCCAGGCCAAGGAGTGTCTCCGCTGTGACAAGTTAGACAACAAGCTGGCCAACATCGATTACCTCCGAAAGAAAATGTCCCTTGAAGACAAAGATGAAAATCTCTGTCCTGTGCTCAAGCCCAAGATGACATCTAGTGCCCATGAATGCCTACCAGGGAACCCGGCCTGGCCCGTGGGCGGGCAGCAGGAGACTCCGCCGGCCTCTGAGAGCCGAGGGTTCATGAGCAGTGCCCATACAACTCAGATGAGTGGTGTGTCTTTCGTCCCTCTCAAGGCCTTAGCTGCCCGGGTGGACGGGGGCACAGAGAAGCCAGGCTTGATTGCTCCTGAGTCACCGGTTCGGAAAAGCCCTTCAGAGTACAAGCTGGAAGGCAGGTCTGTGTCGTGCCTGAAGCCAATCGAGGGCACTTTGGACATTGCTCTCCTGTCTGGACCTCAGGCCTCTAAGACCGAGCCGCCCTCCCCAGCGCCTGCACAGAGCCCCAGCCTGGGCAGTGATCTGAGGCCTTCTGCACCACCGGCTCTTCCCAGAAGTGGGGGAAAGAAGGGCGATGCCACTGGTCAGAGGGAGCCTTCCCCTGCTGGCTTCAAAATGAGCAAATCCTACCTGCTTGAGCCTCGGTTCCCGCCACCCAGCCGGGGTCTCCAGAGTTCACCAGCAGCTCCCCTGCCTGACCCAGAGGTAAAGCAGGACAGGAAAGTTTCCCATGTCACCAGGAGCCCAGTGACAGTCACAGAAAACAATCCCCAGCGGAGAGAGGGCGGCCCCAGCAAACACCAAGATCCCAGCCCTGACACAAAACACTTGCTCTTGCCCGGGCAGAGCCTGCAGAGCCCCGACCCACCCAGGGCATGTGGCCCACTCCCCACCGGAGGTGTCCCCTCAAGGGAAAAGCTGAGGGGAAGGGAGTCGTCTGCAAGGGGCCCTTCCACAGGCAGAATGGAGCCGCCTGCTGCGAGGGCTGACGTCCACAGAGACCCCTCCATGGAGCTGTGTCCTCCAGAAGCTACTAAAAGCAGTGACAACTCCAAAAATGCCCCCTGTGTGGGAAGGACTCGCCCAGACCTCCACACACAGACCCAGGCTGTGGAGAGAGCATGGGGGCCTTCCGGGAAAGCAAACCACGGAGATGGCCGAGATGAGGCAGGGCCGCTGGCCAGGGAAGACCCCCCTTTGCACTCCGTGGGCACTGCTTGTGGGAGGGGGCCAGGCATGGGAAGGAGTGGTATGGAACCCAAGTCCGAAGCCTTTCCCGCCGCTCGGTCTCTGCAGCCACCGGAGAGTGGGAAGAGTGAAAAGCTCTGCAGTTTCCCTTCTTTGCAGAAAGATGGTCCCAAGGAACCAGAAAGAAAAGAACAGCTGCAGCAGCATCTCAGCAGTGGCTCTCAGCCCTCACCCATTACCAAAGAACTGCCCTGCCTGGCCACTCAGCAGCCCTGCAGCTCTCCCAGCCAGTCTTTAGGCAGAGAGCCAGGGAGCAAGCCCTGTGTCCCAGAGCCCAGCCTGGGCCTCCAGGACCCGCCCAAGCCCCCTGCTGTGCACGGTGAAGGCAGCAGCCACAAGCCCAGGCCTGGCCCTGAGCCCAGCCCTCCGAAGTCCAAGCCCCCAGACAAGACCGTCTCCTCCCAGAAACCCACTGTTGGAGCTGCGCTTGTCAGAGAGCCTGGCACACAGTCCCCTGGTGGCCCCAGCCGAGATGGTAAGGCCGGTGGTAAGGGCGTGTTGGATGTCTTCCCTGCCCCGCTAGGCTCTCAGGACACAGCCAGCAGTGTGACTGGCTCAGGCGGAAGTGGGCCCCCAGTCTCAGTGCCCCCCAAAGGGGGTCCTCTGGACACCAAGCCAAAGCCCACAGATGGCTGGCGTGCCCCCGGGGTCCTGGAGAAGCCTGTGCACCTGCCACGGCAAGGACACGCAGGGGCGAGTGAGCCTGTGGAGCAGAAACTGCCCACTCCTGGTGAAAAGCTAAACCTGTCTCCAAAGCACCCCAAACCATCCACTGTGAAAGATGGCCCCCCGCCGTGCAGACAGACAGACAAGAGCCCTAGTCCACTGGCTGCCAGCGCAGACAGGAAGGCTGAAGGGAAGAGATGCACGGAAGCACTTTACGCCCCAGCTGCGGAGAGTGGGAAGGCGGAGGCCGGTCTGGCCCCGGCCCCCGGGGAGGCCCGGCCAAAGGGCGCGGAGAGGCCCGTGGCCGCTGTGGGGAAGGGCCTGCCGGAGGCCGCCAAGAGCAGAGCGCCCGGTCCGCAGAAGCCCCCGGCGGAGGCAGGCAGGCTTGGCGGCATGAAACGGTCGCCCTCGGCCATCGGGCAGAGCTCTTTTCGGTCCGCGGCCGGCCCCGAGAAGTCTCTGAGCTCCTCCTGCAGCTTTCCCGAAGCCAGGCCCGGAGCTCGAGAGGCCGCAGCCACCGGCAGTGACCCCTTTTCTGCCAAAGCCAATGGGGCCGCGTCCGAGACCGCGGTCCCCGGCCCCAGGGACCACCGCAAGCCGCTGCCCGCGGGCGCTGGTGGGACGCACATGACCAAGAGCGACTCGCTGCCGTCCTTCAGGAGCTCCGCCGTCACCCCGGAGCCGCACCACCCCAGCCCGAGCGTGGCGGGGGCAGCCGGCGCCCGGGACAGGGCGCTCTCGGTCTCCGTCTCCGTCTCCGTCTCCGTCTCCGTCCCCGCCAGCGCGGGCGAAACCAAAGGGAGGGAGCCCGCCCCGGCCCAGCCGCCTCCGGCCAGGAAACAGAGTGTGGGCCGGGAGGTGGCCAAGCTGTGCCCTGCGCCCAGCAGCGAGCGCCCCCTCGCCCTTTCTTCCGAGAAGGACTTTGTGGTCCGGCAGAGGCGGGGGAAAGAGAGTTTGCGGAGCAGCCCTCACAAAAAGGCCTCCTAATGGGGCCAGGCCCCGGGCGGCCCTGGGGACACGCAGCCTGAATGTGTGACTGGGTCTGGACGACCTTCCGAAACCAGCACTGTGGGGACAGCGCCGAGCGGAGCCTGCAGCCACGCCGAAGAAGGGGAAAGAGCAAGAAGACATAGAAAGAAAGAGGGGACCTTCTTCCAAATGCCTTCCCAATGGTAACCGGTAAAAATGTCACCAGATAGTGTTTGTGCAAGGAAATGGAAATACCTTTATAGTTGAGGGTTGTTGAGGAAAAAGATTTTCTCTGTAAATATCTGGCAATGTGTTTGGTTTGGGATGTAGAATCGTTACCTTGCTGCTGATTGCGTCATTTACTACAACTTTTTTTTTTTTAAATAAGATTTTTGCTTTACCACTTATCTTAATGTAGTAATGAAGCAAAATGGTTAAACCGGTGTATGTGAAAGTATAGATACATCCATACTCGTGTGTTTACACGTTCACCTGTATGTTTTGGTCTGTGGTTAAGAGACTATTTCAAGGCTACATTTTTCTAAGTTAAAACATCCTAAGTAGAGATGAAGATGCAAGAAAGCCCTAAATACAGTAGATTGTGAGTTTTTATGTGTACTTTTAACCAGAGATTCTGATAGTACTGTATCTGGCTACCTATGTTTCCAGATCTAAAGCAAGAACGACTCTAACTGCTGCCTTTGGAATCCTCCTCCATTAGGGATGGCCAGGACCAGTGGAGCCAGCCGTGTTCATTTCACGTTGTCCTAGTGGACATTTCCATCCTGGGTCCGCCTGTCCAAAAGGCCAGCTGTCCTTGTCTGTGGGTGTGGGTGTCGGATCTTCACCCCAGGTAGAGCGGGGCCTGTAAACACACGTCGCCTTTATTTCTGTTCTGCTTTTTCTTCTCTCCATGCTCTTAAACTCAGGCTTGACGCTGTGAGTCACCAGTCTAAGAAGCACACATTCTGTAGTCCTGTACCAGCCCTGCTGTTGGACGACAAACAGGGATATTACTGGCTGCACACAAATCTGCTAGTACTTAGGTTGAATAATAAGCATCAGGCATTGGAAGAGGTTTTAAATTTGCTTTTTTGAGGAAAAGAAGGGGGGTGGATTTTGGCATCATAGCATATATATTAAAGAATAATCAGGACATCAGATACCTTTTAATACATAGCTGGGGCCTTATGTTGTAGATGAAGCTTGCTGTTTTTAGCAAGTTCTGGGTTTCACATTCATTTCTGATGCATCGAGTAGCTCCATACATTTCATAACATGACCTCTTTATTTGTATGCAAAGAATTACTGTATTAATAAAGAGCAGGGTTTTTGTAACAAAAAAAAACCTGTTGGAGCTATTTGGTGCTTGAATGTGACTGTCCTTTTTACTTTTGCTAAGCCTTATTTAAATTTTGTATACCACAGAATACGTAGAATTCGTCCATTTTAGCGCTGAAGGGGCTTTTTGTTGTTCTCCATCGCAGTTCTCCTGGTGGCTTGTTTTGTGTTGTAGGACGGCACTTGCCAACGTAAGTACTAAGGCACTAAGTACTAAGAGAAAACACACACAGATAAGTATTTATAAGATGCTTGGGATCCATAGCAGGAATTTTTATTTTGTTTTGTAAGAGGAAGAAAATTACCAATGAATACAAGCCCAACACGCAGACCTCCTTGGGGACGTCTAAGTATCGTCAGGCTATAAAATTTTCCATCTAAGCATAGCATCGTTCTATAGCCCTGTGGATTGTAAATCATTTAGTAAGGCTGTAAACTGCACTCCAAAAACAGAGGCATTATTTAATCAACTGCTTGGTTGTCCTTCATTGCAAAATGAGTTGGCAATGGCAAAAGAAAAAAAGTAGAAAATGTCTCCTTTTTGCCCCTACCACTTTCCCGTGTAGTTTTAGCCATTCCCCGTCACCATGCGTGAAGTTGTAGAAGAAAGAAAATAGTTTACAAGAATTTTAATGGGTTTCAGAGGTGGTCTCAACATTTATAATTCCTGTCTGTGTTTCACGATTGTCGTAACCCAATGCTTCTGTGCTCAGACACCGAGACGGGTCTACTGGGGAGGCAGCTCATGGTTTACAGCCTTTGCTTTTTAACTGTCCAGTTTCCTTTAAAGCACAACTAGGTGCTTGTTTACAAACAATGTATTTATGTATATTTTGTATAGTGTGTTTTCTCGTTTTTGCCAAATATGTTTTTGCATTTGGGATGAGTAAAGAGTACCTAAGGTTGCATTCATGTAATACCTGTGTGTTGTTGTAACCCTCTCCAGTCAGCTGGTAGGAATTCTCCTGTGTTCTCTTCGGTTGGTCTCCTGTGATTGTAAGACGTGCTCCTCGGTAGTGCTCCCAGCGGTAGATTTACCAGCTTAACGTTTGTTAGAATCTGTGCAATAAAGTGTGTGCAGTCTTATTTTCTCTAAGAAATTCCCTATGGATGTCATAATTGTTGTACATTGAACAAATATTTATACTTATGCAGTTGCATAACATTGAAATAAAAATTTAGCATGAAAAGATAATGGCTAATAAGGCTTTTTTTACATACTGTCTCTAAAATGTTACTGAATATAACTCTGTGTTATGGAAAGTATGGGTTTTTGCAGATTGCTCTCTGTCGAGTGGAATAGTTTGCTAATTTTTTTTGAAGTAACAAGTTTATTAACCTCAGTTTTCTGATTTGTACACTAACATTCACACAGCTTAGCCCAAAGCCAGGGTCACGGCACAGCAGGTGGTGCTAGCTCCCTGGCTCAATGACTGCAGAAAGAGGACATCAGGGACTCTTCAGAAGCCAGCCTTGAAATTCCTCACTGTGATGTGAGTGCATTACTACTGATTTTGATTTCAGAAATGAGAATTCAGTTAACATCCTTGAAGACTCCGGTTTCAGTAGTATCAACTGGACAAGAATTAAAGAGACTCAAAGCCACTGCCCATCACAGCGGGCACCAAATAGAAAGAGGCAGGCAGCTCTTCTTCATCCCAAGCAAAAGCTCTGGTATCGACGTTCCCTTTTGTGGGCTCCATCTGTCTTCTTAGGCTTGGAATCCCCAGAACCCAAGGTGGAAGAACCACCGTCAGGGGGAATGGAGTTGAAGTAACTGTTCACTGCGCGGGCACCTGTGCTGCCGCGGATTCCTGGACCTCTCGCGGGTGCAGCCCACTGCACATTGTCGCTTTGTTGGTGAAGGGGTGCCACTGGCCCTGTATGCCAGGGCTGTCCGTGTGGAAGGGCTTGCGGATGAGGATCACGTCCAAGCCGGACTGATTCACCAGCTTCTGCACCAGCCTCGTGATCTCCTCGACCGACTTGCAGTGGATGTTCTCCTCGTGTACAGCTCCATTAACTGGCGCCGCGTGCTGGTCAGAAAGCGACTCGGGGTCCCACGCGCAGTCATGGCCCCAGCTCCCCAGTAACCCAGTTTGCTAATTTTTTAAGTTTACACAAACATGTTGTATTCTTCATAATGAAGTCTCCTTTAACTCCTTCTTGTTTTTCACCAACCTTCTTCCTTGCCTGCAAAACTTCTCAGCTTCCCCACCACACTCACCAGCTCCTGACAGTCTCAGGAGAGGTGTCCTGTCTCAGTGACACCACCCCCCTCAAGTCTCCCAGAACCTAGTCCCATCAATGACCATTGTGTCCTCTCATCTTTCTCTATCCCCACTTATGTCTCCTCATTATTAAAAGCCATTGAAACCATCAAGAAGGCAGGAAGCAACCCAACACTTACTGTCTACCTACAATATATAGACTTATATGTATATATGTTACATATTACATGTGTGTATATATATATGTTACACATTAATATGTATGTTCAGTACTGGGCAAGATGCTTGTCACTGACCATGTTGAGCCCCAACACAACCCTCAAACTGGATGATGGTGGCAGGTGAGGAAACAGGCCCAGGCAGGCTATGTCATTTGATTAACATACACATTGTAAAGAGCCTGGATTAGAATCCAGATTTTTCTGAATCTAAAGCTCTTGACCTTTAAGCATTATGTGACATGTAAGTATTACCAGATGTCACGTAATGAATCAGATCCAGTCCCCTCTGGGAATGATGGAAGCCACCTCATCTTTCTTTACAGGGTGAAAAATAATTCACATGGTGAAAATTACAAATTTGATGATTGGTGAGAAACCATGAGGCAAGGCAGCTATTCGTTCTGTGTAATAGGCTACTTTATTAGTTCTAAATTAGTCTGTAGGCAATTTCCCATCTAGCATTTTTAGTTCACAACACAAATGTAACATTAAAGTGTCGCTGTATTAACTACGGAAATTTGCTTTCTTCAGTATAGGCCTGGCATTAAGGAACTCAGTGGTAGGAAAGTTCTAAATACAACTTGCCTCCTGTATGTTTTTAATTCATTGGTCAAAGCCGTCATTGTGTGTTATTCCTATTTTATTCTACCTCCAACCCCAGTTAATATAGTACACAGCTTGCCTATCATGAGTGCAGCTTGGCTGAATCTGTTTTGTTACTGTTTGTGTAGTGAAAGGCAGTGAGTCTGGCCCAAGTTCAAGATCTGTGGCAGTTCGGACACCTCAGACCCTGGATTAGACACATCAGTGCCAGCCCTCATAGAAAAACATGCAGCAGCATCTCACTGAATTCTAACACTGTGCATTCCAAAAGATAAGCTCATGATCTCCTAATATCACAGGCTGATGGCCGGGTTGTCCTTGCCAATACTTGGATGCAGGCAAGCACTTCAGAAAGGGAATTTGCTCCCAAGACTGAAGTTCCCTGTATACTCTATGACATGCCAGTCATGTCTGCTCAGAAAAGATGTCGGAAAAGAAAGGCCTGTTGCGTATGGTTGCTCTTTATTGCCCTACACAGCTTTACAAAAAGTTGATTAAGGCTTTCAGCTTTACAATATTAAACAGGTTTCATTAAGCACTGCCTGGAGATGGCTGTCAGCAGCCAGGAAGTGAAGAAGGAAGATGTTCGTGAGGCCTGAAGTAAGCATGTTGCAGCTACCAGCTCTTCATATGTCAGGCCGGCATCCATACAACCTCCAGGCCTGACTTGTCTAAAATTTTTGCCTGGAAGTTCTGTCCCTTTGGAATACACGTGCTCGTGTTAAACAGTGCTGTGCTGAAGTGACTTTCCTGGGCTGGAGACAGGTGTCCACATGCCCCCTTTTACTCTTTCTGAAACTAAGGAAAGTTCCTGTGAACCCCTGTCCATGTCCGTCACTGAAGAGCCATCCCGTGATGTGAGTCCCAGCTCCCTGGACTGTTCAGGTGGGGATACTCAGAATAAGCGGGGTGTTCTCTCCTCCAGCAAAAGGGAAGAGCAACCCATAAAGCCGGTACCATTTGCATTTGAAAACCACGCTTTAGGAAAAAGTCTTCTCCTTTTTAGTACCTGTCAATTCTCACAACTGATGAGCTCTTTATTCTTGTTTTACCTTTGCAAAAACAAAAATACTCTTTAAAAGAAAAACCCCTCATTTCCTCTTTATTACATAGTGTGTGGTTATTGAAGGCAGATTAGAAATACAGAAAAGCAAGAAGAGAAATGTGGGAATCACAGCAGTCCCACCAGCCCTTTGTCATTCTTCTCAGTATTAAAACAAATATATTTAAATGCCTGTAAATACAGGTCTGAAATATTACTTATAATGGCTATATGACATTTCCTTTTAGAGACATGACATACTGGTTTTTTTTCTTCATGTGTACGCACGCAGCCTCGGTGCAAACAGCTGAGGTCATCCTACTCAATTCTTGGCACATCCACCTTGGTTTACACCAAGGTTCATTTAATTTATTCCTGCAGTCCCATCCCCCTCTCCTGCTCCATTGGCAACCATGTTCATGGTCTATTTGTGTGTTTTTACAAAATATAGGTATCACTGTTTTGTATGCATGTATTTTTAATTTGTAAAAGTATTCATGTTAATACATCACTTTGGATTTGTTTTTCCATCCAGCCCTATATGTTGGTTTGCAAACTGATCCCATACACAGAGGACGAGGAGACAGTGAAGAAGGAGACGGACCACTCCAGACTGGTAGGTAGCAGTTTTAATAAGCAAGAGAGCTTATAGACAAGGCTTGTCTTGGGCAGCCTGAAGAGGGTAGATCTTCTCTTCCCCTGCCAGAATCTTAAAAGTTTGCATAGAGACCTTATTGGGGTTCAGGCACGTACACTGTCCAGAGAGTCTCAACAATACCTTATTCTCATGTGGCTCTGTCCTTGAAAATGGCTTTGGCTGTGGGAGCAATGGGCAGAGCGCACATTCCAAGGACAGGAGACAGGGATGAGGAGCCTCCAGTTGCCAGAGTCCAGCCTGTGGGTCAACTGCTGGTCACATCCTCTCAATGACCTTCTCCAGTACTGTATATTTAAGATTCAATTACATTGCATAGCTGTATCTGCTCCATTGCTTCTGACTACTGTGCAATACCCGATGGTGGGTGTCTTCCACATTGTACCCATCCATTTTCCTAGTGATGAGCACTCAAAATGAAATTTCCTAAGTAATGCTGCACTGAATATCATTTGGGAAATGTGAAACTTTCTTGGGATATACACCAGAACAGAATGTGTGGCTCACGTATTTAAACTGACTGGTTATTGCCTCCTGGTCCTACTGGCTGGTCCAGTCTACACCCGTAAGCAGTGCATGCAGTTCTGACAATCCCCATCCCACCTGCACTATGGTCCGGCTTTTTCTTTTTGCCAGGATAATAGATATAAAACTTTATCTCATTTTCTCTTGTACTTCTGTATTTTCTAGGAGAATTAGCATGTTTACCATGTTGTCCCACCCAAGAACATAGAACATCTCTGTTTGTTCCAGTTACCCCCTAATTTGTTTAATCATGGATCTGTTGTTGGATATTTAGGTTGTTCCCAAGGACAGGAGACAGAGGAAAAGGGGGGCCCGAGCTGTTTAGAAAGCCCATGAAGCAGCGCAACACAAGGGCAGAAGGAGAAGGTGGGAGGAAGCTCTGGTGCCCCCTGTCCTCTGCTTGCCTTGTCGGATCTAGTATCTCGTGAACTGTCAAATGCTTAGAGAATGTTCCCTAAAGCTAGATGGGATCAAAGGAGGGTATTCAATGAAGTTTGCTGTTTAATCTTAACTGGGCATTGATGACTTTTAATAATAATCTGTAGGTGAGTTCTTTCCTTTTTCAAGACCCACAGTATTTATTATATTATCTCAACTTGTGAGCAGCTGATATGGAGCAGGAGTGGGTGGCGGGTAGGTGGCAGAGCAGGGCAGTTCAGGAGAGGAGAGCCTTGCGGCCTGGCAGTGACAGCAGAGGACACAGCTGCCTGCCCAGGACGCTTCCCTTTGGACTGTAAGGCTCCTTCGTCCTCCTTCCCATTTGTGAGGGCATTTGCCTCTTACAGAACGTGGAGCACTTCTTCAGCTCATGTGACTCGTGAGGCCTAACACAGGCTTCTGCTATTTCTGATAAAATTAAGATTAGGAAAGGATTTTACTTAAAATTATTTAGCTGAGAGTCCAGGGTCATCCCTAGTCTAACACAGTCCCAATATCTGGGGTGGGGTGCGGGCAGGGAAGCGGGGGCATGGTGACCTGTTTTATAAAGAATCCCCCAGATGATTTTGGTGATGTCACTGTCCGGGAGCCCGATAGCCCATTCCTCTGAAGCCTTCAGGGTAATCTCGAGTGTTGGTGCTTACAGCTCTGCATGAATCAGGCACTTAATTCTGGCTCAACACCCAGCACCCCCAGTCCTGACTTGCTTAGAACTAGCTACATCTTCTCTTGCTATAATTCAAATTAATTTTCTCTTCAGCATTCAGGGCAGATAGAAAACAGTGTCAGCCACCTCTCCTGTATTGTATACTAACATATAAAACACTAAAAAGCCATTTATTATATACTTTTGTAAACTTGAAAATTAGAGACAGCACTTATCCGAGAATTGAATGAGTAGGAATGATACGACAGTTTCCTGTCTTGAAATTTTACAGGTGGTGCCCGTGTGCAGGCCTGTGCTGGGTTCAGTCAGCCGTGATGGCTGCCGGCACAGGGGAAGGTGGAGTTTGCTCCCAGTTGTGGGAGCGGCAGCTCACGCAGAGCCCTCTGTGATGGAGGCTGGTCAGTTTTTATGAACTTCAATGCTATTTGCTCCAGTACACTTCGAAATGCAGGGTCAGCTCACTGAGCTACAACATGCAATAATAACACATTTTTATAGGACTAGTTTGTCAAAGCAGCAACAACATGCGATACATAAAACCAATAAACACACTGTGTCTACAGATTCCATCCTAGTAACCAGGATAAAGCAATAAAATTGACAGCAGCCATCAAAAAGCTCCCTTTCTGACTTTGTAAGGTGAATTTACTGTTGCTTAAAACAGAGGTGCTGTCACGAAGCCTTAGATCAGTGTGCAGCTATGGAGCAGCAAGTCACACGGCGTGGAAGGGGCGCGTGCCTGGTAAACAGCAGCGAGAGGTGGTTACATTTTGCTGGGGTGAGCTTGGGACCCTGTAGTCTTCAGGGTGATGCCATTCGCATTAGAGACATTCCGCAGAATGTTTTTTTTCAGGTTACACATCAAATATTATGAAGGACAGTGTGGCTATGGAGTAGGAGGTCAGCAATTAGTAAATATTTCCTGTCTGCTGCTTATATCCTTGAGGCAGGAAAGAGCTTGAATTTGCTAGTATACACAGGGACTGTGGTGGGTTGCGCAGTCTTAGACTGGATTCCTAGAATGTGGACTTCCATACTCTAGGAAGGAAGAGAGGGAGGGAGGGAGGGAGGGAGAAGGGGAAGGAAGTAATAAAGCGGGGAAGCACAGAGGGAGAGAAGAAGAAAAGGAAAGGAGGGGGAGAAACAGCAGGAAAAGAAAAAGGGAAAAGAAACAAAGAAAAGGGAGGGAGGGCGCTATCAGGTGGTGTACTTTGTGCGTCTTCATGGCCATCACCAGAAATACTTCCCAGAGTTTCAAGAGCAGATCATCTATCTTATTTGGTACAAGCAAATGAACATAATAAACACAACAAAATAACTCTGTGTGAAGCCGCACGCCTGCCTGGATCCCCCAAACTGAACGCTCCTGCAGGAGAGCAGGTGGCAGAGGGGTGTGGTCTGTGGGAAGTGCTCTGACTCCCCAGTGGGGCTGCCTGACCCTTCTAAACTGCCGCTGCCTTCCAGTCCCTGGAGCCAGAGGCTGTCCCTGCAGCAGCAGTCAGGAAGCCTCTTAGAGAGGTTGCCATGCCAACTTCCGCATTAGGTCCCTCTGAGCCTGAAACTCAATGACCAAAAGCTGCGGTTGCCGCCAGACTCAAGACCAGCACCAACCCAGCCATGGCGCCATTTGGCCTTTGCAGAAGGCTGCCCCGCCATCCTCGGCCTGTGAAGAAATAAAGGTGGCTCAGGGGTCTATCAGGTACCTGTTTGCCCAAATGCTGATATTCAAAATAATTAAAGCAGTTAATTGTGTGATGTTTTATTTTCTTAGCAGAGTGGTGTTCTACTTGCCCACTCTTGCCAGGCCCAAGCTACCTGGGGCTCAGATGGATTTGGTACCCATTCATCTCTGCCACCTCTCTCGGCTCTGAAGGAACACGCCTTTGAGCTCAGAAGTTAGTTGGGAGGTGGCTGAAGAAGGAGGAACAAGATGGAAAATCTCCAACACTTCTCTCTGCTTCCAGAATGTAAAGGGGAAGGAGATGCACGTTTTTGGGTAAAATGCAGATGGTGTGCCAGCTAATAGACCCTCAGGAAACTGGAGCCTGGGAGGTGGTCCTCGGGGTGGGGACAGGGGGAGGTGAGTGAGGCACCCGTCTGGTCACAAAACTAAGGGGGGCACCAAAACACTCAGTAATGAAGGTAAATAATATTTTAACACAACTTAAAAAAAAAAGCGAATGTAAACATCCCCAGTGAACAAAACAGTGACCTTCTAAAACAGGCAGGACTGGCATGACCAAGGTCTCCTCTTTCCTCAGACTCTCCCGTGGTTCATTCAGCACGGCACTGTTGTGGGTCCTGTCTTTGTTTAAAAATTTTGTGTTGTATTTATCACTGATCTTTTTCCATTAACTTAAAATTTTTTCAATATTGTATTTTTTTTCTTTTGGCTTGATTACTGAGATTTGGGTTTTCCCTTAAATTTTGCACCCAGGGCAAGGACCTCACACACCTTACCTGGCCCCCTTGTGTCCCTAACCAGGAACCTGTGGGAAGACCTGGGCTGCTCTCTAGTCCAGAATATCCCCCAAGACTAACAGCATTTGCAGTGACGATTTGTGACGTAGCTCCCCTATCCCCTGGTCTTCCCTGCTTTTTCTGGGCACACAGGAGGAAAAAGGACTTAGTAGTTTCCAAGTTTCAACTCTATTCTTATGTCCTCAACCTCAAGGCTAATAAATCCTGAGTGGATGTTAATCATTTCCCTTTGATATCCAATCAGAGTTCCATAGCTATAAGTTACCATCACCAGCCAAAACGTGGCTTATAGAACTTAACTGAGGCCTCGTACATGGAGCACCTGAGCATAAGAGCTCTCTCGTCCTCTAACGCAGGCTTCTTTGGAAGATCAAACCCTGCAGGAGGGTGACCCTTTGGGCCTTGGGAAGGCCCAAGTCATCACCCTGCCAGCTTCCCTGTCCTCTTTCTCTGTCTGCATTCAGCGGTCCCGTCCCCTCTCTGTTGCAGGTACTACCTTTGCTGACACGGAACAGAAACCACTCACTGCTTATTGTGTTCCTGGTGGACAGCTCGCCTGCAGGGTGCTTTCTCCCACTCATTTTCATTGTAAATGTGCTATCTCGATTGCTGCCCCGGGTGAGTAAGCACTGGAGAGCTGGCCTGGGAGCCAAATCACTGTTTATCTCACGTTCCCGTGGGAAAGAAGCTTGGAGGGACCAGACAGCCACAGGAGAGGAGCTCGTGGCCCCCCGCCCGCCTGTGTGTCAGGCTCTGTGGCATAAGAGCGAGAGCAGCGCCGAGTAGCAGAAGGCGCTTCTCGGTTCTCAGGCAAGTGTGGCCAGTGTAACAAAACTCCTACACCTCAGGGGAAGGAGGCCCAGGCGGCAGAGGATGGCTTTTTTTTTTTTTCGGTAGAGATCTGCACCATGCTGGCATTGTAGAGACCCTCGGGTACCTAAGGATTGGGGGGATTAATAGAGTCAATCTGATGACAAGATTCATTTCTCAGCCTCTTTTAAATTCTTTGTTTTCCCTTTTTCATGAAAATGAGCACTGAGACTTTCTCCACAACAAGTGTCCCCAACTGCCATGTTACTGGGAACTGAGACCCAAGGACAATGCCCGCATTGTGTGAGAGAGAGTGGGGAGCCGGGTCCTCAGCACTGCCAAGGGGTGAACACTGATGGTCTCCTTTTCGGCTCAGGGTGGGAGGTGCTTCGAAGGAAGTCCATGAGTGTGAGGGAGGTGGCCTCCATGTGGGTGACTTCTCTGGCCATGCCCTGCCTCGGCTCCTTCCTCGCCTCCCGCCCACCTTCCATGTGAGGACGTGGCTCTGTGTCTGTCATGGCTGTCCATCCCTTCGGTCTCATTTACTTCACTTCCCAGGGAGGCTCATCAGTTCTGGGGCTCGGAGAAGCAGAGGAAATCCCTGCCCGGCACCAGGAACCAATCTTGAATTCCGGTCACCAACAGGCAACAGCTCCTCTACTTAGGGTGATTTTGATGAACACATTAATTTGCCATCTCTGGAAGCCTTCAGCACTAAATGTGCTGGTATTTCCACCTAAGGAAGAATTTAACTGAAAAAACGAGCAGAATGATGAACAAGAATAAAAATACTACAAGAAAAAAAATGCCCACGGCTGTAATCCCACAGGAGAGTCTGACCTCAGACAGCTTGACTCCCCTTAAAGACGGGGGATTTGCACACACTGTCTCCTCCAAGTCCTCGAGTTTTTGCAGGTTTTCTTTGTACCATGTCAAGAAATGAACATTTGAGCAAGTGCAGTCGAGGGGATTGTGACTTAAATTAATGGTGCTCTGCTGGGACAAGATGGGGAGGAGATGGGGAGGGATAACGCGGATGCTGTTGGTGGCCAGGTTCAGGTAGGTCCCCTTCAGGTGGATAAGGGCATCGAGGCTGCTTTCGGTCAGGTTGTTGTGGCTCAAGTCTATGTGACTCACTTTCCCAAGGCTGCGGAATGCTTGTTGGTCTATAGATAGGAGCTCACAGAAGGATAAAATCAGAACCTCCAAGCTGCTTACTGCCTGAAGTAGATTGGTGTCTGAGATGCTCCTGTCTTGAAAGTGATTTCCCTGTAAACTCAGTTGCCGGAGATCCAGCAGGCCTTCCAGAAGGTGCTGGTTGCTAGTATCAAGGAGGCAGTGAGAGAGGTTCAGAGTCTGCAGGAGAGGGAGGTTCTGGAAGGGGCTTCGTGGAGCGCTGACGCTCAAGTGGGTGAATGCCAAGTCCAGGACTTCTAGTTTAGGACACTCTTTGAATGCCTGACTCTGGAGACCGATGGGCATGTTGTAGCTGAGGTTTAGGTACTGCAAGCGGTGCAGGCTTTTGAGTGGCAGATTGCAGCAGTCAGAAGCCTCTATATCACTGTGGCTTAAATCAAGTCTCTGAAGGTTTTCTAGTTTTTCCAAACAGCCAGCACCGAGGCTAAGTTTTTGCAGGTTGCCTTTGATATAGAGGTCTGTAAGGGATGGGAAACTGGCAGCATTGATTTGACACAACTGCTCAAAATGATTTACATTGAGAACTAATTTCTTGAGAGAGTTCATACCCTGAATCCCAGAGGGTAACTCTTTTAAGTGAGCTGCCGTCAGATCTAATTCCTGGAGTTGCGTGAAGCATTGAAACGTGGTAGACAACAACGGAGAGAAATGGTGCTTCTGCAGGTTGATGCTCTCAACAGACATTTCGCAAAGTCCCTCAAACGTGGCTGTAGTGAGGTCTTGACTGTCAGTGTCCTCATATGTCCCCAGCCAGAGAGACTGAGTAGTAGAGTTCTGTAGACCTTTTAATATAACAGACAAGTCGAGAGTCCCTCCAAATCTCAAACTTTGGAAGACTTTTGAACGGAAAGCCCCAGGCTCAATGGCCCTAATGTCATTGCCATCCAAATTAAGGCTCAGGTTGGTGGCCTCCAGAGTGTTCACCTCCTTCCCGGAGAGGTAATGTATAGCATTATTCTGAAGATCCAGAACCTTCAGATTCTGTGTTGGGAAGTTTTCTGGGAACTTAATGGAGGAAATGTGGTTGCTTCCAAGATACAAACTTTCCAAGTTTTTCAGATTTTGCTCTGGGATAAACTCGAGGTTAGATATTCCTGTTTGGATTAAGAAGAGATGCTTCAGTGACCTGGGCCCGTCAAGGGAGGTTTCTGCCATGAATATCAGGGGGTTTCCTGTCAACACTAGTGTGTCCAATTGGTGATGACTTTGAAAAGTGTCCTCATGTATCCAGTTAATCTGGCACCTTGAGAAGATAATAATATTTAACAGTAATAATTAGAAAAATGAAAAACTCTGTCACCGTGACTTATACTAACAAAGGCACCATTTTGTGTATAGTAAAAACAGTGCACATTATTGTTCAAAGTAAAATATAAAAAATGTTCTTCAGTAAGCACAGAAGACCTGCTGAAGTAACGACTAGCTTCTGTTCTAAACATGCCAATTTAGACTTTTTTTCCCAGATATCCTGCTCTTTTAGATTGACCTCTAAGAGGTTTGTGTTTAGAATCTAGGGGAATAATTAGTGGCTTGATCATTGGAAACAAAGTATTATTTATTATTTTAAGTGATATAAAATGTTATATATAACGCACTTATATGTTATATATGTGTTAGATACAATGCATAATAATGACCTGTTATATACAAATCTGTGTCATCCTGGTCAAGTTACAACTTTCCTCAACCTCTCCTTTTTCCAACTATAAAGAATAGAAATAAGGATTACTTTATAGAGTGGTTGTGAATCCAATGATATATGTGAAAATACTCCATAGAAATATGCAACGCTAGAGCTTCAAAGACACGCATCCTGACATGGCACCCGACAACAGTACTGGATTGCACACTAGCTTTGTCGTGTCTGCCCGCATCTGTCGGTCCCTAGTGGCCTAGAGTCTGGGTTCTAATGAGCCACATGTATTACTGGCAGGAGACAAAGCTTGGAGTTAGGATGGGAGGTACCACCGAAAACCTGTAAACTACCAAAACGCTCCAGCAGAATCTTTTCAGTGCCTGACCTTAAAGAAGAAAGCTCACAGAGAGGGACCTTAAGGATTCGTCTTTCTCTTGGCCTTGGCTCGGAGTGGAACAAGAAAAACAATAACAAGAAAAGTCTGAGATTCCCTAACCATAGCTTCTACTCATGAGGACTGAGGCCCGAATTTATTCTACTTCTGTGGACCTCCCAGAAGAAGCCCAAGTGGAAATTTTAGTTTAAAGTCATTCCAGAATGATAGTAACTTCAGGTAACTGGCAGAAGTAAATGGAAACTTTTTCCAGATTGATATACTTAATTTTTAATAAGGAAAGCTTTCAAATTTACATAACAGCAAAGAGAATAATGCAATGAACCTTCATATATTTATCACACAGATGCAGCAACTCTCAAGATTTTGCCACGTATGTTTTTTTGCATTATCTATTCCCACCTCTCTCTCCTGAACTGTTTTAAAGCAAATCATAGGTATCCCATATATATTTGAGTAGGTATCTGTAAAAATATCAAGGCTTATTTTCTATAGCCATAATGCCATTGTCATATAAAACAATATTAATAATTCACTGGTATTATCTAATTCCAGGAAAGCATTTTAAACAAAGATTTACACACATTTCCATAAGAAAAATGAGCTCAAAATAAAAACTGACTTATAAGGGAAACACATTAGCTAAAGTCAAGGGGGAAGTAGTTCTACAGAATCAGGTTTAAAAAAAAAAAGATACCAGAATTATCAGTGGAGCTGAGAATATATATGGTATATAAATATACCAGATATCAGCTATTCTAGTACCAGAATTATCAGTGGATACTAAGAATTATGAGATGAATCTGATAATATATGTGATACATAAATATAGTCTATGCTTGATATATATTATTGGAGCATAGATAAATATGTCTGTATCCAAAAAAAAAACCCAGAAGAACTGTCTTCTAGAGGGTGGCCCCTTGTAGTTCAGGCTTCTCCTGCTTGGATGAGTGAGTGTTCTAGGAACCCATCTGTATCAGTGCATCAGCTGGTGTTGTTGTGAGAAGCTGCATTTGGCTTCAGTGCATTTTTTTAAAACTCTTTCAGCATGTTTTCCCATTTAATGATGGGTGATTTACAAGCACAACTGCCTGCACTACACTGAGGGCTGAGCAGTTTTTGAACAAAAAAGTCATGATCCTCATGCTTCACCCTCCCTGTTCACCTGATCTCCCACTGAGCCACTTTTTTTGTTGTTGTTTTCCCGGATGAAAAAAGCCCGCAGAGGGAAATGTTTTGTCTGTGTGGAAAAGGTGAAACAAAAAACAGCAGAAGCACTAAAAAGCATCAAAATCAACAAGTTCAAAAAATGTCTTGAGTACTGCAAAAAAATCTCATTAGGTGTACTGCATCAAATGGAGAGTACTTTGAAGGTGACCGAAGCTTAAGCATGTAAGAATAAATACACAATTTTATATAAATAAATTCTATTTGGGGGGAGTTCCCCCTTGTATGTCATGTGAAAAATCAGAGAAACTTATTGAAATGGGAAAAGACAGTAATTGAAATTAGAAAGCCAATGTATAATCTCTCCAGGAGATTAGACACAGCTGAAGAGGATATTAATGGACTAGAAGTAAATATGAGAAAATTACCAAGAATACAGTCCAAAAAAACCACAGACATAGAAAGCAAAAAAAAATAATAATATTAAGGTTCATGAAGGATAGATGAGAAGACACAATATAAGTCTAACTGAGGATCCAGGGGGGATGAAGGAGTAAATGGAGGCAAGCCGAGGTCTGAACGGATAATGGCTGTGATAGTGGAATTGACAGAACAGAACCAAATCACATTCAAGGAGGCCAACAATCTACACAGTGCATGATTGTGCTATTACGGAATGCCAAAGACAAAGGGAAGCTGCTGAAAACATCCAGAGAGAAAAAGACAGATTACCTGCCTGTGAACAAAGATCTGTGCCTGCCCAGCAGCAACAATGGGAGACTAGAATGATAGCATCAAAGGCTGAGAAAAAACACTGACAAGCTAGAATTATATGTCAGAAAATATTGTCTTTCAAGAGTCTGAGTGAAATAATGACATTTTCATAAAAAACAAAAACCAAGGGAGTTTACTGCTAACAGATTCTCACTACAGGAATTTCTCAGGGTGTACTTCAGAAAAAAAAAAATTTCTTCCAGAGAGGAAGATCTGAGAAGCAAGATGGAAGAATGAGCAAAGAAAATAGAAAGCATGTTGGTAGCTAAAGACACAAGGACTGTTTAGAGTAATAAAAGTAGCATCTGATTGGTGGCCAGATAAAAGTCAAGGGGTGGGGAGAGCAGAGGAAAAAGCTTTTAGAAAGCTCGAGGTGGTGTTATTACCACTTTTTGAAAGTGAGGGAGACTTAGACTTCTCTAGCTAGAAAAGCTGTCCTGGCCCATGTACTCCTTAAAAATGTGGTCAGACTCATTTAATCTAAAAATGAGAAATGGAGAAGGAGAGGGAAAGTTGATTTTTTGGGGGCATAGTAGGTAGGTAGCACAGTAATCTTTTTTTTTCTTTCAGTTCTTGCAAGGGTTTCTGAACACGTGTGCGTGAAGTGCTAGCGGGGAGGTGGCCTGATGTCATTGGGGGGAGTCTGGACTGGAAGTCAGGAGAGCAGAGGCCCAGTTTCCTTACCCTGTGACCTTAAGCCAGCTCACAAAATCTTCCTGAGCCTCCATTTTCTCATCTGTCATAAGCTGGATGACCATATTGCCCATGCCTCCCTCACAGTGGTGGTTTATGCAGGTGCTACAGTATTATCGTAAACAACTGCTCTGCACAAGCTTAAGTTGAACAACCAAAGGAACAGCTGTGCAGAGAGTGCAGACCCCATCCACATGCGGGGTCCTTTCTCCCTCTTTCACACACACACACACACACACACACACACAGTGTTTCCCTCTCATTTGCTTCCTTTACTCCTTGTGATACTTCTGTCCACTGGCTCATAAACACTGGGTCAGGACTTGAAATCCTGATTCAACCTCTAAAACCAAAGCATGGAACTCTTTTCCCAATTTGTAGGAAAAATGTGCAGATTATTTGTTTCTCCTGTAAACAATATACATCTGATTTAGTACAAAATTTATTTTTAGTGCTGTTATGAATGTTGCTTAAACAGCACAATTGACCTACTGTAGTTGGACAATTCACTGTCTTCTCCATTGAGTGCTTTTTAAAAATTAAATAGCCTTATTCCACCTGCTTGAGGCTATTTCATGGGAGAGGGTAAACACACTGGATGAGCGTGTCCCTGTGGCCCACGAAAGGTTGGGGAAACAACTGGAATACAAGTTGTGTTATTGCTGAAGTGAAACATCAGCCGAACACAGGGAACTCAGATACATACCTGGTTAAATCCAAAAAGATAAGATCTAGGAGTCTGCTGAAAGTGGTACTTTGAACTGTAGGCAAGAAATTAAAGCCAAATTCCAAAAACGCTGTTGTGTTTGGTAGAGTGTCAGGAATTTCTCTGAGACCTAAATTTTCACAGTTATATGTTTGGTTGGCTTCTTTCTGGTGAGAGAAACAATGTAAATTAATAACAGACTTGTAATTTGACCAACAAACCTACATGCATGTTATATTTTGAGCAGCAATCCCACTTCTAGGAGTCTTTACTAAATATATATGTGCAAAAACACAATATGACTTGTTCATAAGATTATTCATTTTAGCACTTTTTGTATTAGAAGATTGATCCTAACAAGATTACCCATCACTATAGGATTAATTGAACAAAATACACGGCATGTTAACAAAAGGGAACCTTTAGCAGCTGACAATGAAATGAGTAAGATCTCTACACACTGATACGGGGTGATATTCAGGTATACTGTGTGGCGGAAAAAGCAATGTGTTGAACGCATATAGTTAGTGTTTATAGTTCATGGGGTTATATGTAGTATATTGTATACTATTTTTTCAGTGAGAAAGGTATGTGTGTATTTTCTCACATTTGAAAAAAAACCATGGGGGAAAAACTCATAACTCGTTGTCTTGAAAGGGAGGGCAGATAGAGGAGCAAGAATTGAAATAAGACTCCTTTGAATGTACTTTGTTTTAGAGGTTTGACTTGGGATGCATGGAAATGTTTTATTTCATTTTGAAAACAAATGAAAACTAGATCAGTAACAACAAATTAAATGATTCGGGCTTTCTGATGTGATACAATTTTAACTATACACATTCTTGGCACCCGCCCCCAAGTAAAACTTGAATTCAGTCATGACTTCAGGCTTAATTTCCAATCTACTAAGGGTGCGGGGGATTTAAGTTCAACAGCAGCACAAGGTAGCGATCAGCAAAATGCAGAAGGTGGGACATTCACAGAACAACTGACCCTGTTTTATAAGCATGTGGATGCTATGCATGGAAGTGGAGAGAGGAGGGTGTGGAAGGAGAGAGAAGACCGCTCTTGAAAAAAGAGACATAAAAGTTACTTGTGAGAATAACGCACAGATAATAGAGTAGCCCTGGTTTAAATTTTAGTTCAAATAATGCATTTAGGAAAACACTTTAATAGACTACCAGGAAACTTTGAATGCAGACAGAACATCAAAGAATACTAAAGGATTATATATGTTCTTAGTGATAAGAGAAATGTTCTTATTTTTTTCAGATGCATTTTGAAGTATTTTGGAGTAAAATGACACGATCTTCAAGGTTTGCTTTAAAATACTCTGGCAGAAAGCGGGGCAGGAGTCAATAGATGAGATTAGTAGACAAAACATCGATGGTTGTTGAATGTTAAGTGATGAGTACATACAGATGCCTTGTAACTAATTACATTTGTACATGCTTAGAAATTTTCTTAGTATATTTAAATGAGCTAGCAGTGGGGCACAGACCTTAGGTCATGGGACCTTGAAGTTTTGAAGTGTGAATCAATTTCGGGTCCCCACAGCTGCTGTTGTTTTCGGGCCCCCCAACCTGCATGTAAGTTCAGAGGACAACTTGACCCTGTGTCCCAGGAGAGTCAAGTTTGTAGAAGTCTGCCAGCAGCTGCTAGTTAGATTCCCTAACTCAAGTTATAAACCAGGGACTAACTGGTAGTAATAATTTACCTGGATAATGTCTAGGATAAAACACAGTGGACAGGTATGTAGGTCTAATGGCATCTGTTTTCAAATACTCTCCAAGGAAAATGAACCTGGGGGCCATCTCTCAGACCATCTCAGGTTCCACTCGATTTCATCCAACTTTCCAGACCCTGCCATTCCCCGCACCCTGTGGGGGTCTCACAGAGGACCCTCTGAGACTGCCCTGGTCTGGGAAAGACCTGCTCTGTCATATTCTAGGTCGGCAGCTTTCCTCATCCTGAGCTGCAAACGGGCCTGCGTAGCTGGAAACTTCTGCTGAGTGGCATACTTTCTTGTAGTTACGGTGGGCATGCTCATGCATAAGAAATCACTGTTTTCTATATTGTGATGATGTTATGAATGTCACTGATGAATGTGCCACACTTACATTTCTTTGTAATTCATATTTTGTTTTATAGACCCAAAGTCCTCCAGGCATTGCCACAAATCCACCTAATGTCCTTGAAATGCACACTTTGCATTTAAAACTTAGATTTAGCTGGCTGGTGGGGAAAAGAAACAAACACATATTGCTAGACCCCTCTGTGGTGCCCATGAACATGGTGAACCAGAGAGAGGTAGTTTGTGCAGGTGCTGCCCCAGTAGCTGTTAAGGTTCTAATTAGCTCTGAGGGACCATTTTTCTTTTCTGGTCCCCCTTGGCGTCACTGATGTCACGTGCACTTGGAGAAAGGGGCCTTTCCTCCAGTTGTCTTGCTCTATTCTGGCCCCACAGCAAAAAGCCTCTGCTCTGGAAGTTCCCTCCTCCAGAATATGTAAGTGCCTGTGGTGCTTGAATTATTCCTCTTTTGTGCTTTACTAAACACTTTACTGCACTAACGTGATTCAGAAAGTTGAGGATGGAGCCAGGGCTCTACTGAGCCAGGGGCCTGCGGGAGCTCCTAGCAAAAGGAAAGGCAGGGAAATGAAGTAGCTCAGTTTGGCCCCACTGAGGACTTCACACTATCGAGGAGTCGTGAGGAGCCTCCGTGAGCCTGTGTGGTGACATGCACCTCCAATTAGGGAGAAACCACAGTGAGCTCTCTGCCTGGGATTTCTGGGAGAAAGAGGCGAATGACAAGAACTGTAGCTGGTAGGAGAATTTGCAAAGCAAACACATATCAGAGAACGTGCTGGCATCTCTCTTTTGCTTCCACATTCACACTCCAGTACAATCACAATTCCCATTTCTGATACTACAGATGGTGATGCCGAAACCCCACATGCTCTGGAATCGTGTAAGCAACGTTCAATGTATTTCTTAGGGCACCAGGTGTGTACACACATGCACACACATACACACACCCCCATTCTGTTTGTTTCGGAGAGTCAGTGTAGATACCATGGCCCTTCACCCCTAAATCTTTTAAGGAAAAGGATATTCTTATACAACCACAGTGCCAATTACCACAAAGTTAGAATACTTAACATTAATATGATATTATTTAAAAATGTTTCATCATTACCTGAGGATATGTTTATTAATTTTAGAGAAAGAGGAAGAGAGAGAGAAATACCAACTGGCTGCCTCCTACTGGGGACTGAACCTGCAACCTAGGTATGTGCCCTGATCCAGAATCAAAACTGCAACCTTTTTGTGTATGTTCAGCATGCTGACAAACTGAGTCACTCAGCCGAGGCAATATAACATTATTATCCAACATACAGTCTATATTCAAATTTTGCCAGTAGTCCCATAGTGCCTATTATAGTAATTTCTGTTTTTCTAATCCAGGTCACATATTGCATTTATTTTCCTTGTCTCTTTAGTCTCCTTTAATCTGAGACAATTCCTCAGCCTTTCATTATCTCTCATAGCTTTGCTTTTTTTTTGTTTGTTTTTAATGAATACAGGATCATAGTTTATGGGATGGCCCTCATTTGGGGTTTTTTATCTGTTCTCGTGATTTGTTCAGGTCATATATTTTTGGCAGAAATACTGCATGAATGAGGTGACGTCTTTCTCGCTGTCAGGATTCATAACAGAACGTTTTGAGAACAAACTCTGAGAGCGTAGCCCAGGATTTCAGGGCAGCAGAATGAGAATGCAAGAGAAGAAAAGGACAGAACGCAGGCAAGGAGTGCAGTGTGGCTACTGCAGTTGCCGGAGCTGGGCTGGGGGCCCTGGGCTGGGGGCCAGGGCCGCGTGTTCAGTTGCTTTTCCGGGCAGACACCCGCCATGGCTTTCGCGGCCCCTGTGGTTTCTCTGAGCTCCGCATGAGCACTTCCTATGAACCCAGCCTTCATTTTCCAGACCAGCGATTTTCAACCGGTGTGCTGCAACAATTTTTAAAACATTCGTTGCCTGACTATTTTGTCAAGGGCCCCGACCTCTTTTTCTTTAGAGTGCCAAATAAAAAATGACAACAGCCAACACAGTAGCCATCTGGTGTGAACATATGAAAATCATATCTATTGTTTTGTCAGATAGGCAAAAATATATTTTTTGGTGTGCCACAGAATTGTAGTAATTCGTTTATGTGTGCCATGAGATGTAAAAGCTTATAAATTAGCTGCTCTAGACTTCCACATGGGGTCAGTTTCCCAAGTCACTTTCTCACTCTTCCGCTTTGGCTGGTTCCCAGGGAGACAGCGCCCTTCAGGCTGTGAACTCACACAGTTAGCAGGGCCATGCAAGGCTACCTGGGATTCAGGGCAGCTGCCCCCTGCCCACCCCTATTCCAGGTCGTGGGGCGTCTGCCCAGGACCACTGTGCGTGGGGCCTGCAGCAGCCCCTTCCTTCCTCGTGTCAGAGCTTCGTGTCAGACCTGTGCCTTCCACACAGAGCAGGACTCCCAGGCGCTGTGTCTGTGTTTGCAGTCCCCTCTCCCTGCAGGTATTCATTTGCATTTTTTCAATCAGAATCTTATTTTTGCTCCTTTCTGCTGTATCTCTAACTCCCTGCTGTCCCACTGTATTTTCTCGTCTCGCAAGTGTCGAGATTCTTTTCTAATTCAGAACCCTTTGAGTTTCACTCTGGTGCTGATTCCCACCGTTTTGGATGTCTCATCTATACTTGGCATACGCAGCAGCCAGCTCCGCCATGTGTAAGAAGTCTGGGAGGTCGAACCCCAACCCTCCTCTGTTAATCACGCCTTTATCCAGAGATGGCAATTTGACGGAGCCAAATCCCAGAGTAACAATTACTCTCTGCAAGTAAAACAAAGCATTCCCAAGAGGGCACAGTCATCAAACTTTGTTGTCAATCTGATTCCTCTGGGCAGAGGGCATTCCAATTACGTGCGGTTCATTTTCTGTTTGTTTGCATTCAGACAGCCTGGGCTCAAATCCCAGCTCTCGGCCACTAAGCTGTGTTCTCTGAGCCTCCTTTCCCCCAACTGTAAATTGAGGACAACACCCTTTTTCACAGGCCAGCTCAGGATTAATTGGATAATGTATGTCAAGCACTCCCAAGAGGAGGTAGTATTTCGCTGGATCATCACAGCATCATGGCATTGTCTGGAGCTATTAGGAAGCGTTCGGATCCATGAACTTGGAGTTCTTCTAAAAAGAAGCTTTTACTAAGCACGCTTCCCCTCCCCCCATACTTAGGACTGGAGGATTGTCTCCAACCATGGTTTTGAGTGTGCAGAAGAGCTGAGATGAGCCTATTTGAAGTGAGGAGGCATGCCTACCCGCCCCAAGTAATTATTCAGGAGCACATCTAAAATGTCACCAAAATCCGAATCACAGAATACTGAATTCCAGCTATGCTTCACATGTTTGTCAGCCTCCAAAGACATGATCATGGGTCTAATCTTGTTAGTCATGGTGTGTGCATGTGCGCACACACACACACAGAACATGTAGCATCTGACAATGGAAGGTTCTCCACGGAGGGCTGATAGGTGTTGATTGTGTTATTTTTAGAACTTCTCTAAGTGTGAAATACCTTCACACAAAACTTTTATTAAAAGGTTGACCTTGACTCCTACATCACTTCATATGCAAAAAGCAATTCCAGATGGGCTATAGCTCTAAATGTGAAACCTAGAAATAAACACAAGTACAAAACATAAATTTTAGAAGAAAACAGATGATAATGCCTTTATGGCCTTGGGTAGGCAGAATTTCTCAAATGGGACAGAAATGCACTGAAAGTAAAGCAACAATGATAAATCCAGCTACTTTAAAATTGAAGACGTCTGTTCATCAAAAGATATCAGTAGGGGAGTGGAAAGGCAAGCTACCCAGTGGGAGAAGATATTTGCTATCTGATTAAGGACTTGTGTGCACAGTACATAAAAAACACAACTCAATAGTAAAAAAAAGACTGACACCCAAAAGAATATGGGCAAAAGACTTGAAAAGGTACTTCGTCCACACACACAAGGATATGCAAATGGCCAACAAAAGCATGAAAATGAACTGAGTTTAATTATTCATCAGGAAAATAAAAATTAAATCCCAGGGAAATACCACTATCCATCTACCAGGATGGGTTTTTAAAACAAACAATAGCAAATTCTAGTGAGGCTGTGGAGCAAACAGAATTGATATACGTTGCCGATGAATATAAATGGGTGTGAACAGTTTGGAAACTGTTTGGCAATATCTGCTAAACTTAGACATGTGTATACTTTATGACCAAATGCACCCACACTCTGGCATATACCTAATAATGATTTGTGCAATTGCTCACTAAAGACATAGACAAGAATTCCAAAGCAGCAGCATTCATGAGAGCCCCAAAACTGCAAACTGCAAATGTCCATTAACAGTACAATGGATAAATAAATGGTAGCTCAAGAATGCAACAGAAAACTATTCAGTGAAGAAAATGAACAAAGGATTGGTTCACAGGCCATCATCGATAAATCTCATACCTTTAATGCTGAACAAAAAAAAGCCAGACACAGAAAAAGTACATGCTCGCTGGTCCCATGTATATAAAGTTCAAAAAGAGGCTCAATCAGTCAGCGGTGATGAAAACTGGACTGCTGGATGTCCTCGGGGCTGGAGACTGGGAGGAGGGGGGAGGGGCTTCGGAGCTGAGAAAGCTGTTTTTCCATCTATGTGCTGGCCACATGGATGTGTGAACTTAGTAAAAACTCAGTGAACGGTACAGTTAGGATGGGTGAACTTTTTTGCATTTACATTTTATTTCAATAAAAACGTCACTAAACTAAGAACAAAATGAAGCCCTATTTTCAAGATATATGCTAATGAGATAGTGGTGGTTACATGGACATCTATTCAGTATGTGGTTAGTTATGCTTAAACTGCAGGGGAAGAGCTAAAGAGGAAAGGAAAGTAAGGCAGAGAGCTAGGCTAACCGTGGTCATTTGCACTTGAAAAGTGTCAAACCCTAAAGTCGAACTTCCTCCTCTACCACTGCCCCTTTTATCCTAGTTGCCTGCAGCCTAGAAGTTCTTTACCTTCAAGAACAATTCTCATCTATTTTTGTATTTCCCCATTGCCCCCTTGAGTAAGGGCTCAGTACACAGCCTTAGAATCCTGCTGCTGAGAACACCTACAGGATAGAAGAGGTCCAGGAAAATGGATATCCAGCGTTCGTGGACTAGGTACCGGAGCATTTAAAACCCGACTTCTTCCGCGGGGAAGGCTGTAGGGAGGTTGTTGTATTGGAAGGTTTCAATACAAACTTAGCCAAAAAGAAAAGGTGTCGCTGCAGCATAGGGTCAGGCTGGAGATCCTGGGACCCTCAGCATCAGTGTCGCCACCTGAATGTCTCAGAAGGCAGCAGAAGCCCTAGGGTGCTCTCCCTGCCTCTTTCCCTTCCCTCCACCAAAGCAGGATCATTTGCAGAAAGGAACTGGCAGCTCTAGTGCCTGGTGTTCTCAGTAGGAAACTGGACTGGCCCAGTGTTTCCATGGGCTTTCCAAATCTCCCAGAAGTCTCCTGTGGGCTGCAGAAGGGCTGGTGGTGTTTGCAGAAATATGGGGGTTTAAGAGTTGAATGAGTAGGTTTAAGAGTGTGGTGTTTAAAAAAAATCAGCTTCCCAGTGAGCTGGAATCTAATGGTCATACTGTCCTACCTATGAGAGGTGGGTGGCATACCTATCCGATCAGTGAGGGGGTTGTGTGCCCACTCCTGTCCTCTTATCACGCCGGCTACATGTCTGTGTGGGATTGACCATCCAACTGGAATGAAGAAGCAGCCTTCTGGGGCTGATAACTTCTTACTTACTCCCTTTCATTATAGAATAAATTGTGCCCTTCCCCATCCTTATGTTTAATTCCTAACCAGGTACATCAGAATGTGCCTTTATTGGAAATAGTCTTTAAATAGGTAATTAAGTTCAGATGAGATCATTAGGGTGGACCCCAATTCAGTATGACTGGTGTTTTCATAAGAATAACTCTGGAGACAGAAGGAAGTCTCCCTCCTTCCATCTGGTTGGATGTACAGAAGGGAGACCATGTGAAGATACAGAGAGAAGATGGCCACCAACAAGCCAAGGAGAAAGATCTTGGAAGAAACCAACCCTGCCAACACCTTAATCTTGGATTTCTAGCCTCCAGAACTATGAGAAAATAAGGTTCCTTTGTTTAAGCCACCCAGTTCAGGGCCCTTTGCTATGGCAGCCCGAACAAAATGATCCGCCGTCCCAGCCTCCCCTTCCCCAGGAGCTGCGCCTCCACTTAGTCTTAGTGTGTCCTGATTGCATCCTAATACCTGACTAACAAGGCTCTGTTCCTCTCTGCTCCCAGGCCTGTTCCAGTCCTGGCTGGAATTCTTGTTCTTCCCTGATCCCTTAGGATTCTCTCTTAGCTTTCTCCTGCTTGTGGCTCCCAACCACCACCTTTGTGCATCGTGCTTCTCCTGCATCCACTCCTGCTGTTAGCCGCAGCCTAGGAGAGCAGCCCACCCGGACACCAAGACTGATGGTCCGCCCCCAGCTCGACAGGCCACATGCTGCTGTGCACTTGCTGTGGTCACAGACAGTGGGAGGAAGGTTGGAGCGTTTTTAGAAGATGGCAGAAGACTGATGGAGGCCCTTCTTTATCTTTCTTAGCACCTCTTTAAAGACTTTCCCACAGGTTGATAAATGTTGTTATGGTTCCAGACAGAAGGTGCAGTTTGGCTCTGATCTTGGATACCACTGCTGTGGGTTAGGAAAACAGATGGAGGACTGTCCAACTGGAGGAGCGTGCCAGGCCCCTTCAGCCCGATCGCTGCGTGCTGTCAAACCTGGCACAGGCTGTCCCGACTAATCCCCACCCGGAGAGCCAGGAAACCGAAGGACTGGTGGGGGCAGTGGCCGTGTGCTGCGATGCTGGACAGACAGCGCGTCAGCACTGGCCGCAGGTGTGCAGGTCTGCTCTTTGCACTGCTACCCTGTTGATATTTTATGTCCCAGTTAGGATTATTTGGGGACATTGTTTGCAGAGGAGGAAAACTCTCACCTCTTCCTGCTAAGGCTCTGCGGGATTGTCCCCTGGCTGAGCTCTTGGCTCCTTCTTCACAAGAAAGAAAAACTTCTACACACCTCATTGCCCTTTCAAAGGTATAAAGTGGATATCGGGGTGCCAAGGCTCAGCTGGGACTACAGGCTGAATCTCAAAATTGCCAAGGCAGTTTAATCTGGATGAAGACTTGGACTCACCTCCATACACATCTGATCCAAGGAAATGGTGGCTTTGCAGCTGGCAGAAAACAGCACCGCCAGCAGGAAGCGGCTGACGGGGGACGCCATCATGGGACCAGGGCCAGCCCCGCTTGGTGGAGGGCCTCAGTGATTCAGCAGCCAGAGAGGCGTGCAGAAGGGTAATCTCAGAGAAAGAAGTGCTCTGACTGCTTGTGTCTGGTGGCTCTGTGCTGCAGAAAATGGGAAGTCTCTTTACATACCACCCACCCTTGCCAAAAATAGCTGAAGACCCAGCCCCAGGATGGCCCACTGCATTTCCTGAAACACATGCATCCGTTGTGCAGACTTCCTGAGCTCCTCCTGCAGACTTTTGGCCACTTTCAAGGGTTTGGCCCCCTCCAGTAGCTCCCGGTCCCTTTCCCCGAGGGAGGCTGTGGAAGCAGGAAGCTGTCCTCATGGTGGAGGCTGTTTTGTTAGTTGTCCTGGATTGATGAGTGGGAGAGGTGCCGGCACACTGGAAGGAAGGGCAGAGCACTCTCTGGGTGCTGACGGAAGTACTGAGTCTTGCGGTGGTGCTGCCGGAGCTGGGAACTGGAGTGAAGGAAGAGGGTCACCCTCCTGAGTGAGTGTGGCTGCTCCATGCACCTCTGCTGCTGCCTGGCCACCTCACCAACACCCTCCTCTGGTCTCAGAACAGAGGGGGACAAATCCATCCCTCAGGCTGGTGACCCAGGCCTACTAAAGCAGCAGAGTGGAATCCCTCCTTGTTCCTTCCCAACCTGACCCAGTAGAGGACACTGCTATGTACAGAGCCATCTGACTAAGAGAGAGCACAGTTGAGAATGTTAGCCTTGGCTCTGTTCCTCCTTAGAAATAGCTTTGAAACAGGACTGCAAATATCCTCATTGTGGTGCTAGACATGGTAGTGTTTAAGGAGAGTGAAAGCTCAAGCATTGCTCACCGGGCCGAACTTAGCCACCTCGGACCTTGTCTGTTCTCCACCCCTCTGGCACACAGGAGGTAGTTAGCATTCTGCTCCCCTCATCCATTTCCAACAGTCCAGTTGTTAGCATCATGGTCACAGTGACCTGAGAGGTACTACTAATATTACTACTACTGTATTACTACTGTTAATACAGTAACTATGGTAATTACTATTTATTGAGCACTTACTATGTGTCAGTCGCTGAGCAGGCTGTTGTTTTTATCTTGTATAGCTCCTTATCACATATTCTACCAAAGAGGTGCTGTTTTTCTAAAAGATTTTTAAAATTTTATTTTTAGAGAGAGGGGAAGGGAAGAAGAAAGAAAGGGGGAGAAACATCAATGTGTGGTTGCCTCTCATGCTCCCTCTGTTGGGGTCCTGGACTGCAACCCAGGCAGGTGCCCCAACTTGGAACTGAACCTGTGACCCTTCGGTTCACAGGCCTGTACTCAACCCACTGAGAGACACCAGCCAGGGCTCAAAGAAATGTCATTTATTCCATTTTATGGATGGAGAAACTGATGTTTAGAGAAATGAAATGACCTCTTCAAGCCCAACTAGAAGGTGGATAAGGGCCTTATATTCAGGCTCAATGCAAAGACTGTGCTTTTACTCGCTATAGTTTAAGAAAGAGTGTTGCCTCCCGAAAGAGCTGAAGAGTGGGTGGGGTTAGAGAAAGTTCTTCATCAGGAGATATCAAAGCAGATGCTTAAAAGAAGAGGGGGTTGGAAAAACTATGTACTTGGCACCATGCTAGAGCTACTACATAAATATTTAAACTTTTCTGGTCATCCTAAAATTCCATCCTCAACAGCAAAACATATCCAAAGATGTGTTTGGCAGAACACAGTCTAAGCAAACAGAAATGGAAAACCAACCATCTTGCTTTAAAGAAGGCATGTGCCATGGTGTAGTGGGAGGAGCCTGGACTGGAAGGAGGCCCAGGTCCATCGCTTATCAGCTGAGAGAACTTGGGCAAGTCATTTCACTTCTCAAAGGCTATTTCCCACCTGAAAGACAGAGCAGGCATTCCAGTTCCTGTTCTGCTGACATCCCAGGGTAATTAGGAGAATCAGATGAGATAGTTTACATGAACATGCTTTCTTATCTCAAAGTCCTACATGAATATGAAGAATGTGGGGAAAAGACTCCTGAGTAATCACTTGCAGTATCATGTAAATATCACTCTCAGGTAATTGTCTCCTGCCCCAGAGACATTGAAAAAGTATATTACATTTCTTCTTACAGAAAGGTGTGATGGCTCAGTTAAGGTTCCGTCATTTTCTGAGGCCACAGTATTTGCATATGATTTGCATTTATTTGCATAATGGATTCAAAAGACTCACTGCAAGTGTATAAGAGTAAAAGAAAATAAATGAATAGGAGTAACCTTCTGCCATAGCATTCAAATCAAATATTCAGGGCATAATACCCTGAAATAGGAAATAGATTAAAATTTAAAGTATTGCAAACAGATAGGGAGATAGGTTTTAGAGTTCGGAAGCAAGAATAAAACCCTTATCTGGTCCCAGGTTGTAAAGAATCACATATTCTTAAAGGTCACTTCATCCTCATGATTTTCATGCTTGAATTTCCTCCTCCACAGCCCTTACTTTGTGCCTTTCTGTGGACAAAAACATGCACTGCATTATCTTCCAGTCTTTTCTGAAATGTCTCAGGTGACAGAAAGCTAACTCTTCCTCCAACAAATTGTTTTGGCAAATTTTGACTGTTTAAATGGTTTTATCTTATTCTGAGCTGCGAAAGTCCTTCCTCCAACTTCTCCACAATCATTATTGTTTTCTTGGGCCAACAGAACAAGTCCAAGCCCCCTTTATACATGCCAGTCCTCCGTGGTTTTGAAAATAGTTATGTCCCCGAATCATCCCCTTTCTAGTTTAAAAATCTCTAGTTTCTCCAACTGTGTTATAAGTTCATGCATTATAGCCCCTAACAGTCTGTTTACCTGAATATTTTCTCAATCTCCTGAGAAAAGCTCACTTGAATTCTGGTCCTAGCTTTGCCATTAACCCATCCTGTGTGCTTGGGGAAAGTTTTTCTGGTCTCAATTTCCTTATCTATAAAACCATGGCATTGGTCTAGCTTATCTATCAGTCACCTCTTCATCCAAAACCCCATTACTCTGTTGGAGAACAACAATTTCCATTTTACTTATGTGACAGTTATTGGCTTGAGCCAATAAACTGGAGTTACATGATCTTTTTCCTGAGGATTGCTCTTTCTTTCCTACTCCAGGTGGTCTCACCCCTTCTTGGCAAATGAAAAATAGAGGGAGGTTTGTCTAGAGCAATGGGCCTCATGATTGCTGCAGCCCTGTTATTCTCAGCACCTACGGAGATGGAATTGCTGTCACCCAGTCAAAAACACTTCTTGCAGAGCTATGGAGGGGGAAGAAGAAGAGGAGGTAAAACACCAGAAGCTCATTTATTTCTATTGGCCAGTAACCACGCCAGTGGAGAAAAAAAATGGTCTGTGGACCCAAGGTATTTTTGTAAAGTTCAAGCACCCTTATTTTACACATTTATACACATATCCCACACCATTCTTTGTTGTTCATCTGCTGCCTTTTAATCCACCAGGGTTCCATGCAGTTCATCTTTTGGGTCAGTTGCCACCCATGGCTGACTCCATAGAACTGCCCACTTCCGTGTCTGGGAAGCCTGTGCACTCACGTGCCCGTGTTTCTGGGTCATTATGGTCTGGGGAGTGATGCAGGGTCCTGGGAGAGCTCGTTCGGCTCTTCAGGTGCTTTCTGCACCATCACCCAAGGGCTATTTAGTTTCTTTCAAGGTTGTGCAAAACAAAATATGCTGTTGTGATCCAACGTTAGCAAAGAACTAGATCTTCAAGGTCCGTCACAGCTTATGGGCATCAGTGGGTGTTAAACTGTCCTGTCTTCTTTTCTCCTTCCGCACGTTTAGTTTTTGTTCTGCTTTTCTGTCATGCTTGCCTTCCCTTCTACCCCAGATGGTTAAATCTACTTGAATACAAAATTCAACTTAAACTTGAATGTTCTGATGCATTTTATGGCCAGTGGTACTCCTGATTATATTCATTTATTTTATCCAGTTATTGTGACACAAAGTTCAAAGCCATAAAGGCTGGAAGTAAAGCCTTCCCAAGGTCACCCTGACCCTCTCTGAGGGGTCCCTGCTGTGCTGCCTTGGGGGGACACATGGGAACAGAGCCCTCAAGCCTCCTCGTTACACTGCTGCACTGGTGTCTTTGCAGCTGATGGCTCTCGTGAAGGCACCAGCCTAGACTGAGGAAGTGATGCTGTGCCCCGTTCCCTCTGCAGAGGGGACATGGCTTTTCTTAAGTCCTGCTCAAGTTCAAGCTCAGATTTCTGGGTGGCTTCACAATGCGACCCCTGATCCTGTTGCTCCAGAACAGGCTCTCTCTCTGCCCTGTGGTTGATGGTGCTGCTGCCAACAAAGCAGGCACAGGAACTTCAGACAACATCGCCAGCTCCCCTCCACCACAAGAACACCCTGGCCCCGTCACATCTCGGCGCCCAGCCAGATGGGCTTCGGTACTCGGGGGAAGGGGGACTTCTTCCTTGCCTGATCCAGGGGCGGTCCGTCTGCATTTCCTGTGCCAGGATTCATTTCTTCCCCAGGTGACTGATGTTGGAACTATCCACTCCCTGGGCCCCCCGTTACAGCAATTTAAAAGCTGCCTGATGTTGGGGTAGTTCCCCAAATCTAGGCTTCACTATTATATGTGGCCATCTGGTTACACATATACGTATATGGTTCTGGAAATATATGTAACATGTTAGAATATTTGTCAAGCTTTAGCTTCTAATTTACCATCAGCTTAGTGCCATTCACTGACTTCTCTTTCAGATGGTGTGTTTTATAAAGACAGAAAAGTTATTTATCCTTAGGTTTTTTTCTCTCTAGCTTCAAATGACTATGATATTAACAGGCACTAGCAGATGGGGGCTGGAACAGAGGGCTGGCATTGGGACCCCAAGATAAACTCTCAGCTCTGAAGTAGAGTCATGCTAACAGTAGTACATTAACAGCAGACATTTTAAAGCTAAAAACAAGCTTTAAAATAATCTAACCCAACTCTGTGACTTTTTTCTTAAAGAATTTAAAAGAAAAACATGAGTCTAATACTTCCTATAGTTCAGATTGTTCATATTATTATCCAGCTATTTACGTGTAGGATGGAACACTTTTCACAACCTGTCTCCTGTCAGGCTTTTCACTGCGAGCACTGTACTAGATTAAACTTCGTAGCCCTTCACAGTGAA